GGGATTATTTTATAATGTACAACTATATATTGAACCAAAGGACTAAATTTATAAAAATAGATAATTAAAGCAATCGATGAAAGTATTAATAAGCTCTTTGTTTAATTGTGTAAGGAAAGACACCAAAGAAGTAAATATAAATTAATTACCAAAATATTTACTCTCATTTATAATACTGTAATCAGAAAAAAAAAATCAGATTTTATGAAATTGTTCAAACATGTTCAAAATCTAATATAAAGCTGATTATAAGTATTTTCGAATCACGAAAATGTTTTTTCACCTTCATGAAAATACCTGGTGATTAGCCACATCCTGTATTTGCTCTTTGGTGGTGCTCAAATCGAGCCATATATCAGATTCTCTGCAGACATACACTGAATGTAATACTTGTTAAAGTAATCATAAGTCTATATTAGTATAGATAAAGCAATTACTTGTTAAGTTATTCGTAAATATAAAATAACTTTAAATAATAGTGCACATGCGTAATAATGAGATTTTAACTAAATATATTGTACAAATTTTTTTTTTTTTGAATTCGCATTTTTTTTAAATTATTTTGAAAGTTAAAAATGTCATATAACTCATCATATATACAAGGATTGCATTCAATACCTTAATATTAAAATATAACACTCAGTGTGTGTGTATATATATATATATACAGAAACATGCGGGATCAAGAATATAATAAAAAAAAATCAAAGATACGTGTTAGTTCAAGTTTTAATAGCGTTATTCCCATACTTAATTAAAATAAGCAATCACTTTTGACGAACGTAATTGGAGAGAACTGAGGAATGTAAATTAACAGAAGAATGTTAATTTAATTTTTTCTCGCATTCTAGAAGGGGAAGGAGAAAAATTCTAATTGCCTTAACCTTTGATTAAAATTCAATTCAAACACAGATAATGAATGTTATTCAAAAAATAAACATTGAATTATGCTACATTAAAAGGGTTGCGCACTTCATTATTGGCACAACTGTACCAGAATAAAAATAATACAAACTATCTAATTTCAGAAGCATTTTTAAAAATGTATTTTCAAGTAATTTTCTCATTGAATCAAATCATAATTTCAGTAATTTCAACACTTTACAGAGGATACTTGCCATTTTCATAGATGTTACTGTTTATGTATTAAAAGCAGGTATTATATGGAATACGTAGGAGTAGTTTATGTAGGTATTTTATGTCCAATATTTTTACACAAATTATGAAATCTGAGAATATTTGAACTGGATGTTCTAAATTTAAACCGTTCATTCAGAGTAGTAATAAAAGGTGAAAAGGCGCGAGATTGGCCATTAAGAGAGTGAAAATCGCAAATGCAGGCTCTGAATTTAGAGCAGACGGAAAGTAGAGATCAGTTGATGTTTGTCCTCGATGCTTCGACAGCATACCGCATCCCGANTGCGATAAGGTCATACGTTTCTTGTTTTAAGTCTTATTTTCAAAGGTGCATACAATTGTATATGTATGTATATAAACCTATACGTTTCTTATGAACTTGTACATTCAAACGAAAAAGAAGTAAACTAAACTAAAAATACTATTTTTATCTATAGTTTTCCAAACAATACTACCCGAATTAGATGAGATTAAGTACTTGTATAAATGCAGCAAAAAAAAATTTTCTCCAGTGTAATAGATAAAAAATGAAAAATCTCACGACAATTTGCATAATTTTCTTAGGCAATTGATAAATTTGGCCTTCTTAAATAGCTAATTTGGCTTATTAGGGTACTTATCCATTTCAGAGGGCCATCTATTACCCCAGTAAATATATCAGTGACTAATATTAATATATTAGGTGCTTATTGCAATTGTAGCAATTTTCCACTACCACAATATCAATACTATTAACTATCACTACCAGTATGCGAGAGGCAATAACAGTTTGGCAATTTTTTTACCATCCAGAAATGCGGATAAGTACCCTTATTAGTTGTTCTGTAAGTTCCCCTGTAATTTTATTTAAAATTCGTTATAATTTCAGAAGTCAGTTTTTTTTAAAAAAATTATTATGTAAGAAGTATTTGGAAAATTCAGTTATACAAGTGAATTCAGAAGGCCACAACAAATAACGGGAAATGTTTTGAAAGATGTATATTTTATGCTGCATGTTACAGACACTTACAATTTTTCTTCATGAATTTTGGTCGATTACACTTGAAATTGACTAAATTCTTTTTTCTTCTTCATCAACAATGTATGCACATCTACATGATGCTCCGTCATGATGATTCTGATTACATAATTTTAGAATTTTTATCAAACTGAATGAAATAATGCGTGTATATTAGAAAGTGCTAATTTATATTAAAGCAAAGAAAAAAGAAAACACTGTCAAAATCTAAAGTATTATCCCTGAATAAAGCTGGACTGAAAATATTAAAGCCTGTTTGATTACCTAATGAAACAGAGTAAGGTTGAAAAAGCAATTATTAAAAATATGTATATGTAATTTCACCCAAGCAATACAGCAGGTTTTGATCATTTTTCGTCCCACTTTCCTAAAGAATGATGACAGATTTTGATAGCATTTTGTTATTTTCTCGTGTCCCCAAAAGTACATACTTCTTTTTTTACTTAATTTTTAATTAGAATTCTAATGGTGCATATAGGTGATGATTACATCCTGAATATATATTGTGCAGTATGGTGGTGCAATTGGTTGTATGTTTGCATTATTGATGTGTGATTACAAACGATATTAATGTCAAAAAAATCCTATTGAATTATTTGTTTAAGAGCTTTTTTTCCTACCAAATTTGATTAATTAGCGTAAACGTTTATTATTGCCGAAATAAAATGCTGCTCTATTCTTAAAAAAAAAAGAGAACCAGATCTGAACTGCAAAATTAAATGGTTGGTTCGCAAACTTCCTACTTACACGAAACCCAATGTTAACGTAAAATATCCACATTGGTAGAAGGTCCGCTCGTTCGAGTCAAATAATCGACAAGCTAACTATAGGAGGTTTTAATTTCTTTTGTGATGCTTCACATAAAAAATACTGACGAAGTCTAGTTTCTCTTGACATAAACTTCTCTCCGAAAAGCTGGGGATGTAAAAGAATTTGGTGAATCCCAATATTGTTTAACATGTTTTGCCCGCACAAAACAATTAAAAGAAATATATATAAATTTTTCATATAGCCTTTGTTGCGTAAAAAAAGGTATTTTCTTGTTTTCTAACTTACATATACTCATTTTCCCATTGTTCTACTTATTTCTGTATTTTCTAAATAACGAGCATCCCTGGAATTTTTGTAACTTAAAATTCCTGATTGCAAAAGTTAGAAATTCAATAAATGATCATATCTTACATTTACCCCCAATAGTTAACTATCCACCTATTCTATTATACTAACTTATTAAGGGTAATCCAGTCATAATACCCTTAATAAACCCAATAACAGAAATAAACCATGTTTTTTTAGGAAGGAAATTGGGAAAACTGCAGATTTTAACTCCCATGAAACGTCCCCAGATTTTAACTGCAGATTTTAACCTCCATCCCTTTAATTAAATCAATGCTTTTGTATTTTGTAGTGAAAGTAACATAAGCTTTTTGAAAAACGTTTACAGATAATAAGTTGATTTGCTTTTTGTAGATTTAATAACTTTTTGCTTAAGCTTTGACACAGTATATTTTGAAATTTTTTTTTATTCATCTCATTTTTTTAATATCTTGAGTAAGCAATTTTTAAAAATATGAGATTTCTTTTTTAGTAATCATATTTTTTTAAAAATGTTTAAATTCAAAAAAATTACATTCAGTAATTCTTTTAATAAATTAGCTTTTAATAATGTTTTAATAAATTATTTATCTTTTAATGTATTAATTATCTTTAAATAAATTAATTATCCTTTAATAGATAAATTAAAAAATATGAAATTAAAAATTCACTTTTAGTAAAGTATTGCAAAATTTTTTAAGTTAAGTNATACATATATATATATATATATATATTACATTTGTTACAATTTATATTGCGCGGTGGACTGATCGTTAATACACGGTTCCCAGCAGATCACCGAAGTCAAGCATCATCGGCTGCGGTCAGCGTGCGGGTGGGTGACCACTTGGATCAGTCTGAGCAGGGACAGAGGGTGTGAGATATGAGTCCTCGTTAAACTGTACTACCGTAAAGTGCTCGACTTCGCGTGCAGGTCGTCGGGCTACCGAAGAGGGGGTGCCATCAACTCCGCAGAGGATCAAAATTGTGATGGCATGTCTTCGGATCATCCTCAGGGATGTTTTTTAGACCGTCGCCAATAGCCTATCGTGCAGCTCTAGTGCGATGTAAATGCACAACTGCAACATTTTATATTGCATTCCATAATTTTTAAATTTGTATTGATTTTGCGCCTGTTTTGCTTGCCTTCAAAATTCCTCGAAATTCGGAATTTTTTTCCCATCCTGCAGAAACTGTGTTTTTTTTTTTTTTTTTTTTTTTTTTTNTTTTTTTTTTTTTTTCGTTGCGTAATTTACTACTTGGGGTACGTTCTTACTACCTACAACGGCCAGTCGTTCGTTTAATTAGGGAGCGTTCTCATTTCAATTTTTTCCTATGACCAGGTTTTGTTATTTCCAGGTTCACCCTCGCATGCGAAACTAGTTTAGACAGTGAGAACGCTCGGCCAGCGATCGCATATGCGAGTCACATGACAGTATGAATGTTGGGTTATACCTCTCGGCTACGGTGGCTCTCAAATAAATTTGTATTCAAGTATGGGCAACCGGTTAGCAACATGTTTCATTTTTGGCAGACGATCAATTTCGATTCTATAAAAATAATCTTATTCACTTTTTTCTTTGTTTGTAATTACTTATTTATATTTTATGCGCTTACGTTCGTAATAAGTGCCCTAACCATGGAGACTCTTCAACATCCATGACTCTAACTTAACTGGTAGAATATCGTTAAGAGTTTAAATAAAACTCTATTAAATTTTTGTTCTAGAGGAAAATCTTATTTATTCAGTATGTGTGATAGAACATTTTCGCAGAAAGTCAACTTAAATAAACCTTATCCCTGTAGTGTGTGTGATAAAGTATTTGCATCAAAATGTAATGTAATGAAACACTGTCTTCTTCATACTGGAGAAAAACCTTATTCTTGCAGTGTATGTAATAAACCTTTCACACATAAAAGAAGTCTAAATCGGCATTATCTTGTTCATACTGGTGAAAAACCTTATTTATGTACTGTTTGTTATAAATCATTTTCACAGAAAGGCAACTTAAAGGAACACTCTCTTGTTCACACTAGAGAAAAACCTTTTTCATGTGATTTATGTGAAAAAACATTCGCTCAAAAACGTCATTTAATTCAACATTATCTTGTTCATAGCGGAGAGAAGCCCCATTCATGTAATGTATGTGATAAAACATTCTCACTTAAACGTACTTTAAATCAACATTATCTGGTTCATAGTGGAGAAAAACCTTATTCATGTAGTGTATGTGATAAAACATTCTCACAGAAACCACATTTAAATCAACACTATCTTGTTCATACTGGAGTAAAGCCTTATATATGTGATGTGTGTAATAAATCATTTTCCCAGAAAGTTCATTTAAATAAACATTATCTTGTTCATAGTGGAGAAAAGCCCTATTCTTGCGATGAATGTGATAAGAAATTTTCTCATAAACATCATTTAAAAAAACATTCACAAATTCATACTAGTGAAAAACTTTATGCTTGCAGCTTGTGTGATAAATCATTTCTACAGAAAGCTAGGTTTAATAAACATATTCTTGGTCATACTTGAGAAAACTTCTTCAAGCAGCGTGTGAAAAAAAATATTTCACAAGTAAATTTAATACTGTCTTGTTTATACTGGTGATGAACTAAATTCATGCAGTGTTTGTGATAAATTTTATGCAGGGAAATATAATTTATATGGATAATTTGTTATTCATACTGGAGAAAAGCCTTTCACAAGACTGTATGTGATAAAATATTCATACAAAAAATAATTTAAATGCACTCTTGTTTATCCTGAAAAGAGACTTTATTCATGCAATAATCATAGTTGTTGACTAAAATTTTCTTTTTTTTAAATAATATAGCTGGGGAAGAATTTTTTTAAAGATTAAACTTTTTACTATCATATAAAATTATATCAGTCTTGTTAATCTTATTTTTTTATTCTTGTAGTTTGAATAAGTTCACATTAGTGGGTAAAACAATATATTTTTTCAAAACTTCAAATATCAAGCTTTACACATTAAAGAAGTGATTTTCAAACTTTTCTGACTGCATACCTTTGTGACAAAAATAATCATAAATTTTACCTCAAATTATGTAAATATTGTGTATATGTGCCATAAAAAAAATATTTTTTCAAAAAATAAAGAAAAAATTGCTGAAAATCAAGTTATAATTTATTTATTTCATATGAAACAATACATATACATACAACTGATAAATTATCTAAGAAATATTAAATTATAATTACATAGGAACAATGTGATTGAATTTGTTTCTATAATGCATAGTTAACAGCTAAAAAAAAAAATCCCTTGAATTTTGATTTTCAGAAATAATATTGTGTGCCAGGAAACATTTGAAAAGAAATGTGATATCCCTTTGAATTTTCTATGCGTCTTACTTTAGAGACCATTGCGTTTAAAGCAGAGTTTGTGATTTTTTTACAAAAAATTAGATTTTTTTGATTTAAATCAAATTCTTTTGATTTTAAATCAGATTTTTTTGATTTTTATTCAAATACATTGTAAGAACTTGAATTTTTTATTAAAAAAACTTTATAAATGTATAATTAAAATTAGATTAATATTGAAACTATATTATAACAATATTTTTGAAGCTCTAACTTACTAAAATAATTTTTCATTATAATACATAGCTTTGAATACATAGCAACCATTTTGAAACAAATGCATGAATGTAATTTAAAGACTAGATGAAATAGAGAATTTAAAGAATACTTCAGAGGTCCATCTAGGTTTTTCTGAGAGGTACATATTTTGTGAAAATTTCGACATAATTAGTGAAAATTAAAAATTATATTAAAAAATCAACACAAAAATATGATAAAAAAATGGATTTANTATCCTTCATTCACTGTTGGTTTCGGAACCTCCTTTCGCCAACCAACCATCCGTTGTGAGTGGTTGATTCGTTGGCGAGCTGAGCTTATTTATAAGAAGAAAAAAATATATAGTTTCGTACAAGTTTTTATTTAGTCCTTTACATACTACATCAGCTGTATAGTAGATATTTGTATGGTTTGAATAATGTTACAATGCCCTTTGAACCTGTAGCGGCTTACTATATTTAAAGTGATATAATTGTTTGAAACTGCAAAAAACAAGAGACAACTTTTTGTAATCACTTTTTTAGACCTTTCTTTACATATAAACGGGGAATCCCCTGCTGAAGTGTAAGTAGAGTACCACCCGACATCACTACCACACAGGGTTCAAGATTTTTTTTATTTAAATCAGATTTTTTTGATTTTTATTCAAATACATTGTAAGAACTTTAATTTTTGATTAAAAAAGCTTTATAAATGTTTAATCGAAATTAGATTAATATTAAAACTATATTATAACAATATTTTAGAAGCTCTAACTTACTAAAATAATTTTTCTAATACATAGCTTTGATGCATAGCAACCATTTTGAAACAAATCCATGAATGAAATTTGTGGTCTGTCTAGGTTTTTCTGAGAGGTACATATTTTGTGAAAATTTAGACATATTTTGTGAAAATTATATTAAAAAATCAACAAAAAAATATGGTTAAAAATGGTTTATCATTTTTTACGAGCCTCAAAAATAAAATGTTAAGAAAAAGTATTTTGTGAAATACCATTTTTTCCTGAAATTGGAATTTTTGAAGGTACCACTAAACGGTAGTAAATTTGTCTTGGACAGATTATCAGTTAATAATCCCACTGCTTCAAATAGACTTTGAAAGGCATATAGAGCAAATTTTTGGCATATTAGAGTAATTTCTTTTTAATATAACCTCAAGTTTTAGAAATACACATTTTCCACCAATAAAATATAATATAGATTTTAATTCCATGCTTTTTCAATCAAAACTTTTAATTTTTTTTTTTGAAAAAGTTTCATGTTTATTAATTACTTTCTACAGCTATGCACGTCTATATTAAGTCTGCATTAAATGTTTACTTTAATCTGTACTTTCAATCTCAAGAATCAAAAGATTTTTAAAAACGTAATTTCAAATGTGTTGGAATTTAACTCACACCAAGAAAGAAAGTAATTTCATTAACTAAAATTAATTAATGCAGCAATTCATTTAAAATAAATTTTAAAACTAAGAAAAGAAAGTATCAATAGTTTAAAACACTGTTTTTTTTACTTTTAAAATCAATATATATGTATATATAAAAAATCAGCTGATTTAAATCAACAAACCCTGGTTTAAAGTAAATTATAAATGCTGCTACAAATTAGAAAAACTTTCCTTTTCTCAACTGCTCAATAATAGGGTCGAATGGAAATTTTTTTTTTTAGATAATTGAAAATCATCAGCAGACATGTGATTCTTCCACTATTTCGTAGAATTCTGCGAATTTCAAGATCATTGTTTAGCGGATTTCTGCGAATCAATAACTTATATTTTTAAAAAATTTTCTTAAAATTCTGCTAATCTAAAATTTAAATTTAGTTACTTATCCAAAATCTAATTAATGGAACATTAATTCTGCCCCTATCAGCACCCTCTTTTTTCCTAGGTTCTCATTCACTAACGTTAGACTTTTTTACGCTAATTAGGAGAAAAATGAAACTGAGAACACGAGATTGAAAGAAAGAAGCTCCAAACTTCGGCTCGAGTTAATGAACTACTAAGGCAAACACAAAATTAGAGATTTGATAATCTAAAAAGTAATTCCAAAATGGCAAGCATTTAAAAGAGGGTTCCTTAGAAAAATATTTTTTTTTCTAATTTTTTTAAGAGTAGCATATTTGTTGCTAATTCCAATTTATAACAAGAGAATTATTTAATCAATGTGATAGATTCACCGTGTTTTTTAATTGGCTTCACAATTAGATTGAATAAATTTTTTATACGATATTAAGACCTGGAAATTTCGAATCTCGTATTTCACTAATCAATTTTCAACGTGCTCGATAAAATCGTAAATCCATGTTTTGATCTTTTTTTTTTATTGCAGTTAGTGCAATTGATTTTTTGATGGTATTTATAATTCTGATATCATTACAAGATGCCCTTGATTTGCGTCGATACCATTGTAAATCTTGTGGTCTTTGGATCGTTTTATTAGCCCTTATTGCTATAAATTTTCTCAATGTTTATTTTTTAAAAATCCCTATATTTTTATTCATTATTATTACAATGCACAAGATTCAATTCGTGAATTTCTTGGACATGACATTACCACTGCTTTTTCAGTCGACTTTTCTCCACTTACTTCTGCTGATATTTATATTGGATGTTATTAAGAAGTAAAAAGGCATTTAAAAAAAGATAAAAAGGAGAGGTCTTGTTTACAAATAGAATTTTTCTCACTTATTATTTTATAGTTCCAAGTTTTAATGTTTCTTCTTCTCCAAATTAAGTAATTATTTTTCAAATCCAAGTAATCTTGCATTTGATTGATCATTTGCAATTATAAGTAGTTTGAAGCTGTCTGTATTGGTTTATATTAACATTTAGGATTTTCACTGCAATTTTGCTTGGAAATAGTTGCTTTAGTAGCCTTACATATAAAAAATAGTAGCCTAAATAGTCTCCTCAGAATAATTAAGATACTTTTTTCATCCATGTAGTAGAGCTTTGAATAACTATTATAATATCTCAGCTCGATTAGTTTCATTAGACCATTTATTAATTGAACTTAACTAGACCACTTACAAATTCCAACAATATTTTTTCTTCTTTTAAAAAAATCATAAATAATAAAAAGAAGAAAATTAACGATAAATTCTTAATCAGATAAATTTATTTTGAAAACTGAAAGCAAGTACAAAGAAAATGTGTGATAAATAAATAATTGATCAATATTTAAAGTTAAGATTAATCATATTAAATTTTTAAAAAAAATATTAAGCAGTAAACAACTTAAAAGATTTTTTAATATTTGATTTAGAGATCATGTAAATTTTAAAGTGCATTTCCATGTATATAAGGTAGGTATTTATTTAAAATAATAATAATAAAATCTGCAAGTTTTCAAATATTAATACTACTAAAGAAAAGGTTTTTTCCTACACATGTTGATAGCTTTAAAGTATTCTGCTTAGAGTTTATTAACATTTTTTAAGTTTAGAGTGAAAAATTAATTCCTGTTATTTAATTACTAAATAACAAAAAAAATTTATAAAGAGAAGATTAATTTAAAAAAATTTTCAAAAATTAGTAAAAAATGCATAGCTTTAAGAAAATATGCCATAAAATTTTTTTTTATTCTTCAAATAATTTTATTTTTTAACAAAATATTCAATAAACTGAAAATAATATAAGTTTGCATAATTAGCTTGATATAAGTGTATAAATTTATTTAGAAAGATGAGTATAACAAAATTCCAAATGAATAACATAGTTTTTTGAATAAAACTCAAATAATATTGCAATTGTTATCTTTTAAGTTTAATAGCTATCACTAAACAATTGTATTGTTTTTTTTAGTTTTTTCCTTACCCAGGTTCTTCCAGTTTTTACCTCTACTGTACTGGAAGGCGTAGGTTTCTTTGATCTCAACCCTGATGGAAATATTGGTGAGAAAACAGAGTATGAAGGTGGCATATTTATTGATTGCTGTCACTTTTTGCATTTCAAAAATTATAAATTCTAATTTTCAAAAATAAAAAATTTATATACTTCTTAATTGTCTTGCAATTTTGCTACTTACATAGTAAAGTTTAATTGAATAAAAACTATAAATCATATTATTTTAAGGAAAAAAAATATTTTTTTTTTTTTAACAATTGCTAATATAGATGTAGATTCTTTATACAGACTTGGATTATCCTTGAGTAATAAAAAAATAAACTATGTAGCTTTGGGAAAATTTAAATATTTTTTAATTGTTTGTATGAACACTGAATTTAGGAGTAGATCAGGAACAAAACTTATTCTTTTAGCTCATTACAGCTTTAAAGTAGATTGAATACGCATATTGAGATATTAGATTTCTTAAACATGTATATATTAGAGTGCCTATATTGAAAAGAGTGATGACAATATCCAGGAGCGCATGCACTGCAGTCATATTTTTGTCCAAGGGGGTTGCCAGATGATACACCGAAATTGGCGCCACTCGCTCATTTGGTGTTATTCTGAAGGTTCTGTTATTCTAAGAGTATATACTAAAGTATCAATAATATAAACTTTAAGATTGGAAAGCACATGATATTACAGATTTTTTAAGAAACATTGTCTAGCATCTGAAATTGTTAAAAAATTAACGTCAATGAAAAAAANGAAGAGTGATGAAAAATAACACATTTTTTGCTACTACATAATATTTTTTAGTCATTTATATGAATATAATGTAATAAAAAGGAGGAGTTTGGGAACCATTAGTGAAATTGCCTGCGTAACGGATATAGTGAACCGAAATTTCGGTCCCTTGAAGGTTCACTATAGCGGGGTTTGACTGTATTTAATTTTTTTCACAATTGCTAATATAGATTCTTTACACAGATTTAGATTATCCTTGAGTAATAAAACTATGTAGTTTTGGGAAAATTATTTAAATATATTTTAATTGTTCGCATGAACACTGAATTTAGGAGTAGATCAGAAATAAAACTTTTTCTTTTCGCTCATCACAGTTTTAATATGCATTATATTAAGTAGAATGAATATGCGTATCGAGATATTTGATTTCTTAAACACCTAAATATGAACCAAGTTTGATTTTAAAATCACATGAATATGAAGTATAATATTTGATTCTAATGTTTTACATAGCTGCCAACTCTACTGGATTTTGCGAGTTTCTCCTGGTTTAATAAAAATTCTTCTGGTTTTTGTACATTTTTGAAAATTCACTAAAATTGAAAAAGTTTCCTTAAAAAATCCCTCTTGAAATAGAACTTTTGTGCAGATTATTGCCCTGCTTGAATATTTAAATAAGTGTCACTAATACATAAGGAAGATATCCTCATTTTACTACTACTATTTAAAATTATGAATAAACATAACATTTCAAGATCATTTAATGTGAAATCATAACTGGAAAATATTGCAGTTTTCCTATTTTGATGACTATAAAAATCCACAAAAATTCGCTATGTGTAAAACATTGAGTATAATTTGCAACAATTATCATGAAACTTACATTATTTTGAAAATTTACTGGATTTTTTCCTATCCATGTTGGCAGCTATGATTGTGTAAAAATGAATCACGATTTTCGATTGTATGATCGCATGAATAGGAATCGTAATATTTGATTTTTAAAGCATAGGAATACAAGTTTGTTCTTGGCTTTGTATAAATTTAGTAGAGAATTTATTTCAGCATATTAAAATACATTGAAATTATAGGGTCACTGGTTTAGATAGCAAAGTGTAAGTTTTCACCCCCTCCGTAAATTCTAGATTGAGACTGCAACTCAACTCGCCTCAGACATTGGTATTGGGCCTAAATCATATTTTTTAAAACAATTTATAACCTTCCCCTTACTTACTCAGGTATGAGTCTCAAATTTTAGGGCCATATTATAAAGAAGATGGATCCTGAACCATAGGTCTGTCGATGCATTTTGTTTCTGATAAACATAAGGTTTCAATTCCAACAAATTTAATTTGGTTAATGACCTAGAAAATTGAACTAAATTTTTGTTTCTTGATAGCTTAATGTTAAATTTAAGGCCACCCCAAACATACACATGTTGATACTTTTGTTACTATTTATTAGTATGTATTCACAGAAATTGATACCTTTGTGGTACAAGTAGATTTTGACAGTCAGAGTCTAAGAAAATAGCCTTATTTAGAAGATTTTTGAACTACCATTGATCAGAAGATCCACTGAAAGTATTTACATCTTAATAATTGGCATGGAAGTAGTAGAATACAAAATAATGATCAATGTTTACTCATTTCCTATACAGTAATGGCGTGTGTAAAAAGATATAAAGAAAAAGTGTCTTATAGTTTCACATAAAGAACATATCCTGAAAATTTCTTCAAAATCCAAAACCTAAACTTGCCCGATCCGTCCAATTTTTTTTAAAAAAAACAGTAGCTCTTAAATCAAACTTTTTTAAAAAAAATAATCAAAAAATCATGACCACTAATTAGAAATAATTTTCCAAATTTAATTACATAATTTCAGATTTCCTTATAATAATTCAATATAAAATTCCATCTTGATGGTCTATATCAGTGGTTACCAACTGGTGGCTCCCGAACTAAAATATATTAGCTGTCATTTTTTGCAGAAAATTGTCATAAAAAATCTATATGGGTTTAAAATACTTTTCTTTCCTTAAAAAAAACCCTCATTTCTTCGTTTCTGTGAAATTTAATATACCAATGTTGCAAAAAAATTGTATTTCTCTGGTAAAAATCTACTTCTTATTTTAATTTGTAGTTCAATACTTTTGTTTTGTATAACTTGATAAAAATCTGACAGTAATATTTAATGTTCCTTCAAACATGAAAGAGTCCTATATAAAATTTTGATTAAGTTGCGGCCTGCCATTTGACTGGTGTTTTTAACTCTGGCCTCATGTAGGTTGGAAACCCCTCGTCTATATGGTCACAGAAGTTTATTAAATGGATGACCTATAACATTTCAATCTATTGATTAAGTGGTAAGCAGATGAACCAGACAAGATAAATGAAGCATTTTCTTTACATGCTAACAAATTTATATTTCGTATAAATATGTTCAATGGAGGATCAAAGAAATTTTTGTTGAAATTATGAATAGAAATCAAAATACATGAAATAAGTATTTACCTAATTATTTTACATAGCAAAAGGTGTAAGAAAATCAAAAAGCTTATGCACACAAAGTTAAAATAGAGCAGGCAATGAAAAAGCATAAGAATTTCAAATAAAAATTACATATGCATGTAAAAATTTTAGAATTTGCATTCAGTTACAAAGATGGGGTTGGGTCAGTTTATTAATAATTTAGTAATACTGCATGAATAAGATTTATCACCATTAAATAAAAGATACTGTTGATTTTTTTTAACATAGTTTTATCCATGAAAAATTTCCATATCTGTACCTATGCGAAAATGATCGTCAAGCTTTGATGACTTCTAGGCAATAGTTCATGAGATATTAAAAAAACATGTCATAGAAGAGGAAAGAAAGGATGGGTATAACTTACAGTCACTTTTAATGACAAATTACAAGTTTGCTTTAAAAATTTTGCAAGTTAAAAATCCTTTGAAACCTTGGTAATGTTTGTTGGAGTAAACAGGTACTAATACAAAAATATTCCCAATTTATTGCAAACACCTATTAAATAAGGTTTCTTTCCAGTATGAACATAGTTCACTTAAATTATCATTCTACGAAAATCCAGAGAGATAGTCAATTTGAACTTTTTTGTGAGAGAAAAATTTAGCACACACATTGCACAAATAAGTTTTTTTTTTTTGAAGTATGAACATGAAGGTGTTTATGTGAGAATATTAAATTATATTAATTGCATGAATAAGGTTTTTCTTCATTATAAACAATATAGTGTTGATTTTAAAAGATTCATCACACATGCTACATAATAAATTTTTTCTTTTGAGTATTAATAAAAGAGTGATTATTTAAACTAGTTTTCACTAAGAAATTTATTTTTAATATACAAACTGTACAAATGAAGTTTTTCACCAGTATGAACAAGATCTAAGCAAATATTTATGGAGAAAAATTCACCATTGTCACGGCATGAACAAGATTTTTAGTATGTACAAGATAATGGTTATTTAAATTAGCTTTTTCTGTATATGTTTTACCACAAAAACTGCATAAATAAGGTTTTTCTCCTTTATGAGTAAGAGAATGTTTCAGTAAATTTGCTTTATGTCTGAAACTTTTATTACATACACTGCATGAGTAAGGTCTTTCCCCAGTATGAACAAGATAGTGATGATTTAAGCTAGCTCTTTTGGAAAAAGATTTATTACAAATATCGCATGAATAAGGTTTTTCTTTAGTATGTATAAGGTAATGATTTTTTAAATGACCTTTTTGTGTGAATGTCTTATTACACAAAATGCATGAATAAGGTTTCTCTCCAGTGTGAACAACAGCATGTGTCTGTAGATTAGTTTTCTGTCTGAATGTTTTATTACACACACTGCATAAAAAAGGTTTTTCTCCAGTATGAATCAGATAGTGTTGCTTTAAATTATGTTCAAGTGAGAAACATTTATGACACACATTACATAAATAAGGTTTCTCTTCAGTTCGAGAAATGTTTTTATTCAAACAACACTTATCAGTATAAGATTTTTCACACATTCTGCAAAAATAAGGCTTCCTTTCAATACAGACGAATTTAATTTTATTTTTAAAAAAAATTCTTCTTTTTCCCAGTGAATAATGTTTGTTTCGACGAGGATGTTATAAGTTTATTTTCTGTTTATTACTTGAAGATATCTTAATTGTAATGAAATCTCTTTACTTTGAGAACATTTTATCTATAACTTAGAATTGATTGTGCTCAATTTAAAGCCTATCTTCACCATGGTCTATCATGATGCTTAATAATACTTATTTTAGATAAAAGCCTAAATTGTATTTTTTAAATTGAAAAGAAGAAGTACTACTGCTTTCTGCTTTACGAGTTACGCAATCTCATAATCGATATAATGAAACATAATCGATGTTTATAAAAAAGAATTAAGAAATAGCAAAAACAGGCAATCGGAAACGTTACGTTTAATATCAAACAATCAATCCTAAATTAAAGTAAACAAACAAGAAGCGATTCCAGAGACATCCAGACTGAGATTAACAATATGATTTCTACTTATTTTTTAATAATTATCTAGATTTTATCCGCAGCTATTTTAATTTCAACGGACGTGCAATTTTTTTATTACATTTATCATGGATCTCATCATTTCAAAATCAGTATTGGTATCTCTTGTCGTAAGGATTTATAACTTTTTAGAAATTGAATTTTAAGCTAATATTTTAATGCTGAAATATCTTTAAGTATGGTTGTAATTTTTTTCTTTTTTAGAATAAAGCCTTTTGCCTTCGAAGAATACTTGATGCATCTTTTTCTCCCGTTGCATGTCATGCTGTTTATTTACAAAATCGTAAAAAGCACTGGAATTCTCTGTTTAGAAAAGAGAGAAGTAAAAAGGTGATTTATTGTCTTTTTAAAGGGGATATTTCCGTGTAGATACCTGATTTGATTTGATTTTGATGGAATCATTACAATTCAAGAATATCAAAACATGGCTATTTTAATTCCCTCCCAATTAAAGGTTTTTCCCAAATAATGTTATTCTTCCACACAGTATAATTTTTATAATGTTATTTTCATTATAAAGAATTAAATTGATTGCACATTTCTTTCATTTTTTAATTTTGAATGTTTATATAAAAATATACAAGTTTGAAAATATTTTTTTAATACAAGGATAAAGGAAACCTAGATGAATTTGTTGTGATAAACATTTATTTGCCTATTTCATTAATTAAAATATTAAGATTATTCTTATTATATTGAATAAAAATAAGCCTTTTTGTTTGTTAATCATTACCTAGGTTTTGAAAGTTGTGTTACCTGAATCTGATGAAAAAAGTTTCAAAGAAAAATTAACATTAGAAGAGATGAGATCTCTTTTGAAAGAAAAGGGTATTGTGCCTCATAAAAAATGGAATAAAAAACCAATGCTCATAACTTGCACAGGTAATAGTATTAAATTGTTATAAAAGCTTTGCATTAAACATATGAATATCTTTTCTATTTAACTTACTTTATTCAGACACTTTTATTTGTCTCTTTATGTTATTTTTACTACTACTAACTTATTTTTCTCAGAGAGCAGGTTAATTAGTACATTAGGTTCAGTTTATTAATTATTATTTTGTGTTTCACTGACTGATATGTATAACAATGGCCAAGTTTGTGTTAATAGATTAACCTTGTAGATCATAGGTTCAAGGATAGGTTCAGAAAACTTATTCATCAATCCAATATTAGAAGTAATGCTGATGCATAAGTTACTGACTGACATATTTTTATGAATTTGAAATAATTTTTTGCTTATCTTCATAAATTTTGTGAAATATTTATTTTAAGTAATATATATAATTCATTACATAAATTTATTATCATATGGTACATCAACTTGTGTTTATGCTTGTAACTTGTGTATTTGAACGTTTGTATTTGAACAAAAGTATTTGAGCGTTTTTTATTGGAATTCTTCGAAACAACTGCTGTTTATGAAGGCAGATAAGAACATATTTTATTCTTTTAGTAAAAACTATAACTAAAGTATTCTTAGTATAAAAAATAGTATATATAAGTACTCTTAGTGTTCAAGTAAATTTTGTGTTGATATTGTTATAGACAGCTTTTTCTTGAATTCAAAGTATTAAATACTATATTGAATTTTTTACTATCATGAAAAATCCACTCATAAGTATTTTAAATAGAAAAAACAGCATTAAATTTTTTTAATTTATAAAAATCATGCAGTTTTTTTTATCAATCTTTCTTAATATTTGTATTTTTGAAAAATTTTTAAAAAAACTTTTATTATAAATATCTTTGTTACTTAAATCTTATATGAAATATTTTTAATTTTTTTGTTTATTCAATAGAAATTATTAAATTTTATGATAAATTTTTCATAATTGTTTTTGTCCACTTCTACATGATAGTTTTAAAAATTATTACTTCTAGGTGGCATAACTGATCCATATATTCCTCCAAAAGGAGATGGGAAAATGACATTCGTGTCAAAGCAGGTACTTACAAATTCTTTCATCTTTTTTATTATCAATAACATAATTTTAGATAGTATTATGTTTAATTTATTTTTTACCTGTCAAAATAAAATCTTACCTTTTTTCCAGTTATTTGCTTATGGGTAAATTTTTAAAATTATGGTTATTATAGTACTCCTATGAGTGTCGTAGGTGTCCAATTTTGGTAGGGGACAAAATTAAAATACAGAGGTACAAAATCAACAAAAACAAAAAAAAATCCGTCTGCCATATGCTTGCAAAATGTTGGTTTTTTCTATAATTACGTCACTTTTTTCTTGTTTTAGAGAAATGAATGATGATGGGCCTTTGAAATTTTCTTAATGTTATTATTATTATCTAAAAAGTTGGAAAAATGCAGAATTTCTATAGATTTCTCACTGTAGAAGGGAATGTATGATAATGATGCACATGATTATTTATTAGGATCTTTTAAAAGATGAAGCTAATTTATCACAGGTTTAATTTTACTATAGATTTTACAGTAATTAATTTATTATTGAGAAGCATGGCAGTAAAATTAGTAGAAATAAAAAGATACCTATAAAATATTAAAAACAAAATTAATAGAGATTTAATTTGTATTTTAACTGAATGAAACTGAATAAAATGCATGTTTTATGTTAGCGAGAATATCCACCAGCATGAATTTTCTGTAAATATAAAATTTATTGGCTGCTAGCTTTTCAAAACTACTGAAAGCAATTTTTTACTCTTTCTTTAATGTATACTCTGATTTTTAATTGCATTCCTATTTTTAAAGAATTCTTCTTATAAATTTTTTTGCAATTTAAAGACAATCCTTTTTTTTCTGCCCTCGATATGACTTCTTCGATGACAAATTGTAAATTTTACTCTTTGTGAAATTGAATATAATGAAATATATTGATTTCCTATGAAAAAATCTAATTAATCGATTCAAAGTTTCCTTTTTCATATATTTTTTTTTTTTTCAAATAAGAAAGTACAAAAAAAAATTATTTTGTTACAATTCTAAACTATACTGATATAACTCAAATATAAAAACCATCATTTTAAAATAAACAATATTTAAAAAATCAATCCCTATTTTGGCTGCATAAAAATTATTTTTGAGACTACTGAATTATCTTTGACTTATTGTACACTTATGTTATGGTATTCACTTTGATATATAAAAATGCACAAATTTTAAATTTTTATCTACTTTTGCACAGGGTCTCAAACAGTTATGTGATGGCTTGGAAATAATGAAAGGAAGATCTTATTTGGCTCTCAGAAAAATTCAAAATTTAGATTATAATTTTGATTTACCAACTCTTGCTGAAAAGGGAAATGAAATATACATTGATGCCCAGAAAGCTTTGTCAGAGTAAGTTGAATTTACATTCAATTTGTAAGTTGTAATTTTTGATGTAAAATGGTTTTTCTCCTACAGAGGACTTCATTGTGTTTATTTGCAGCTGACTTTACACTTACGCTACTTCATCATATATTCTGACAGCTGTTATAACAAGACTTATTTGTAAAAAAGTTAGATTGATTCTAGTTTTTTTTTTTTTTTTAATTGCTGTTCAAGCAAGAAAAAAAAATTATCCGATGTGTATGCCAAACTGTTTTACAAAATTTCAATCAGGCAATATTTTGTTGACCATATTCTGGAATGCCAGTTAACACAATAAAGGCATGATTGATGCAAACTGGCGATTAACAATTGCTGATCTCACTGAGAGGTTAAATTAATATAATTTAACCATTCATGATCATTTGAAACACCTAGGGTTAATCTTAAAACTTGACGTATGGATTTCTCGTGTTCTTACTAGAGCTGGGCAATATATCACAAAATATTAGTATTTTTAATTATCGTGATGGTATTAAAATATATCTTCACAGTATAATGGGAATGCAATAAGTATCAGAATACATTGGCAAATACAGGAAATGCCCTTACAACTTTTTTAGTATAACTTACTTCCATAAAGAACAGAGAAGAAAACCTTCATCTTCGCAGTTCAGGTACATTGGAGACTGTTGCTTAGCGCTATTTTTTTTTTTGGGGGGGGGGNGGGGGGGGGGCAAGGTATTAGAAGATTTATCTATTTTAAGATTTTTAGACTAAAATGAAAAAAATAAGTCATTTCCATCTTCGAAAATGAGCTGTCGAAGAAAATTGTCGGAAAGTAACATTAAATCAGTATGTATGTAAATCAATATTGCGTAAATGGTATTTGAATATTTATTTTAGATTATATTCAGAATTTGAAAGTTAAGATTAAAAATGTGTGAAATGACAACATATAAAACATTAGAAGACCATTTTTTGAACCTGGGACAGTAGGTAGATATTTTTTAAAATTTTCATGACAATCAAATAGCAAGATAATTAGTTACAAGTTATCTGCCAGTTCATAACTTATAAGAGAACTGTAAAAAAAAAAATTTCTCCGAAGTTTAATGGAGTTTATTAATAAGTAATGGAGGCAGAATAATTAAATTTTCTTTTTTTTTTTTTCATGATAGAGTTTTTTTTTAAATTAAAAGTGCAGTTACTTGTATTTTTTAAAATATCATTTCTTGAATAAGTATTTTTTTAGTTATACTTACAATAATTCAAATATTATTTTGTGCATTACCAGATTTTGCATATTCATTTAAAACTTTAAACTATTCGAAAAAAATAAGTTAAATAGTATAAATTCAAAATGTCATATCTTTAAAAATTCATTTTTATGATTATTTTTTTCAGTTATTTTATTGTTTATTATTGTATTTTTATCTGGATATCGATAAGCAATTGATAATAAATCAGAAAAATTTTCATTTAATATATAAAAATGTGTGGTTTTATTTGTGTATTACTGTAAAAACCATGTTTTTTTTATCTCTCAATTTATTGTTAAACTTTCATAATTACTTGGCTATTTTTGAAATTTAGATAAAAATCTTTTTTTTTTTTCAATTTGGGGAAAAAATTTTATCAATGTAAAAAATGTCAATGTAAAAAATTATGTAAACTAGTTACAGGGAAAATATTGTGATATGTCGTAAAATATCAGTATTTATATATTCTAAATGTCGCAATATTAAAATTTCTGATGCCATTCAGAATTAGTTCTTACAGAAAAAAATTTATGCGATCATGTTAGCACTTTGTTTCTCAAACTTTATTGAAGACAAGAAATGGGTTGTTTACGAAAATATTATTTACAATAAATTATGGAATGATAATGATGAACTGGTTCAAAGTAAAGGAGGACAAAAATCACCTGGATCAGATTCTTTTACCAGCTAAGAACAAAGTTTTATCCTAGTGACAGAAAGATGGCGAAAGGAATAGACTACATATAATTAAAAAAAAAAAGCCTTTTTTCAATCAAGAGAATCTTCTTTAATTTTCATTAAAAAGAATTTCTGAACAACCCAATTTGTTTTTTGATCATATGTGATATTTACTTTTTATTAATAATTTGTTTGAATTTTTTCATTTGTTAGAAAAAATGAAGAGAAATTACAAGAACTAGTGACAGAAAAAGCTTTCATAGTAAGTCTAATTTTCCTTTGATAATTTCAATTTCTAGCGTTATATTTAATATTTCTTTTGTTTTGCACCTTTAAATTTTATGAAAGAGAATTTTTTTACACAATTTAAAATTTTTTACAAGAAATAACTGCAAATGTAATTGTTGTCACAACATTTCATTTCGAAAATAATAAATTGTAAATATATTCTTTGACAAAATATTTTTTGCAAATTTCTTTTAAAAATTGAGACATCAAAATTGTTTTTTTTTTCTTTTTTTGTGTGAGAGAAAATTAGCATTAATGAGAAATTTAGCATTGTTAGAATTATGCTCAGTTAAATGTAATAGTTTTCTTGGATACAAGGCCTTAGTAATTAGATGATTATTTTTATAACTTTAGTTAGATTGGGATTCATTGATTTTAGTAGCTTAAACACCATTCAAAATCAATCCCCTGTTTATAAATTTTTTAGTGTTTTAATTTCAAGCAATTTTTAAAATGTTTCAATGAACTTTTGCTATTAATAAGATACATCTTATTTAATCATTTTGAAGCAGCTGAACTTGTATGCAATCAATTAATTATTTGATTATGAATTTTAATTTTACTAAGAATTTGTGGGAAAATAGCTTAAAAGATATTGAAGTTGATGTTTTATTGAACTTCGGTATTGTCCTTTGTACAAAGCTCTTAAATGGATTATATTTAGATTTTCATACTTTCAAATAAGTCTGTTTCAATATAATCATTTTTCCAATGTTTAAAAAAAAAAATAAAAAAAAAAACTTTGTTAAAACATTAATTGAAAGCAATCAATCGATGTTATGAAACACTTTTTGAAAAGTGTTTGTCTTCTTTTTTGATTCTATAATTTATTTTTGATTTGAATTATGTTTCAAACTAAAATAATATGCAATAACACTAAAAGATTATTGAGTTATATTATTATGTTATTGAGCTTTTAACCCTTTATATTGATGCCTCTTTTACATATTTCTTTTTCTGGTGCTCTAATTACAAACAAAAATATATGTCAGTATTTTTTAGTTGTAAAAAAAAGTCTCGTAGTTACTTAAAAAATCTGTCAAAAAAAATTTGTTTCATTCATATTAAAAAAAGTATCAATAATAGATTTTGTAAATGAAAGAAATTTCAACGATGAATAATTGATTCTCATAGATCTAAAATCTAAAGAGCGAATTTGAAAAATTACCAATATTTCATGTACATATCCATAAATTATTAAAATGCTAAATATAATAATTTTTATTTATTTGAACTTAATACAAAATAATGAAGAAATTATGAAAAATATATTTAATCAAAATTTTGTTTCAAAGGGTTAATGATATCAGATGTAAGTCGTTTTTTAAAAAATTTCGTCAATGATCAATTTTTTATGTTATGAAAATTCAGTTATAATTTATTACAGGAAATGATGGAAGCAACAAAGTTGAGAACCATAAGATGGAACTTTATACAATCTTTAGAACCGCCAAGAATCGTTCACATCAGGTGCCAAGAAATGATATCTAAAACAAATATATTTGCTCAAGTGACTCTGCGATTATTCTCTCAACAAACGTTAGCTGTTTATGATCGTTTTGGACGTCTCATTCAAGGTAGTGAAGACACATTAAAAGATGTACTTGAATATGTGGTTTTTGAAAAACATTTAACAGTTCCTGATGGTTCATGGAGAATTCATGGTAAATTTTTTTCAGAAATTGTACCAAGTAATGATTCAGTTAAAGTAATAAACCAAAAAATGGACAAGAAAGTTAACAAAAATATCAGCTCACATCAAAATATCATTAGCAGAAGGTGAAACTGAACTTAATTTGAATTATTAACTATAAACTGAAGTGCTTTGTATTATCTTTCTTCATCAGATATCCGTTTATTTACTTTCTTTCTATTAGAGGGACTGGAAAGTATTGTTGTTTCGGTGCATATGATATTTGTTATGTTGATTTTATTTTTAATCAATAATGTATTCACCCTTGTTAGCAACAACCTTTCAATGCCGTATGGAAAATGAATTAGTTTTTAAGACTAACGAATATTTAATACGCCGAAACAACATCACTTATCCTCCTAATAATATTCTCCATTTTATCTTTTTAAAATGATATCTAGAAGTAAATCATAAAATTTATTCAGAGAATACCTACTATCATGTGAAAAGCAATTGAATCTCTAATGTTTAAAGTGACTAAGTGAAATTAGCAAAATAAATATATTTATTAATTTAATCATAATTTTGGTTTGAAAAATATTTTTTATTTAATACTGTTTGAAATGCATTTGTTTTCTCTTAACATTCTTTTTGCTTCACATAAGGAAACGCTGGCAAAATTTTAGAAAAACTTCTTGCTAAGCTCTACTTTCACATTGTATAAAATCAGAAAAACTGATTATTTGATTCAGTAAAAGCCAATGCAGCTTAAGGTTCAGAAAAAACTGTATTTAATGCTCGGATGGTTTATTCATTTATTTTTGTAATCTAATAAATTAATACAATATTAATTGTCATAACACAATTTCTTTCTTAATTTTTTTAAATATGTATTGCATATTTTGTTTGTATTAGGTTTTTAAAGTATAAAATTTTAATCTCAATTTTTTTTAACTGAGTCTAGAATAGAGAGAAATTTTTCAAACTTATTATAATTGACAACACAGAGTGGGATATTTTCTTGTACAATCCCTTAAAAATGAAACTAAAAAAATATATTCTCATAGTATGTTTTTAAAATGGAAACATTAGGATTTAATTATCTTGTAACAAATATTGCTTTTGTAACAAATATTGTTTTTAGTGTAAATTAACGTAAATTTTATTATGCTTCTATGTATAGTTAAGAAAATTTGTAAAATTGTACATACTTGAATGATTTTTCAAAAGACTTCTATCACATAGAAAACAGCATAGTCTATTGACAGCAAAATTATATTTGTTAAATTTATAAGAAATTGTAAACAAATTTAAATTTAATAAAATTGATTTGGGATGATACAAAAAAAGAAGTTTATATGTTTATAGTTAATTGATACATATTTCACATTATAAAATTATTTTCTTTGTCTATTTCTTGTCAAAGAGTGTTAAACTATATCGAAGACAATAATATACCACTCGTCTATATATAGTTATCACAAAGAGTGTATAAATATATATAAAAATATAGATTTTGAATAAAATTTATTAATCAAATACACACTTGCCAACTTTTAGGGATTATCCGTAAAATGTACGGATTTACGTCAAAATATGTCAATAATGAATACAATACTTTATAAATGTATTTCTTAATTTTTTTTTAACTGCTACTGTTTTAAAACTGCAGATGTTGCTGATTTAGCATTATTTAAAAAAAAAACTGGCATCTATAGAAAGTGAAAAAACATTTTGCCTAATGGTGTCCAAGATATCTCCGATTTTGCCATTTCATTGGTTATTGCTGCTGTTTTGGTTCACACTCACCGTAATTTTTAGTGATGTTGCTATGGGGCAAATTTTTCTAAATAAATGCCCAGCATGATCTGAAGCACAAGTTGGGAAGGAAATTGCACAAATTGTTGTTTTTTTCCTCTATCTTGCACTAAATAGAAAAAAGCAGGAGAAAACACCCTGAAGGCCTGAGGGCGAAGATTTGAGGCAAAAGCAGGAGNAAGTAGCATCATTGTAATAGAATTTGAAATGATTGAGATGATAAATGGATGGTTGATTAGATATTTCTGTACATTTTCTAACAAATGCAATTTAAAAATTTAATGAAAATTTGCTTCTCACTCAATCAACCATCAATCATGTGATAGATTATATAAATAATATATTTATTATTCATTTGTGGTGTATTGTTACTTATTAAATAATTCGAATAGTCTTCGTTAAATTTTTCATAAAAAAGTTTCACTGATGCCAGTTTTTTTAAGTTGGCAAGTATGCAAATATGAACAGTTTCAAGATGAAGGAATCAAGATTTTGTTTCTTCAAATAAATAAATACATTTCTTATTGTTTACAAGCATCATTTATTAAATACATGTTATTATTTATTCTTTTATATAATAAAATAAATTGTTTTAAAATAAACAGTTAGCATTATCTTTAATCCTAAATGTTGATTAACAAAACGAAAGTTTGTAATTAGCAGTAATTTAAATCGTCAGAATATATCTATTTGTTTAACTATTTGAATTTTAAAAAAATTATTGAATTGTCTAAATTTCCCTATAAGATTAAAATCTTTTTTTCATTTTTAATCTACCAGACTCAACTTTTAGCTAGGTGGAGTTGGAATTGAGCAAATTTTATTGAACTCTGACTCCTCAACTCTCACTTCAAAGTATGTTTCCTTTTTAATATAAACTGCAGACACTAAGATACATGTTAGAGACGAGTCTGAGCATGAAGAATTTTAATCCAAACTCAAGATACATAAGATTACTGTGAGTCTGCTTAAAATATACCCAGATAAAAGACAAATCTTCTGGTCACCCCACTTGGATGCCTAAACAAAGAAATTAGTCATTAAAACCCTTTTTTATCACTAACCTGTAACCTTAGTGACTGATTCGAACATTTGTTTAACAGCAATACAGAAGTTTATAAATTTTTTTTCACGAATCTGACCCTTTATTTACGCAAACAAGCCTGCGTCAATCTTGGGTCAAGCCTGTCTCATCTCTAATGCATATTTACATAAAAGAAATTGAAGACAAAAAAGACGTCTCATTGATTGAAATATGAAAATAAATGTTTGTTGTAAAGAAAAACTAAATTATAAATCCATAAATAAGTTTTATTTCTACAAAAACAAGCAAACCTGCATATTTATTACATTAGCACCTGAGATAGATAAAGCATTTTATCAATTTAAACAAAATAGAACTATTGTTTAAATTCATGATTTTTGTTTAAAATCATGATTCAGGATTCAGTGATTTCACTCTTTCCCTTTCACGTTCAATATACTGTGGATAATCCTAAAACAGAAATGAAGCTTTACAATTACATTCTTAATATTCAAATGTATAACAATTTAATTCACAATAACAACCATTCAAAAAACATATTTTTAAACATATGACTATTTATATATGATAAAGTAAGGAAATTAAAGTTCCTAATTTAGATGCTCAAGATGTAGATTAAATAAATAAAAAATATGGTGTTAGTACAGTGCCCAAAATGAAAAACTAAATACTCGAATAACTTTTTCGAAACCAACATACAATTTTAATGGTTTTAAAATATGGCTTTCATTATGTTAATTTAATAGTACAGACAAAATTTTAAGCTGCAAAAATGTTCTTTTTCTAAATGAACACACCTTTTTTTGGTAGATTTGAATATTTGGCTAGATCGTCACTATATGAAAAATATGTTCCTAATAGTTTATAGGGGGACAAAATTTTACCCCTATAATGTTGCTTTTGTTTCTTGTACATTTCACCATCTAGAACAGTGGTTACCTACTAGCAGCCCGCGAACTAAAATATATTAGTCGTCATTTTCTGCGGACAATTTTCTTAAAAAAACATATGAGTTTAAATTACTTTTCTTTCGTTAAAAAAATCCCCAAATTTCTTCGTTTCTGTTCTGAATTTAACATACCAACGGTGCAAAAAAATTTATTTTTCAGGTAAAAATCAACTTTTTATTTTAATTTGTAATTTACTTTTGTTTTGTACAACTTGATAAAAATCTGACAGTAAGACTTGAAATCTGACCTGAAAGAGTCCTATATAAAATTTTGATAAAGTTACGGCCCGTCATTTCACTGGAGTTTTTAATTGCGCCCCCCGGCCTCATGTAAGTTGGAAACCCCTGTTCTATATGGTCACAAAAATTTATGAAATGGATGACCTATAACATTTCAATCTATAGATTAAGTGGTAAGCAGATGAACTAGACAAGATAAATGAAGCATTTTCTTTACATGCTAACAGATTTATATTTTGTACAAATATGTTCAATGGAGGATCAAACAAATTTTTGTTCAAATTATGAATAGAAATCAAAACACATGAAATAAGTATTTAATTTCTTTACATAGCAAAAGGTGTAAGAAAATCAAAAAGTATATGTTTATGCACACAAATTTAAAAAAAACAGGCAATGGAAAAGCATCAGAATTTCAAATAAAAATAACATACGTATGTACATTTTTTTAGAATTTGCATTCAGTTATAAAGATGGGGTTGGGTCTGGTCATTAGTAATACTGCATGAATAAGTTTTATCACCACTAAATAAAAGATAATGTTGATTCTTTTAATATAGTTTCATCCATGAAAAATTTCCATATCTGTACCTATGCCAAAATGATCGTCAAGCTTTGATGACAGTAGTTCGTGAGAAACTAAAAAACATATCACAGAAGAGGGAGAGAACAAGGAAGGGTATAACTTACAGCCATTTTTAATGAAAAATTACAAGTTTGTTTTAAAAATTCCTTTAGTTAGTAGTAGTAAAAATTCCTTCAAATAAAGAGTCCTATATAAAATTTTGAGAAAGTTGCAGGCAGCTATTTGACTGGTGTTTTTAATTGCGGCCCTCGGCTTCATTTAAGTTGGAAACCCCTGATTTAGAACTTAAGTAAATCAGAAACATTTGAGCAAATATCAGTTTGCTTTTAAAGATAATCCCACTTTAAATGAGTTTTTAAAAACTATTTATATTGAATGAAGTAATTTTCGTAATTCAGAGATGGATAGCTTAATTCAAAGATACATACATAATTTAAAATAAGAAAAAATATAACATTTGAATGAAAGAGATGAAGGAAGGGATATCATGAAAGAAAAAGAAAAATTAAAGAAAATTTTGCATTACAATTTTATCAGAACATTAAAAATAAATGTTAACATTTTTATAATATAAAATAAATCGTAATTTAATTCTGACTTGCAGCTAACTTTACAAAAAAAAAAAAGAAATATTATGACAGGATAACAATGTACTTAAAAGAATCTTACTAAATATTCTTAAGTTTTTTTTTAAAGGTAGAAGTTTAAAGAAGCTAAATAAATTAAATTGTCTTTTTTCACAATGTTTCCATAGAAACAAAAATATTGTAAAACAACACAATTTGCAATTACGCTTGTAAAAAAGGTTTACAATAATAGGGTTAATTTAAACGGTTTTTGGTGGGGAATAAAATCTGAAATATACATATAATATCTAAATATTACATAATTTCACAAAATTAAAAACTAGTAAACTGATAACTTACTTTACAAAACATATATATTAAAATTTAAACTTTCAAGTTCATGGCAAATTTTATTAATGCTGGCAAGTCCATAATCAAGGAGATGATGATGAAGACATTGTAATAAGGACATAACAAGGATAGTTAAAGTAAAGTAAAAAGTAATATCACCAAAACTATTTCAAATAAAAAGTCACCATCTTCAAAAAAAAAAAAAATAAATAAAATTATATATTATTATTTTGAGGACTCCAATTTTATGCTGCTGTCTTATTTTTTAAAAAAATGAATTTATTAAAAAATTTTGTTTATAAACTTACTAAAAAAATTATTTCATTTATTGCTAAAATTAGGCTATTTTCATATGCAGATTTTCAAATCAAAGTAGCTGTTTTTCTAGTTTTAAAACAGAATCTTTGTTATTACTTGATTTCTATTATTGTTAATTATCAATAGCATTTAAAGTAAATTGTTATATGATTATTGCTCTAATTTTTACAACTATAGAATTATGACAGATGTAATAAATTACCTACCCAATTCTTAGTTGCATTCAAGTTATTTGTCAATTTTGTGAAACTTTTTTAAACTTGTAAAAAATACACACTATGTATCTCAGTTAATATACCCAGAATTCTAAAACACACACAAATAAAAGTTAGAAAGAAAAGATCTCAATGAATCTTGAAAAACACAGAAGGCAGAGTTTTTTTTTTTTTTTTTTTTTTGAACAGGGAAGGTAATGGGTATTCTCAAACCAAATAATTTGTGATTACTTATAGAAATCAAGTGACTATTAAATAAATTTATTAAAGCCGATAAAATAACGACGGTATTTAAAACTGTTTACAAATAGGAATAAGTTTTGGGAAGTATACGTACATCTAGAGGCTTGTAAATTGAATGAACAACTTGGGAACCAGCAAACATCGAAACCAATGAAGCAGTCATAAAAGTTAAATACTTGAGCCACGAAACCCCAGCTGGCATTAATCCAAATCTTTAAAATTCAGCCAGAAGAAACTAAAAATAAACAAAGATATCTAGAATAGAAAGAAAGGTTATAATCTAATATCAATTTAAAACAAGATAGAAATCTAATCTGTCTTTTTAGGAAACTTATTAGCAGCAAGTTTTATAATTAGCTTAATGTTAGTTATATCTAAGAAAAAAAAAACATAAAACAGTGTTTGTAAAACAACCCTCATTGGCAAAGTCTGACGACAATATCAACATTTGCCTACGTGAATAGTTGACTTGAAATGGTTTCACATGCAGCATAGCATAGGTCAACAGTGTCATCAGTTTATGATAATTTCTAACTTATTTTGGTAGATGGTGAAAACAACCTAGCTTCTTAAGTAAAAAATAGCAAATGGAAAAAAAACCATTTCAAATGTGAAATACTGGTACATTAATAACCTATATAACCACCAGAATTTTGAATGCAAGCATGCAAATGGGCATACTTTGTGTCATATTGATGCCGTGTCATTCTTGTGGGATGGAGCTCATGTCTGTTGCACTTGATTTGCCAATACGGGGGTAGTTAATGCTGGTTTTGGACGTCTCTGAAGTTGTCGCTCACTGATGTCCCATACGTGCTTGATTGGTGAAAGATCTGGTGATCTAGGAGGCCAAGCCAACACGCTGACATTCTGTAGAGCATATTGGAGTGGAATAACCACGAGAGTGCTGCTGCTGTTATAGAAAAATTGCTCATAGGAATAACAGACCATAACTCCAGGTGTAGGTAAAGTGTGTATAGGCCAGAGACGGGTCGGTAGCAGGCACTCACCTGGCCTCCTTTTAACTAATATACAGCTATCGCTGGCAGCAAGGCAGAACCGACTTTGATCAGAAAACACAATCAGGAACAATCTTTGATCAGAAAACAATAGATATCCACTCTGTCCTTCAGGGAGAACCAACTTGGCACGACTCACATCAGAAATGGCAGAGGTTTGGAAGGAGTGAAATACATGCTGCAGGACTTGTCGCTCAAAGCTGTACTTGATGTAACTAATTTGTAATAGTTTGTTGTGTCACTTCTGTGCCAACTGCTGCTTGAATTTCTGATGCAGATACAGTATGGTGGAACCGCCTGTTGTTTAGTAACACTGATTCTTTCTTTCTGCCATTTTAATTTTTTGATCTATCTCAAAATGAGCTTATAGATGAATTTATGTGGATAATACAATTAAATTCTCATATATAGTACAGTAATGTTAATAAATACTAAAACGTAGCAACAGATTAATGGTTAATAAAAAAGAAGACATTCCTTTTCATACCTAACATTAATGCTAATTGAGAGAAGAGATTGGTCCAATCCTAATTCCAAGAACATCCCCTAAATGTTCCCTTTTCTTTTATACACAATGGAAGATTGGTTTTTATTATGTCTATAAAAACTGGCCTCCCTTCTCTTAAGTATATTTTTCGGCCCAACCTTCAAAAAATTCTAGGAAAAAATACTTCTCAAATGTGTATAGATATACAAATACACGCACACACACTATATACTAAAAAATATATATATATTTAAATTAGCGTTTCCGAATTATCTGAATTTTATGATTTTATACATTAAAGTGGTCAGCTTTGATAGTGGGAAACGTAATACATACTTACATAATTTTTTTTTTAGTAAAAGACTATCTATGTAAAAACAAATTCTATGAGTCGCACTCATCAACTCGAAATAATATATATTTCAAAATTTATGAAGGCAAACAAATCAAACGTTTTTTCTTCCAGTGTAATCGCAAAATATTAGAGCTAAAATTTTTAAGAAATGCAAATTTATAAGCTACTATGAAATATTTTTAAAGGCTAGCAATTTATTCTAATATGAGAAGTGAAAAATTCCAGTTACCAGAGCAATTCAGCTTTCTATTCTATTTACTTCTTAGCAGTACAATAAATTTTGTATTGCACTTCATTCATACAGAGCATCTGAAATGCTTGCATCTAACTTTCTACAGGAACGTGCGAATGCTTGATGAATGCTAGAAGAACTTGATTGGCGAGTTTTTTTTTGCAAGTGATCAGAAATGAGCGAATTGCTTGCAGCAGGAATGATCCATGTGCCATCCGGATGCAGTAATGGTTAAACAAAAATTGCTAAGCGGAAACGTTCAAATTAAACATCACACCAAAAGCGTTAGCTGTATATCGTTGCTATGCAGTTACTGTGTTGAATTTTTGATAAAGGATGTTTAAATAGTTGCTGTTTCGTTCCGACTTGAGAGAAAATATAAATGCGGAGTGTTTGATATAAAATTCTCACAAAAATATGATTTTACCAAACACTTGCCTGTACTTACTGTTGAGCAAACCTAATCATGCGTTGCAACAATAAAGCATTATATGACACAAAAATATAATTTAAATAAACACTTTATTTTTTATACTGATTTATGTACGTTTTATTATAAATCTTTCTTTAAATCGACTTTAATGTGTTCATTGAAATAAAGTTAATATTAATGCAGTTTATGCTATAAAATATTTCACAAAAACATAATTTAAATAAGCACTATTTAAAACTTTATTCATGCAGTATGTGTAACACATGGTTTATTGAATCATGCAGTATCAATATAACAACATATCTTTCAAGTCAAAATGTTACTGAAATTATTTTCTCTGCACAGTGAAGAAAAATCATCATGGATGACATGGCGTTCTCACAAAGACAAGATTTGTATAAAAACTCTATTATTAATGCTGAAGAAAAACTTAATTTGTGCAGTGTGTGTAATAAATCTTTCGTACAGAAAAGTAGCTTAAATCGACACTATCTGGTACATACTGGTGAGAAACCTTTTTCATGTAATGTGTGCAATAAAAAATTCACACAGCAATCTAATTTAACGAAACATTCACTTAGTCATTCTGGGATGAAACCTTATTCATGCAGTAAATGTGATAAGACATTCACTCGAAAAGATCTTTTAGACAAACATTTTTTTGTTCATACTGGAGAGAAACCTTATTTATGTAAGGTGTGTTATAAATCTTTCACTCATAAAAGAAATTTAAGTAGTCATTATTTTGTTCATACTGCAGAGAAATCATATTCGTGCAAAGTGTGTAATAAATCTTTCAAATATAAACTAAGTTTAACTCGACACTATCTTATTCATATGGGAGTGAAGCCTTATTCATGTGATGTATGTAATAAAACATTCTCTCAAAAGCATGAATTAAACCGGCACTCTGTTGTTCATACTAGTGGAAAGCTCTATTCATGCAGTGTGTGTGATAAATCTTTTACTCATAAAAGAAGTTTAAACAGACATCATCTTGTTCATACTGGAGAAAAACCTTATTCATGCAGCGTTTGTGATAAATCTTTCAAGCGAAAATATAACTTAGATTCTCATTATCTTCTTCACAGTGAAGGAAAACCTTATTTATGCAGCTTATGTGATGAAGCATTCTCAAAGAAACATGATTTAAATAAACATTTTCTTGTTCATACAGGAGGGAAACCTTATTCGTGCAATATATGTGATAAAGCATTTTTACGCGAACATGATTTGAAAGAACACTCGGTTGTTCATACTGGAGAAAAACCCTATTCGTGTAGTGTGTGCGGAAAATCTTTTGCGCACAAGAGGAATTTAAATAGGCATAATCTTGTTCATACTGGAAATAAACCCTATTCATGCACTGTATGTTATAAAGCATTTGCACAGAAAGATGCTTTAAACATACATTCTAATGTTCATATTGGAGACAAATCTTTTGTGTGTAGTGTGTGTAATAAATCTTTCGCATATTTAAGAAGTTTAAATCGTCACTATCTTATTCATAATGCAGAAAAACCTTATTAATGCAGTTATATATGATAAAGCAACCTCACAAAATAAAAAGAATTAATCCTTTTCATACTAGTTAGAGGTCTTGTTTATGCCTTGCAGTATGAGTGAGAAAAAATTTATCCAGAAAGTAAATTGAAATAAACCCTTACTCATACTGGCAAGAAGTCTTATCTATCCAGTTTGTCTAATTAGTCTTAAGCATATGTGTATAAACAAACATTCCTACAGAAAACTCATTGAAATTCATGTTTTAGTTCCTACAAGAGAGAAACTTCATTTATGCTGTATGTGTAATAAATCCTGAACTAATGAATCAAATTTAAATAACTTGTGTGCTTCTCAAAAAGTAGAGCAATTTATGATTTAAAAATACCTAATGAACAATTTAGGAAAATTGCTAGAAAATGTATCTTGCGTATAAAAATTATACCAAAGAAAATGGAACAAAAGAGCAGAGTTAGTTATGTTTGTTGTAAGTTATTTTAATATGTGTAATGTTTGTGCAGATTTTTTGGGACCCTTGACCCATTTGTGCCTAGCGTACTTTTAAAAGGAACCTTCCATATTTATTTGTAAATTTACTAAATTTTATTTTACTTCATTCTAATGGAAATAGTAAAATATTATAATAAAGTTCTGTCTTTTTTATTACGCACAAGCAGGGTTGGCTGGTTCATACCAATGTAGTTTAGACCAAAAAAATTTTTTTTTAAAGAAAATCATTTAGATGACTTAATTTGTTGTTTATATAATTATCTTTACTGTAAATCCAACCATATGAAAAAGAATTTTTTCATTAAAATCTTTATAATCTTAAATTTTATTGCCAATGTCAGTCTGTTGCTACATGATGATTAATATATATGATGAATGTATGATGTGATAGAAACTTATTTGATGTTTAATTTTTAAATGTTAACTTATTCTTATTCTTCTGCAGAAATGTATTTGCGAAATAAATTAATGTGGATAAATTTAAAATTAAGTCGAAATGTCTCTAAAAATTCTTAAAATCAGGATTTGATTCTTCTGTGAACCTCAAAACTGTGATTTGCAGATTTTGGCAAATCAATAATTTACATTCTGTCAAAATTTTCTCCGAGTTCCACTAATTTAAATTTCACTACTAACACAAAATCGTGTCGAATCTGCCCTTATCAGAGACCACTTTTCTTCCTAAGTTTTTATTTATGCACAACAGTGACTTTTTTTACTTGGATTTGTGAGAGAAAAATGCAACTTCAAAAAACTTCCAGAACATGAGACTAGGAAGAAACATATTAAATAGTAACTTCAGCTAAAACTACTGAATTACTTGAGCACTCAGAAGCATAAAATTGATGATCTAAAAGTAATTCCGAAATAGCAAACATTTAAAAGATTGCTTGCCAGAAAAATTATGTTTTTTCTCATTTTTTTTAACTTATATTTTAATGTGTAAAAATTTTGCTGCAAATTCCAATTTGTAACAGAAGAATTATTGAATGAATGTAATATATTTGTCAGATTTTTGTTTGGCTAAAATTTAATCAAATTTATTTGTAATATGATATTGCAACATGCTTATTTTGATTAACATGCTTGATATCAATGAAAAACTTGTGCCTGATCTTTCTTTTCTTTTGCAGTTAATACAATTATAATTTTCTCATGGGTTTTAAAATCCCAATATTATCACGGCATGCAAAATGTAAATTGCACATTTCAGTGATACTTTTTCATGCACTCGATTTGTGTTGATGCCATCGTAAGATTGTGCGGTGTTTCTATCGTTTTATTGGCTATAATTGTTATGAATTTTCTCTATGTTTATTTTAAAAACCTATATTTTTTAAACATTATTATTACAAAATGAAAAATTCAATTTATCAGTCAATTTTTGAGAGGGCAATGCTTTTTTCATAGTTATCTTTACTGATATCCTTGTAGTTTTCGATATATTTGATCGTGATATTTTATACACAATATTCAGAATCAAGAAATTCATATTGCACACTTAAGTAATAATTTTTTTATATGATTTGTGCAAAAGCAATATGCTCAATTTACTAATCCATGTGCTGTTTCAATGCTGTTTTTTTCTTTGGCAGTTATTGCTGTTGATTTTAGCATGACTTCTTAAAATCCTGATATTATTATGGGAAATTCAAATCGCCTACCTGAGTATTCACTATTTTATGCAATATTCTATCATTTTCTCAATAAAGTTTTTGGCAGTTATCGCTATTGGTTTTGGTATATTTTTTAAACTCTTAACAGTTTTATGATATTATTTATTATAACACTTGAATCTTAAAAAAATATACATTTAATTAACCCCTTTATGACATACATGATTTGTGTAATTTTATTATAGACATTGGCAATCTTTTTTCAGTTATTGACATGAATTTCTTAATTTTTAGTATCCCTTTCTTTGTGCAATGATGAGTAACAAAGTGTGGAAAAAGAGGAATAGGTTATTATTTTTTTCTAGTATTAATATTATTTTATATGTTGATGAGAAAAATTTATAAGATTAAAACTTTTTCTTTCTCACTTTAAATTTTATAAATGTTATTTTTGTACATAAAAATGATAGTCTTTTTCTACAAAATAAATAAAATTGCTAAAATAAACTACACATTGAGAACACAATTTTTGTAGATCTTTTATTACAGCAATCAAATGTCTTTTAAAATTATATTGATGGTTTTGTTTAAAAACAAAACTATCCTATGTTTTGATGGGGGTTTTTAAAATTATTTAAAAATGCAATTTTAGAATGATTTAAAGTGAAAAGATGTTTTTTTTATATATCTAATTATATAGTAGATTGTGTTTGCTTCAATGAAATCATAAATGTAAAGAGTTGCTTTACAGACTGAAATATTTTATATTTCGAAATTTGTTCAGTTATGATTGTAAATGATTTTTTTTAATGTGTGTATATAGTATAGGTTTATTAATGATTCTAATATTTTCAAAATACAATGATCATACAAAGGAGCAAATTTAAAAATATTGAAAAATATTCAAAATAATTTAATATATTATCAATTTAAATTATTTTATTTAATGTTGCATTATTTATAAGAACTGTTATGCTTAAAGCATCATCCTGTTTAAATAAAACAAAAAATTCTGAATTGACGCAGACATTATAAAAACATGCTGCTTTAACAACATTCACCATAAAAATAACTATAATGACCTCATGGGAAAAGTGAAACGTCCAAAGTTGTAGTCTGTGCGACGAACTTAGAACCAACGAACTTAGCTTTTTCCTTTGAAACCTGTCATGAGTCTTTCGTTCGAACAGAAACTTTTCCTTTGCTGTTATCAGTGAAGTATCTTTATTTTGTGAAAATGCCTCATAATATGAAATTTTTGTTTGCAAGTTAAGTTGAAATGTGAAGTATGAATAAGCATACTCAAAATATGTATGTTTATTTATGTTTATGGAAGAAAAGTTAATGTTTTTTTATTGATGTAGACAATTCTATAAACTGCAATTCTCCATAAATCATATTATTTTAACTTGTGTAAACAGTAAAAATCGTGCAGTTAAGAAATTTTGGTAACTAGGCAAGAAATTATGACTTTTTACATTATTGGTTAAAATAAAATGTAATTCAAAAGCTAAGCAAACCAAAATTGATAAAATTCTTTATTAGTTCGAATGCTTCGGAAAATTTAAAATTTTTTCTGTGAATAGTAAATATTTTAGTGCATCTTTTTGTATTTTTAATTGTTCATATCTAAAAACTATTTGTCCGCCAGTGAACTGATCGTAATGACACGGTTCTCAGTAGAACACCGAAGTCAAGCACCACTGGGTGAGGTCAGTAAGTGGGTGGATGACCACTTTGATCAGCCTGCGTAGGAACCGAGGGTGCGCGGTATCGGTCCTCTTTAAACTGTTATGTCGTAAAGTGCTCGACTTTGCGTGCAGGACGTCGGGCTACTAAAGCAGGGGAGCCATCCCTTCTGCAGAGGCTCAAAATTGCAATGGCATGCTTTGCATCATCCTCAAGGATGCTTCCCAGACTGTTGCCAATAGCCATTGTGCAACTCTAGTGCGACATAAATAAATTACGTACCTAAGCACTATTTTAAAGATACATTTTAAGATAGATCTTTTTCAGACCGAGATTGCCATTTTTAGAAAGTTAATTTAGATTTGTGACATGCTCTATGTTGTAACAAAAAATTCTATAAAATGCAAAATTTTGCATTTAAAGATTTGCATTATGATGATCTTCTACTGTATTTATTGATAATGTTAATTAATTTTAGAAAACATTTCATGATCATACTTAATAGTAGTTTAATTAATTTTAGTTTAGAGTGTGTAAAGTATCATATAAATTTTTGTTTTAAATAAACGGGAAAAAAAAACTCTGTTTCTCATTTTTTTTTTTCATTTTAATGTGCTAAGGTCAATATTAGGTGGGTTTTATTTTTTTTGCTTGCCAAGACACAAGAAGTAAGTTTTTCTCTCATTATTATTGAAAATATTTTTGTTAGTTAGTTAATGTGTTTATTGCAATAGTTTTTATTGCAATGTGTTTTATTGTGATGAGTTTTAAAGTAATATTATAAATTTGTGATATTGTATTTTTAGTAGTGTTCTATATATAGGACGCTAGGCATGAATGGGAACAAGTTTTTCTGACCATTTCTTCTTCGTGTAAGCACATTTTTTTGTGTTTTCCTGTTATATTATAGAGAAAATGTTATTTATTTCTAATATTAAAATTTTGATATGTAGTATTGAACAAAATTAATGAATAAGTTTTAATAAATCTAGAGGTAATGTGAATTTTTTTTTCTTCTAATTTTAGTGTTGTTAACTAATTAAAATGAAACTGATGTAATACTGTAATACAGTAAAACCTTGATCCATCTTTCCCGCATCTTTCGTTTTCCTGCATGTATTGTCTTGTTTAACAATCCCTTCACAAATATTATTCTTATAATGTTAAAAATACCTGCTTAGATAATTTTTTGAACTAGCAGATTCCCGCCTCTATTATTCATAAATTCTACTGACATTTTCCAAAAACCTTGAAGTAATTTCATCTGGAGAGGAAAAATACTGATGATGAAGACTGATACTGATGATGAAGAAAATGAGGATTTCTTACAGTAACGGGGGGAATTCACGATCGCAACGCTTGAAGACACCATCTGGGGAGAAGATCTGTTCCATGTCTTGACCCTCTCCCCTTCCCTATTCTCAGTTGTATTTTCTCCTTTCTTAATATTTTTTGTATTTAACTGTCAAAAATGGTTTTTTTTTTTTTTTTTTTTTTTTTTTTTTAAATTTTCCTGGCTCTTTCTTTTAGAGCTATGTTTAATATAGTTTTCAGTTCCATATTGTTCCCTAACTTAAAAGTTTTTAATCTATTTGAAAATTGAGAAAGAAACTAACGTAAACTTCCTTCTCCTATGACTCTCCACACACTAATGGTGAAAGGTGAAAGCAGGCGAAGTGCTGCCATGGGTAGAGGGTTCTAATTTACGCCACCTGTTGCTCATTTCGATCGCCAATGCCTCAAACAACAGGTTTAGTGCTTATGTATGAGTTGATGAAAATGTTGAATCTTGTGTTGTCTGTTCAAGAACTGGTTGCAGAAGCTGAAGAAGTGCACAAGAAGTTGAAGACAATGTACTTAGCCACAACCAGGTCTCAAAACATTTGAAACAATAAAAAACTTTCTGTATTCATAGGAACTAACAGGAAATAAATTACAAATGTCGAAAATTTATTGTTACCGCTAAGAATAAAAGATTGTGTCGAATCCAAAATTTACAAATATTTTAAATAAGTAAGTCTGCACCCTTTCATAAGTAATTCACCCTTTTGCATTGCCCAAATTTTTGCATTTAAGTTCATAATTTTAAAATTTTTAGACCAATTACTTAATTATTTGTTTGCAACTCCATTACTTTTTTTATTATTTTTCATACAATTTTATGTCATTGTTCAATATTTTAAGTTGACACGCATTCGTCGTTTTTCCGTATCTATCATTCGTTATGAATGGTCCCTTTGAAAAAGATCGATTGAAGTTCTACTGTATGTATGTAGTTTTGTTTTTAGACTTAATATTTAAAAATGTGTGTAATATCTAACAAATTTCATTTCAAAAATTAATATCAGTTTCAGTATAAAATACAATTGAAATATGCTATCAAAAATATTAAAGCTCTGTTTTTTGACGGTTTTAAGGCGTTGGCTTTAATGACAAAATCATCTGATGATAACTCATTTTATGATTTTAGCTGATAAATATTTAGATTTTCCATCTAATTAAATTACTGATGAAGATAGTGGGGGGGAGGAAGATTGAATAGATATGAATAATTAAACTGGGGAGGGGGTAGCCACGAACAAAAGCGGTCGTTACTTTTTGAAAAAACCATAAAGGACAAATTATTGGTCGGTGTCTTGGGATATTCATCCACTTTTAGATTCACCTGGATAATTTTTTTAAAAAAAATTTTCCGCACATGCGCTGTATAAAGCAACTACTTCAATTACTCTTATCTGGCGCAGTTTTTATTATTATATTTTTTAATTTTTAAAGCAGTAATTTCGTTATCAGTTTAAAATTGATTCAAACGCTTTGTTTAATTTTTTTTTATATTTAAGCTATAGCAAAAGTGGCACTAGACCTAGTATATATTTCGGACATTTACCAAAGGTCTAGTCATACTAGGTCTGGTTAAGTGCCATTGCCCGGTATATCCTACACTGATGTTTTTTAAGGTCAAGTGCCATTGCCCGGTATACCCTACACTGATGTTTTTTTAAGGTTCAGTGCCACTGCCCGGTATACCCTACACTGATGTTTTTTTAAAAGTCAAGTGCCATCGTCCCGTATATATTTGCCCTATACTCCAAACACTGTTTGTTATAATCTATCGTCAGTAAGTATTAAAATATTGAATAAATGTAATTATATCCACGAATAAATTAATATCAAATCGGATGTAATAAATATTTCGGACATTCATCAAAGCGACTAATTTGATTTGTTAACATTCACCGGTGAAAGTCAACAACCACCGATTTCGGTCATTCACAGTAACATGCACATCATTTACATAATAACCTCATCAGGACGATTATTTCATATTTTGCCTAAATAGTATCCGGCATTTTAAAAAATAAAAATAATTGATTTTGTTGGCGATGATCTCGTAAGGCGATAAAGAATCATGCATAGTACAGGTAAGGAAGATATTAACCTCGAAGGAAAAGTGGATGAATATCCCAAGGAACCTGGTGAGTCTGACAGTGAAAATGATTTTATAGGTAAGACTTTTCCTTTTCCAGAAGGCGCTTTAAAAAAATCAAAGATTCAAAACAAAAATCGGAACTGATACAAAAAAAGAATTGTCTAAAAATAACACGCTTCATTTAACATGGAATTTTGTTAGATCACCTTTTTTAAACATCCTACATCCATTGGTCTCCTACGCCTTTGCTGTCCCGCAGTGGACTGATCGTTAAGACCCAGCAGATCACCGAAGTCAAGCATCACTGGCTGCGGTCAGTGTGCGGGTGGGTGACCACTTGGGTCAGTCTGCGTAGGGTCCGAGGGTGTGCGGTATTGGTCCTCGTTAAACTGTGTTACCGTAAAGTGCTCGACTTCGCGCGCAGGTCGTCGGGCTACCGAAGCGGGGGTGCCATCCCCTCCACAGAGGATCAAAATTGTGATGGCATGTCTTCGGATCATCAGTTTTAATGTTTCCCAGATCGTCGCCAATAGCCCATTGTGCAGCTCTAGTGCGACGTAAATTAACCATCTTTGTTAAAATTAATTCTGAAGTAATAGAACATATTTTCACTTGTCCAGGGGCCAATGGTCTGATGAGTGGCTAATTTGTAACAGATTTAGTGTTAACCAGTATGTTCTTGTTGTTAATTTACGTCGCACTAGAGCAGCACAATGGGCTATTGGCGACGGTCTGGGAAACATCCCGGAGGATTAACCAGTGTGCAATACGAGGAGGTCCACAACGTTACACACCAAAGATAATAAAATATTATTTATTGTATAATAATATATGTCGTGCCTTTTTATAATAATAGTTTCAATTATTTTGTGAATTAGTATCTCAAAATTTTGTGATTGTACATTATTTTCTACTTCTGATTAAACGTATTATTAAAAAGGTTAATTAAAAATTTTAAAGCACAGTAGAATATTGAAGTAATGGAAATCTAAATATTTCATTGTATGAAGTTTTTTTTTCTTTCTAATATAAATTTAATATCTAGAGCTGATTTGTTAATAATAAAATTCTGTTATGAAAAAACCCGCTTTTTCGAGGTTTTTTTTCGAGTTGGGTAAACGTCTGATGGGGCATATATATCCCATCAGATTCGAAAACGTTAATTACTTCTTTATTATTTGTGATTTAATATTTACTTGTTTATTATTTACTTATTTATTATTTTATTAACTATTTATTGTTATCACTTATTTATTATTTCCTTATTTTTTATTTACTTATTTATTATTACCTATTTATTATTTTCTTTAAAAATGTTTGATTCAATCGTTATTTATCAAGCGTAAATGTTGTTCTAAGTCCAAGTAGGATAAGATGGACAAATAAGTAACTGGTTAAAAATTGGTTATTGAGATTATTTTTAATTGTTAAGTACTCATCGAGAATTAAAATTTACAAAATGTATGACTTTTTTTCTTTTTGAAAAGTTATGATGTAGGCATTTTGCGTAAATCTAGAAAAATAAATTAATTCGAGTATGATTTGCATTAACAATGTTATTTGTTACTCGTCCTTAGTTTAAAATCAAACTCAATTAGTAATTACATAACTCCCTGTCTTTTTTTTCTTGTTTGCATGCTTTTTATCTAAAAACATATTTATTACTATATAAAATTGGTGATAAAAAGAAAATCATTGTCTTTGATAAAACATATCTCAAAGATAAAAATTACTTGTGATCAGGAAATTGAGTCTACTAGCAAGGAACAAAAGAAAGACACGAAGGACAAAAAATGCCGAAGTAAGTGTATATATATATATTTATATATTTTAAATTTCGTTTTATTTATTTTCCTTATTTACGTTAAAAGCAAATATAATGAGGTAAAGTGTTGTATTGATAAATAATTTTTTGTCGGAACAAGCCAACTCAACTTGGGAGGGAGGGTCAAATCTAAAATTGTCAAAGATAATATTGATCAACAAATATCAAATCAGTCAAAGATTTTTTTTCCTTAAGTTTCTTATTTTTTATTTTATTGCAACTTCTAATATTTTTACTTCGCTTACCAAAAAATAATTCCAAATATTTTTATTTGCGTTTTTATTTTTTACCTTTTTTTTCTTTATAAATATCAATTTACCATGTATAGGAGCGCACAGATTTAAGAATAATTATTAAAGAAACATGCACCGAATCGTTTTAAACAATTCAAAAAATTCCCGGATGGAATAATTGTTTTCCACTTTAACGACTACTATTCCTAAAAACAGTAAAACACCATGAGAGCAGCACAAATAACAAACAAACAATAAAATACCATAACAGCAGTTTCAAAACAGAAATTTGGGGTTGCATAGATGGTTAATTATGCAATTTACTAACTCTCTTAATATAAAACAATTGCCTAATTGTCTCATAACTAAATATATTAGCAAAACTAGCTTTCAACTTGTTCGTATTAGGAACATACTATATTAAAAAAAATTTTAATAAAATTATAAATTGAAAATTAGCAATATGTTCGTTAAAGTTTTGGAAAAACGTTCCGCCTCACTAAAAAGTTGCGGAACGTCGAACCGCCTAGACCTCACTACACTCCTAGAGTTAAATACAGGGTGATTCTAAAAAGATGGGCAAAATTTTAGGAAGTGATAGTACACACCCAAGCAAACAATTGTTATCAAAGAATGCATGGTCGAAAACAAAACGCAAAACCGCTAGAGGGCGTGAAAGTTTATGTTCCTATAAGAGGCAAAAACACACAAAGAACGATGAAGTTAAGTTATAAAAGCAAATTTAATGGCATGTGGTTACAATAAGTGTTCAAAACAGTGGCCGGCAGCTGCTATGCATGAAATACAACGGCGAAGAAAAGATAGGCGAACATTCTGTAACACACCAGGCATATCACGAACTTTCCCTGCAGCTGCCGAAAGCTTGGCGACAAGTTCTTCTGCAGATTCAATGGGAGTCTCATACATAAGAGCCTTCAGCTGTTCCCCCGAAAAGCCAATTATTTTTTTTATATTTTTAGACATTGTAGCACTCGAATCAGCAGCTTTTATGTATGAATCGTGACGAAAAATTTGCATACGAGCTCTTCTTCTTCCCATAACATGCAAATAATAACAACTGAACATGAAACAACTTTCCAAATGAGCCAGCACCTTTGCGTTTTGTTTTCGACCATGCATTCTTTGATAAAAATTGTTTGCTTGGGTGTGTACTATCACTTCCTAAAATTTTGTCCATCTTTTTAGAATCACCCTGTATAATTAGCTGGAAAATTGAGAGAAAAAAAAAAACTCAAATGAAAAATGGCAACCTAATAATCTCGAACCCGAACGAAAACAATTTCCTCTTAAATACCGATGAAAAAAATGCAATGCATAGTAATATAACATTTATCATTTAAAATACTTCTGAAATTTATAAAAAATTAATAGAATTTGTTTTATTCTTTTTGAAAATTTTGTTGAATCGCTTTTTTTTTTAAATGTTAGACAAATACATTTTGATTTAAATAATTAATTGTTGAAAATCGCTTGCAAAAACTCAAATATGAACCCAGTATTAAAGGGACTAAATCATGACGTTAAAATAGTGAATAGATCGAAACTTTCAATTCTGAATTAGCTGTTGAAAATCGCTTGCTAAAACTCAAATAAAAACCCAGTATTAAAAGGACTGAATCATGACGTTAAAGTAGTGAATAGATTGAAACTTAGAATTCTTAATTAACTGTTGAAAATCGCTTGCTAAAACTCAAATATAAACCCAGTATTAAAGGGACTGAATCATGAGGTTGAAGTAGTGAATGGATTGAAACTTTCAATCTTGTTACAGTGAATTGAATTTGGCAGATTTGATGACTGGGTATTTCTAAGGCAGATCAATAACTATTATGCTTTGTTTACAAGCATTCATTGCATTTGGTACGGGCATATACTGCTTCTTAAAGTTTTCATAGGACTAGTTCTTAAAATTTCTCTGATTTAAAAACTTTGCTTAAAGTAATTTTTAAAATCGGGGCTGCATGCAGTTAAATTCTGCAAATTTGAAAAGCCCTTGCTGTGAAAAAGTGCATGTAATCATAGTTTCAGATATCCTTTCTCCGTATTTAAATTGATTTCAGTTTCTGAAGATCAAGTTTGAAATTATTCATCTTTGATTTAAGAAAATGTGTGAATAGAGTAAATAATAAGTGGTTACCTAAAAGAGTACATTTCTTTCTCACTCTCAGAAGTAACGTTAAAATCACTTGATTTGTGACGAAATGGGAACTCACAAATATATGACGAAAATGTTGCCTCAACTCGAAACTTCGTCGTCGTGCATTGTGCGACATTGTTAACTAGACGATCGAAAATAAACTGACGAATTACGCTGACCAGCCATTATGGTGATCAAGAGTAGTCAACCGCGTGCTATGAACATTCCGGGTTCGAATCTCGCTTGGGGCATGGGTGTGATTATTTTTTTTTTTGCTCTATTCGTCCTTTTTGCTTTGTTAAGGCGACTATAAGGTTTTTTTCTTTAAAAGAAATAATAAAATGACGAAATATTTTTTTACTATTGACGAAATTGCCTCCTCAAAGAAGTGACTATAGTTATTTCGTCACTTTGACGAAATGTTCACTCGGAGTATATACTAGGAAACAGTTTCGTCAAAAGTAGTTGTAGTTAATTTACGTTGCACTAGAGCTGCACAATGGGCTTTTGGCAACTGTCTGGGAAACAACCCTGAAGATGGTCCGAAGACAAGCCATCACAATTTTGATCCTCTGCAGAGGGGGTGGCAACCCCGCTTCGGTAGCCCAACGACCTGCACGCGAAGTCAAACACTTTACGGTCGAACAGTTTAACGAGTACCAATACCACACACCCTCGGTCCCTACGCAGACTGATCCAAGTGGTCACCCACNTGCTATGAACATTCCGGGTTCGAATCTCGCTTGGGGCATGGGTGTGATTATTTTTTTTTTGCTCTATTCGTCCTTTTTGCTTTGTTAAGGCGACTATAAGGTTTTTTTCTTTAAAAAAATAATAAAATGACGAAATATTTTTTTACTATTGACGAAATTGCCTCTTCAAAGAAGTGACTATAGTTATTTCGTCACTTTGACGAAATGTTCACTCGGAGTATGTACTAGGAAACAGTTTCGTCAAAAGTAGTTGTAGTTAATTTACGTTTCACTAGAGCTGCACAATGGGCTTTTGGCAACTGTCTGGGAAACAACCATGAAGATGGTCCGAAGACAAGCCATCACAATTTTGATCCTCTGCAGAGGGGGTGGCAACCCCGCTTCGGTAGCCCAACGACCTGCACGCGAAGTCAAGCACTTTACGGTCGAACAGTTTAACGAGTACCAATACCACATACCCTCGGTCCCTACGCAGACTGATCCAAGTGGTCACCCACCCGCACACTGACCGCAGCTAGTGATGCTTGACTTTGGTGATCTGCTGGGAACCGTGTCTTAACGATCAGTCCACTGCGGGACCAGTTTCGTAAAAAAAAAAAGAAAAAAGAAGGAAACTTTTGTGAATAATGAATATCCATTTCTTACAGTTCTATAGTTTAATATTACTCTTTGATATTTTTTTAAACTTTTCCTAGCGCACTAGAAGGCTTCAAAGGAGAAAAAAAAGTTATAAATGTTAAGGTTCCGGATTTGTGTAACCAACGACATGACAATGGCTATATCGGCATTGCAAACACGACTCCTTTATTTCTCTTACAAGCTGATACTTATCGGCCTGAAGATGGGTGAGCTTCAAGCCGCCACTGAGGAGCGAACCCCATTTTTTTACAATGATAGTTCAGAGCCTTTAACCACAAAACCATCGCGGCCCAATTCCTCTCGCTCTGCATTAGTTTTAATTTGGTTATGATTTATTTCAAGCTTTCAAGTGAATATGAGCTTTGAAGCTATAGGACCGAAAGAAAGTAGAAATTTGCCAGGAATAATATTTTTACACGAGATAGCATTCTGTAAAGAAACATGGAAATTATGCTTAAAGCCGATAGCTGATGCAACAGGACGTATGGTTTGTATTAATCATGAAAAATTAGTTATTATTCACTCATGTAAGCAGCTTCTAAGAAACACCAATTTCATAAGTATTTCCTTTAAAAAGATTTCTTTGCGATTTAGTTCACTATCGCTCTTTTGGAAGCGATCTCCCTATCCAGTGGCGTTTAACGACCCACTCATCTCGTTAATCGTTTCCTTGAATAAAATCCTCCGGGATGTTTCCCAGACCGTCGCCAATAGCCCATTGTGCAGCTCTAGTGCGACGTAAATTAACAACAACCAACCAACAACCTTGAATAAAAAACAAATTTAATTTTTGACTTCTTTTTTTTTCAATTCAGGTAACAAACTTTAAAATAAATAAAATCTTGCATTATAATTTCGAACAACTATATAACCTAGCGGAAAATCTCCAAAAAGGAAAGCGGGTTGTTAAATGCTGCTGGATTGTAAATTAGTCTCCTGGAACTGATTACGGTCCGCTTCGATCGCTCATTTTACCTTAGTCTTATTTAATACCTCAGCTTTACTGTTCTCATTTTTTTTATGCTTTATCTCACGTGGGAAGCTCGGTCGTTTATAAGTTATCGCTCATCAATCTCATGGAGTCTGCTTTGCTTGCTCACTTCCCAAGTCGTCATAATAGTGAGGCAAGCTTGATGTTTTCCTTGGGTCTTTGATTCATAGGACTCTAGCGGGCCATGAGTACGGCTATATTTCTTTTGTTTTAAAAAATTGGCAATTATAAATATTTAGTTTTGTTAAAATAATAAAATTAATAATTAAAAAAATAATAACTTATGAAATAATTTTAATTAATAATATTTAATTAAATTAGCAATGAAAATTTGATAGATAAAAAGCATTCTTTACTATTTCATAATATTGATGTAATAAAAAAAAAGCAATCTCTTCATTTTTAGGAGCTCTGCACTAAACGACATCATATAAATCAGAATTATAAAACTGGAAAAAAGAATTATTTCAGCATTATTAGATTATTATCCAAGCGGAGCCTTCAAAGGCAAAAACACTCATTTCTTAAAGCTGTAATTCTGTGCGTAAAAAAATAAATAAATGAAAAGTAAATAAATAAATAAAGAATAATAAATTTAAAAAAGCTTAAGTATAAAATTTAAACGAAAAAAGTAAAAAAAATGTTACGTTTTCCGTTTTTGAAGAAGGAATTTTATTTTATTTTCTTAAATGACGTTTGGAAAAGAAAAATCAAATATATTTTACCATAACAAGCCAAAAACCTCCGCAAAACGAAAATTGTTAAATGACCTCACAAACTCCGCTGGTTCTGTTTATTTTACTTCCATGTGATAGCAGAATTATTGAAAAATCAAAATCGGAACAAAGTTATATTCGTTCCATGAATGCAAACTTAAGGCTTTTTCAATGGATATCCTAAAAAGTTAGCTGATAAATTTAAATAATTTTATAATGAGTTTTGAATTTTTTATTTTACCTCTTCTAAAATGTATCATAGAGCTATGGTGGGTCAGGGGATAGAGCACTCGCCTCCTAGTAAGGTGACCCGGGTGATACGATTTCCACACTTGGCTCGCCCCAATCACCAACCACGGTGCTGATGCAAATAATCATCAGTGGTAGACGGATCAAGGGTTAAAGTCCCCTCGCCGTCAGGCTATCCATGAAAGATTTTCGTGGTTTTCCTCGCCACGTAACGCAAAGGAACGTAGGAAGGAAAATTATTCATTCCACGAAGGAAAATTTCATCTGATGCTTGATCCGGGAGTTTCCTTGTCTTCTGGATTGGATTCAAAATTACAAGGTTTCAGAGTTGAATATTAGTAGTAGTAAACTCAAATTTTGTGTTGGTTGTTTGACGACAGTTATATATATATAAAAAAATGTATCTTAATAATGATTCAGATTTTAAAAACGATATCAATTTTTGAGCTAGGATATATTCAAAAAAACGGTTTAACATGTAACACTATAATACACGCGATTCCGAAAGTCTCCACAAATTTTAATGAAGTACATAAATAGTAGCTTAATAAACTCATTTTTTTATTNCGATATCAATTTTTGAGCAAGGATATATTCAAAAAACGGTTTAACATGTAACACTATAATACACGCGATTCCGAAAGTCTCCACAAATTTTAATAAAGTACATAAATAGTAACTTAATAAACTCAATTTTTTAATTTACTTTCAGTCATATTGTTTTTTAATGAAACAGTGACAATTGCCAAAGTAACTTACTGTTATGTTTCTTAATTCTCAAGGACTGTACGAATCCTTATAGTTTTCAACTTCTTTTTTTTAAAAAGGATTTTTAAAATACTGTATTAAGGGCGGTTTGTAGGCAACACCCGCTTATAATAGTATTTTTGTTTATTTTTTTGTAGGTGGTAGCGTATGACACTCGTAACCATGGAGACAGTGGATGGATTACTAATCTTAGTTATGAATCCATGATGGAAGACTTGAAAAATATAATGGAACATCTACACATGCCTAAAGCTGTTCTTGTGGGTCACGGAATGGGTGGTAAAACGGCAATGGAATTTGCTTTGAAATTTGTGCGTAAATATTTACCTTATTGAATTTCGCATTTCTTTCATTTTTTTTGTAGTACCACATTTTAAAATATGCGTATCTACGTTAAAAAAATATGTAAGCATATTACCCATAGGTAAAATGGGTCTTGGTTTGGATTTGATGGCGTCCGCACACTTTTCAACTGTGTTCAAGAGTTATAGTAAACAGTGCGCATGCGTCGTCATTGCATGCGTTTCCATGGCAACCGCTGCTGCTTTTCTTTTTTTTCCACTAGCAGGCATTTTTAATGTATTTACATAATAATAATTTAAAATATTTTTATTATTATCGTATAATTACTGGCTTGACGGTGATTTTAATATAAATGGGAATGCTGAAGAAGGAAAAGTATTTTGTGACGTCTTGAAACACGTACATAGTCCGACGACAAACATCAATTGAGAAAGTTTTTGCAAACCATTATTTGAAATGTTGTGGCGTTTAACGGAATCAATCCAGAAGGAAAAAAGCAGTTGACAAATGGGTAACCAGTGATCGTAATATGGCGATCACAGCTTTTTTGTTGATTTTGTTTTTTTTATTATCTGTTATTTTGAAACCCTTTATTCCATGAAATAAATAATCTCTAAAAACTGAAGTGGAGGTTTATGAAAGCTCTTCTTTCGAATTCCCCGCAGTACAAAACATTTGACCTCAAATCGAACTGTACTGTCAGTACGAATTTTACAAAGAGAAAATATTGAGAACAGTAAAGTAATATATATATACTAGGAGGCTTCGCCCCCTGCTCGCTGGCGCTCGCCAACCCCCGGAACTGCTTTCGCAGTTCATTTCGGATTGCTTCGCAATCCGATGTTCGCTTTGCTCGCTCATTGGATACGTTCTTAACGTCTAGCTTTTGTATACATTTTTGAACACTGAAGTTCCGAAAACTTTTCACTGTAGAAAGTTCTAAACCTGTGCATTTCAACATTAATTTGAAATTGCAAACAGTTCACATATTTTTCGTAACCACACTATTCTAAATTTCAGTTGTTGAGAAAAGTAGCTGCTGTAAAGTTTGTTTTAAAGAGTTTCCCACAAGAGGGCTAAAACCATGTGTTGTAAAACAATATGAAATAGTACTGAACGCCGGATGTCGCCTTCGATGAAGATAATTTTGTGAGAATTTTTTTGATAATTCGGTGAGAATTCACCCGATTAGCCATTTGATGCTCACTACGTGCTCTTGCTCGCCGTAGCCTTTCAATTAAAACGTATTAGCGTTTTATATAATATAGATTAACCATATGATGCTCACTACGTGCTCTTGCGCGCCGAAGCCTATCAATTAAAAATGAAAACTGTTGCCAACGCGAGAAAAGAAATATCATCGGTTTTATTGATACATACGTACGTATTAGCGTTTTATATAATATAGAAGATATAAAAGGTTCACTTTAATTTTCTCAATATTTTCTCCTTGTAAAATTCGTACTGACAGTACAGTTCGATTTGAGGTCAAATGTATTGTACTGCGTGGAATTCGAGGGAAGAGCTTTTATAAATCTCCTTATCTACATAATTATTAATGCTAGTTATTCAAGACATCATTATAATACTGACTAGATGAACGATAATAATAAAAATTGTCAAACATTATGGACCGTGTTTACAATTGCAATATTGGCCCACGGAGGAATTGAACTTATGACCTTCGCTTTATTAGCACGAGCTCGTACAAGTTTTATTTATCTAATTTTTTTTTAATGCAGCAGTGTTTTTTTTCTTCTTCTTTTCATTACCAGCCTGATTTAGTAGAGAAAATTGTTGTTGAAGATATGTCTCTGAAATATCAAAACGGAGGTGAGAACGACTTCTGCATGAAATATTTTGAGTTGCTTACGGAATCTCTTAATCACATTCCACCTCATATCAAAGATCTCGAGAACGCCAAAGAATTTTTGGCCTCATACATTCAACAAAGAATACCAGAGGTGAGTATGTAATGCCAATTTTTTTTAGACAAGCGTTACCTTTTAATTAAAATTAATAAAATTAATTTAAATATATGAAAGAAAAATTAAAAGAGAAGAATTTTTTTCTTATCTATATTTGTGCTCACACAAAGCTTAATATATATACAATAACAAGTGGTGTATCTAATGTTAAAGTGAATGATTTTATGCAATAACAATTTCTCTAACACTTTATTTATTAATGTTATTAGCAATAATATTAATAGTGAACAAATTAGTAATGTCTTTTATTTTACTACGTTCCTGGTCATAGTTAGGTTTCTGGTTAATTCCGCAAATCTATTGAGGTATAGATTTGAGTTCCTACTGTGAAAATTTATTACAATAAAATCACCATACAAAATTCCTGAGATTTCCCAAACTGTAATGATTGTCAGCCAATATAACTTTAGATGCTGTTACTCATTTTTAATTCATTTGTCTAAACGCATGCACATTATGGATCCCAAGTAGATACTTAAACGAAGAAAAAACAAAATCGAAATCTAAAGAATCGAAATCTAAAGGAATCATTATCGGTTATNAAAAAAAGGTTGAGAATCACTGGTCTAAACGCATGCACATTATGGATCCCAAGTAGATACTTAAACGAAGAAAAAACAAAATCGAAATCTAAAGAATCGAAATCTAAAGGAATCATTATCGGTTATTTGAAATTTTACTATACTTATAGTCAAGGTTAGTTTTCTAATTAAATTCCACAAAACTATTTAGCTCTTGGTTTGAATTCCTGCAGTAAAAATTTACTATAAAATCACCTTACAAAATTCCTGAGATTTCCCAAACTGTAATAATCATCAGCCAATATGACTTTCGATGCTATAACTCATTTTTCACTCATTCATTAGGGGATTACAAAATTAATAATAAAACATGAAGAAGAAAAAAGCAATCGAAAGCTAACTAATCAGTATTTAAGAGGGTTGAACTAAAATGAATCAAAACTGGTTTAAGTGCCGGAGGGAGCTCAGATGAGGTTGAAATACGATTATTCGAAACACTTCCAAGTTTCTCTTGCAATCAAACAGGTTTTGATATTTTCAGCACTGTCTCTCTTATTAGTGATTCTTTGAATCTCGATCTAGGTTTTTGTGTTTTTCATAGCTTACTTATTAATTTGGGTGCTATTGTGTATAATTTTGAATCAAAAATCTATATTAAATTAGAGCATTGCTGAACACTCTCAATAGCATATTAACGATTTTCTGTTCTTGCTGCATTTCTCATTGCACAGTGTGAAAAAAAACCATCGTGAATAACTTTTGATCTAGTGATTAGATCCTCACATACCAGGAGTTATTGATTCATAGAGATGACTTTAAATATGTTAATTAGCTTGTGCAAACGATATTGTTACAAAATTAGGCACAAGAACGTACTTTCTCTGAATAAGTGTGCCTATTTTTTTGTTTCTGGATTTTGATTTCTAACCTTCAAAATATAACGGGTAGTTTCAATCTGAGAAATATTGTTTGTTTCAGAGAGCGTTCGAAAGTTAACCCCTTTAATGTTAATTTTACTATTGAGTATTTCGCCATTTCTCGAGAACGTTTTTAGCGAATTAAAATTTTTTTAAAAGTATATTCTTATTATTTTATTTAATAATAGCCTAAAAAAATTGAAAAGTTTGGTGCACAAATTTTTACATCATTTTGAAGAATGTACTTTTATTGGGTAAAATATAAAGTTTGAGCGAAATCAGCTCAATAGTTTCTGAAAAATTTAATTTAAAAAGTAATATATTTAAAATTCGATTTTTCAGGGACTATTCAACCGATTTCATTCAAATTTTCCATTTCGCGTTAAAAATGTGCATACCTTATAATTCACTTTTTTTTTGTATATTATTAAATAAAATAACAAATAATTATTTTTAAAAATTTGTTTTTTTTTCTTCATGAAATTATCTTTGGAGAAACGAATTTTATAATTGTGTGAATTTTTTTCTTCAATTCGTTTAAAAATTTCTCGAGACATAACGAAATAAAAAAATAAAATAAAAATTAACTTCCGACCGCTCACCTGTCCAAACTATGGCAGCTATATTTCCCAGATTAAGGCTACCCTCCCTCTATATTTTGAAGGTCATGCGTCAAAAAAAAAGCATGTTTATTCAGAGAAAGAACATTTATGTGTCTAATTTCGAAATTTATAATATCGTCTGCACTAGTTAATTAGCTTATTTGGGGCTATCCCCGTCAGCCATTAAGTTTGAGTCCTGTACTTGGAAATCCTATCATTAGATCGTAAGTTATTCAGGATACTTCGTTTTTTTCCCCTTGTGCTGTGCATAAAAACTTTTGTTTTTAATGTAGGAATATAGAGGTGATAAGAAAGGAGAAATAACGAAAGCCATGATGCCTCTTGAAATCGATTCATTGAGTGGAAAGTTTGAGTGGAAACTTCATCTGAAACTTTTTGAGTATTCTGTTAAGAATGCATTTGAAGCTGGACCAGAATTAGGTGGTTTCAGAGTTTTTAAATATGAAGGAGAATATCAAGGCCCAGCTCTTTTCCTATGTGGTTCTAGATCTCCTTATAAAGTGTGAGTTTTTTCTTTCTGCTTTTATTTCCTACCCCTTTCTGCAGTTGCAGACACATCATCCTACAATGGCCAAGCACATATAGCCACCTACCTTTTAACGGTCCCGCTGATCGTAAAGACGCGCTTCCCAATAGAACACCACCGGCTGCGTCAGTAAGCAGGTGGGTGACTACTTTGATCAGCCTGCGTAGGGACCGAGAGTGTGTGGTATCGGTCCTCGTTAAACTCTTCTACAGTAAAGTGCTCGAGTTCGCGCAGGTCCTCTGGCTTCTAAAGCAAGGGTGCCATCCCTTCTGCAAAGGATCAAAATTGCGATGATGTGTATTCGGGTCATTCATAGGGATGTTTCCCAGACCGTCGCCAATAGCCCATTGTGCAGCTCTTGTGCGATGTAAATAAACTACTATCTTTTAACGATAATGGAAGGAAAGCCACATTTTTACCCGACCACATGACGTAGATAGCAGCTGGTACTGCAAACTAGCAACTTGCGAAGTCCATTACCAATGAGAAGACTTTATGCCTGGACAGATTTAATTTGCACCTTGTGACGTATGCTTGACGGTTTTTTAGTGGGCTGAACGAACTCACTACCTCTAGTTCTCTGCCAGTGGGCGATGCCACACTGGAGCGCTACACTTGCATTCAAGCGCTCTCGAAACAAAATCGATTAGCAATAATATCGAATTTTTTTACTACGAGTTTTCATAAAGAAAGTATTACAAAGACATAAAATATATAATATTGATGGGAAATGGTCCCGCAGTGGACTGATCGTTAAGACACGGTTCCCAGCAGATCACCGAAGTCAAGCATCACTGGCTGCGGTCAGTGTGCGGGTGGGTGACCACTTGGATCAGTCTGAGTAGGGACCGAGGGTGTGCGGTATTGGTCCTCGTTAAACTGTTCGACCGTAAAGTGCTCGACTTCGCGTGCGGGTCGTCGGGCTACCGAAGCGGAGGTGCCATCCCCTCTGCAGAGGATCAAAATTGTGATGGCATGTCTTCGGATCATCCTCCGGGATGTTTCCCAGACAGTCGCTAATAGCCCATAGTGCAGCTCTAGTGCGACGTAAATTAACAACAACAGCAATTGATGGGAAATGAAGTTTATAATTCATGAGGAGGAATACCCTTTCCGTGGGTTGTTTTTTATAGTATTTACTCTCCATGCAACTTAAACGCGGGTTAAATTTACTCAATAAGTCCTCTGTGTCTACGCTTGAGTTAGAATTTCAGTTGTCTCCTGAGTTGGGTTAAAAACTAAAAGGATGAACAATGATAACCTATCTGTCAATTCAATGCCAGTAAAAAAAATTTAAGAATAATCTTTCAGTATTATTTATTTATTGTATGCATTATGAATTATTAAATACATATTATATATGTCTTTGTAACATTAAGATCCATGTTACAATTTTATATAATATGCAAATAATTTTGTAATTACATAAAAAATTACGAATTCGAAATGTAAAATAATTTTTATTACATAAAAATTTAGTATCTTAACTGTATCCATATAACGAACCGGTTTTTAGTGAACTTAAATTCTATTGCCCATGATCGTTTTCGTAATAGTCACATCTTAATATGGTTAATGGTCCTACTAATAGAATTTGATGCACTATGCTATAAATGAAAAAAAAAATTTTTTTTTCGTAGGATTATTTTTGTATTTAATTAGAATTTTAATAATGGTGAATCTGAAGGCATCGTTATTCTTAAACATTACTTTACTGAGATATTTTTTTCTTTCTGAATGGCTCTTAAACGTGGTGCTTTGATAGTTTTAATTATGCTTACATTATTCTATTACTGTCACAATGAATAAAGAGGCTGACTCAAGATTAAGAATATTTAATGGATTAATGATGAACTAATCCAAAAATGATAAAGTATGCTAAACTATTACAAAATTATACCAAAAATAATGATTAAGTTCAAGTATATAACACCGAAACAGAATTTTGTAAAAATAGAAATAAATTCATTAAAAAACAAATGTATGCATTTTAAAAAATTGCAGTGAAAAAATAAATAGAAAATTAAAATTATTTTTGAAACGAAGTTAAATCTAAAGATTTGTTTCTCTAGATTTTCGCTCATCATTGTTTTTTTATTTTCCTTTTTAAAAATCGACGTTTTTAACAAAAATAACTTTTCGTTCTATTTATTTTCTTAACCCTTTGACGCAGTGTTTTTACTATACATGTTTTTCATAAATTTTTTTATTATTTTGTATTAATTTAGGTCAAAATAATTGAAACATATTATATTTAAGATTTTTTTTTATGAAATACGCCATGATTATGAAATATACCATGAAACACCGGTGTCTTTTTCAGCGTTAAAGGTAAAATCTTCCAAAAAATAATTTTTCAAATTTGCCCTCATTTGCTGTTATTTATATCTAAAAGAAACAGTTATCCATCAGTGACATTTCTTTAATTAACAAAATCAATTTTTTATATATTTTTAAATATGAATGAAATTTTTTTTTCAAATCACTTCTTTTGCATTTTACATTGTAGTACAAATATAATTCTTGTAATATAATAGAATTTTTTAGCAACTATTAAATTGTTTTTAATAATTAAGAAATACCAAGAAAAAAAAATCTATAAAAGGGACACAGATGTCCCATTTGCATCAATAAGGGTCAACATCCTGTACAATTAAGAAATAAATCAATAAAAAAAAACTTGCATATTAACTAAATTTATTTATTTAATTTTTTTCTTTTTGGTCCTAGGTTAAAGGATAAGGATTTTATTGTGTCATACTTAAAAAATGCCACATTCAAAGAAATCGAAGGTGGAGGACATTTGTTGCACATTGATTTTCCCGAAAAGTTTTGTGAAGAAGTCGCCCAGTTCATAAATACATGAATTCACTACTCTGTCTGATGTCTCTTATTGTTTAGAAAAAGATTTAAAAAAAAAAAACTTTTTTATTTAAGAAATTTAAAAAAATTTCTTTTCTCAGAAATTATTCTTACTGAAAAACAAAATCACATAAAATAATAAATCTACTAAAAAAAAGTTGTATTAAATTATTTAATCTTACAAGCTAAGTAATAAAATTTTTTTAAGTTTTACGTTTTTTATAAGGGTAATATCGAATGAAGTAAGTATTTCGGGGATTAAGATTTGTCGGCATGTTATATATATACTTGACAGATTTTTCCTCAGAAACGCAACGAGGAAAATGTGTTATAAAAAGCATAATGAAGCCGTAGGAAACTGAAAAGTAGTGATAGGACTTATTTTCGTTCGATAATTAAGCATTTTCAATCACACCGACCGGGCTGTGTAGTGGTCAGGAATTTGACCTCACATCAGAATGGTCCTGGGTTCGAATCCCGGATAAGGCACGAATATTCTTTCATTCTCTGTACTATCTGTCCTTACTGTAATAGTTAGCCCGCCTAATAGGGTGCCTATGAAAGTGCGGCCAACAAATGTGTCCTACTGATACCTGAATGACGAGGGTCAATCGGGTAGGCAATGGAAAAAAAATATTTTTAATCACACCTATTGATCACCTCGTTAGTAATTCGTCAGATTTTTATAACGTTATTTTTTCATTAAAATATTGATTTGCGAATTCCGTACATATTATTTTGCTTGGTTACTTCTAGTACAAATGTATTATGCATTTATTTTTATTTTTACATTGAGCTCAACATAGCATAGTCGCATCCGGCTCTTGAGTTATTAAAATGTTACTTAATCCAAATAGATTCAATGTTCTTTCCATGCACACTTTTTTAAATTGGGAAAAAATTATCACATAAATTAATCATATTCAAAATTGCGTTGTAGATCAGCTTTTTTTTTAAAAAAAAGTTTTCAGAGATTTCAAGAAACAAGTGTGTTGTTTTCGTTTTTGCAGATCTGAGCTGCCCCATTTATCTACCATGACTTTAAATTCATAATTCGGCCACGTGATTCCATTTAATCTACATATGCTTTTTGTTAGAAGGAACTGAATGCTCTTCTGTGACTTTTAGGCATAACGCTCTGAGTTTTTCAGTCCCCGTTCTTAACTTTTGACGTTCTGATTATCTTAATTTGAGTGTATAATAAAGTTGAATAGTTATACTTCAATCAGAATATTTTTTAATATGGGTTTATAAACTCCGAAGTGTATTAGTATTTTCAGAGCACTACACAAACCTGTGTTCTTTTTCGTCACCATCCAAGAATTCGTTTGTCATATACAGGTTGTTCCAATTTTAATTAATTGCTTGTATGCATTACCTTGCAATTTATGAATTTTTTTAGTGACCGATGATGATGACCTACGATTTTCTGTGTCGTAATCCAGATTGGAACCGTCCTGCAGCGGATTGATCGTTAAAAGACGGTTCCCAGTAGATCACCGAAATCAAGTAACACTGATTGCGGTCAGTGCTCGATCACCCTGCAAAGGGACCGAGACTGTGCGGCATTAACTCGCACTCGTTAAACTGTTCTATCGTAAAGTACTCACTTTACTGGATCCCCCCCCCCCTAGTTAATCTGAGTATAAGCTATATATAACTTTAAAATGATTTCGACATTTTAGTAGTATCATAAACAGGCCGGCTGTTTAGTTGAATGAGCGAACCTACATAAGCAGATAAAAGAATATACTACGAGTAACTGTAAACAATGAGTATTTCAAAAACTTCACTTGTCGCAAAAGTAATGCATGTAATGCAATATTATTTCATAAGGACTTCCTTACAACTGCAAATTTTAGTTTTTAAGCCTAACCTTTGTTCTATTAGAAATACAAATCTATAAACTCTTAAAAAATAAGAAAAAGAGTGAAATAATGTAAATTTGGGGAAGATTTACGTATCAGTACCTACGGCTGTCACCTAATTTTGGCAACAGGTGGGCAGTAACTCACAGGAAACTAAAAGAAAAAAACAACATCACAAAAGGAAACCAACTCGAAGGGTTTAACTCGTAGCCACCCCCGGGCAAACTACTTAAAATTTTTGCAAGTACAACAGCCCTTTGGCTTCTTGGTGAAAACAGTATATGCGAACAGGTACTAATAAGGAAACATCCCGAAACTCTTTTTGCCATATAAGTTTAGAATGAAAAATCGTCATTTAGAGGTGTTAATCTTTATCATTTTGAAAATTAACTATAATTATAAAAATCAATAACTGGAAGTACTTTGGCATTTAAATTTATTAAAAAAGTGGAGTTTATCAAACTGAGTAGAGACCAATTCATTTAAATAAACTTAGTTTAATAAATTTTGACAAAAAAAGCAGTCATTATACTTAAACACTGGATATTTTTAATATGTGAAATAAGCCGTGATGGCTCAGGGGATAGAGCGTTCGTCTCCCAATGAGGTGAACCGGGTTCGAATCCCAGCGATAGCTGGTCGATACAAATTCCGCATCCGGCTGGCACCGACCACCGTGCTGACGAAAAATATCCACAGTGGTAGACGGATCATGGGTTATAGTCAGGCTAACCATGGGAGGTTTTCCTCTCCATGTAACGCAAATGCGGGTTAGTTCCATCAAAATGTCCTTCACGAAAGCAAATTCCTCCCAATACTCCATCCAAGAGTTTCCTTGTCTTCTGGATTGGGTTCAAAATTATAAGGCTACGGAGTTGAAGATTAGTAGTCGTAAACCCGAAAAATTGGGTCGGTTATAACTATGGTTATAAAATAAAATAATAAGTGAAATGTAATTGTGAAAAGAAGCACAAATGAAACTTAAAAATAAGAAAAAAACCATTTATTTGAATGATGGTAGTAGCAAAACTATACAAATTTTATGAACATCAAATATCACTTTCAAATGCACCGGAAGTTGGTTTTAAAGCTCACGTAAAGACCACATCCTAATTTATCTGTTCAATAATTCTTAAATAAAAAAAGGCCTACTCAGAGAATAGATAAATTGAGATAAGGTCTTTTTTTTTTTTGTTTGACAAGGAATTTGTAAACAACCCTGATTAGCTGCCTTTAATGGAAAACAAAGTTACAAAAAAGTTTAGGGAAGTTATACAAAACCTTCTGAGGCAGTGTGAGCTACAAAAAAAAGAAGTCTTAAATTAAGACTGATTATGACATAATCAGCTGCCTATGAGACATCAACAATGTTATAACATTTAACTGAAAAATATACAAATGCAAAAGCATGTTATAAGCATTAAATTATAAATTAGGGAAAAAAAACATTTTCATTAAGGTTCAAATGTGGTTTAGAAGTCATTTTTTGTCAAAGCTATAATTTTAAAAGTCAAGTTTTCATTGTTCACTCTTAAATGTATATGGCAAACTTGTTAAATATCATTGCGAATATAAACTAAATAAATATACGTTTAAAATTTAAAACAATTGCTTCTGATACATACATTTAAGAGATAACTTTCAAAATTATGATCACGTGCTATATTTTTTTTTGAAACACTTTAGAAACCTGAACGAAGTTTAAAAAATTAACATTAAAAACAAAATAAATAATATTACATTCGCAAAGCATGCTATACACTCAACAAATTATTATAAAATTGGCACTTTTGAAATTAATATTAAAAAGAAAAAAAAAATCTAAATGAAATTTTGATTAAACAAAACTGAGCATATAGACTAGTTTGCGAATGCAAAAGTGCAAGTTCTAAAGTGCTTCAATAAAAATTGAATACTACCAAACCACATTTGAAATTAAATCACAACAGAGATTACCCAAGCCCCTTAACCTGGCTACGTTAACGTCCCACTTCCTCAAAAAATAATATACAGAGACCATCATGGACAGCAATAGCTCAGTTTCCTTATAAGCAGGTTTCAAGTTATAAAAGAACTCAGTGTTCGTTAAAAATTAAATAGAACACAAACTCCTTGCCGTTTTCCCCAACTCTTTGTCGCTGACAAAAAGAGTTGAGGGAACAGTTTGGCACATGAACACTATACCAGCTAGTCAAGTGAAAAGAGAGAGAATCGTTTACTTGTAGAAGAGCAACAAAACCTACAGGAAAGCGAGCTATTTCTGTAAACGCTCTTAAATCTTAACTCCCAACAGTTCTCCACTCTTAAATCTTCAAAGGAACTTAAATATGAGAGTGGGTCGAAATTTGATCATTGTAGCCGAGAATAAAGCCATCATTTAAAGGCTTAGTCCATCCAAGCCTGCTTCCATTGTGGCAAGAATACCGGTCAGCTTAAAATGTTCAGCATCGATTGAATCGGATGCTTTGTCTGTCCTGAATCAACACCATATTGTTTGGACCGGTCAATAAGTTTTTTTTTTTTAAAGACTATTATGCGAAGAAGGATAGTAGTCTGGTGAAGGCTCAGCAACTGGTTCTGGTGTTGTATAGAGTGGATTTGGAAAATCTGGTGGATGAGGCAGTGGTCCAGCAGCTTTAGGCCTTCTCCTATAGGCCATCAACCAACAGGAAATGGCAACTGCTACGGCAACTAATGCCAGCAATGTTGTAATAATCAATGAAATTATAAGTCCTAATTTTGGCAAGCAAACATTATCTATTTCTTCTATTGAAGGTCCTGAAAAAATAAACAAATACATGTATTATAGTCATAATCAGATGCAATTTCAAAACATTTTTATAAAAAAGTGCTAAGAGATTTCGTTCAAAATTTATAAAATGCAACCTTTTTCTAAGCCAACATTCATTTCACGAGATTAACAGAGATATATACTCCAACATAGATGAAGCAGACATTCGTGTGGATAAATAGCTCTATCAGATGCTGTATTCATATTTTATTAATAATCAATTAACCAATAATTATTATTAGTTACTTTTACAGATTATTAAGGGTAGTAATTAATTTTTGTAAGTTTAAGACTAGATTCGGTTACAGATTGATATTGCTAGGTGTTATAACGTCATTTAAAAACCATATTTTTTAATTGCCATTAAACAATGGTAAAAGCTTTAAAAGTTTCCAAGAAATATTTTTTATTCATAAATGTTCCAAATCAAATCAATCAAAGAAAATGTTTATAAACGATAATTAACTGAAAGTACCTTCTGTTGGCAGCGCCACCTGGTTTTCTTTCTTCTCGAAAGTAAGAATGGCATTTGATTGTACCATAATCTCTTCTCTTAGCGCTCCCTCTTGGAAGCCTTCTACGGCTAAACTATTACGGTCTGGCGCTTGACGTTTCTTCCTTCCAAACGCATCTACTCCATCGCAATTAACCTAAAATTTAGTATAATGAAATTAGCACTATCAGCAATAGAAGTTTTTTTTTAAAAAAAAGCAGGCATTATTTTTATAATTCAAATACATATTATCAATATAAAGGTGGAAGAAACCCTTAAATTTCTTGAAATAAATGTTTATTGGTTTAATAGAGTCGCAGAATTTAAATACTTTACCTTGGAACATTATTTAACAAAAATAATGACATGGCAGCAGAAATCTATAATCACATTATGATGGCAAACAGAAATTTCTAAGGGCTAAAAAGAATACTAACATCGAAACTCGTCAAACGAGCAACAAAGAACAATATTTATGAAATCCTAATTCGACCACTAGTCCTGTACGGCTACAAGTGTTGGACAACTACTAAGGAAACAGGTGATTAACTGCTGATCTTGGAATGAAAAATTCTGAAGAAAATTTATGGCCCTGTGAATGAAAACAACCTATGGCGAATACTTCGCAACATTGAGTTCTATAATAAATTTAAAGAACCCACTCATCGTCTAAATCATTAAGACATATCATATAAGATGGCTTGGCCACTTGCAAAGATTAGAAGATCTTAATCCTGCAAGGAAACTAACATTTGACAAACGCTCTGGCACCAGAAAAAGAAGAGCAATATAGTAAAAGATCTTGGCGTGCTAGATGTCAGAAATCTGAGAACAGTGGCCTTGGAGAGACAGCGATGGCAGAAAAAGACTTAGGTGACCCTAGCCTGTTCTCGGCTGTAGTGACGAAGAAGGTGAAAGAACTAAATTTATCATTATCATGATTGAACTTCACTTTTTATTAAAATAATCTATATTCAAATTCCGAACGACTGAATCTAAAAAATATTTTAAATTCAAATCAATTTAGTACCATAAGCACATGCATGAAAATTACTTACAGGTGGGCATGAGCCAAAGCAAACTCTGATGTTACACTGGAATCTCAAGTTGTTGCTTGTAGGGAATTTGAAGGCATTGAACCGGGCAACCAGAACCTTTTTATCGGGATCCAACTGCCAATTTCCAAAGATGCTTGGATCCGTGGCACAACCATTTGAATCAGTCACTTCATATTGAATTTCTTCGTTGTCTTCAATTGTTTTTGCAACACAGCTTCTGGCAAATCCACCATAGATAACTTTTTTATGAAAAAAAAAGAAGAAATAATACAAGTTAGCAAAGTAGACTAATTTAGTAAAGATACATAAATATTAACATTGACTGATTTCTTTAACAATCAGTTAACACTTAATCCATGTTATGTAGAATTTTAATGTTGTTTTATAAACTTCTAGCTTTGAATCAAATCCAGGAATAGAAATTAGGCAATGGGATATAGAATCATGTCCACTTTTTGGTACAATGTTATAGTTTAAGGTAGCTTTGAGGTTCCACATTGAGATATACGATAAGATAATGGAATGTCCTGGTTAGTGCATCTGACAACTAATTGAAATTTTGAATTTCTTTGATCCTGGAGTCCAATCACAAAGTGAGTATATATACTCAGTAAGGTGTATGCACAGTCTACTATAAAAGAAACTCTTCTTTTTAGTGTGGAAGTGTACACAAAGGTTACCAGCTCAAGTGCTGATCCTATTGTCTGTATAGAAATTATGTAGATTAATATTACATAGGGATTTCTGCCATGGGGGCTGAAAGGTAAGGACTATATAGCCTAGAAGAAAATGACTACAAGCTTGGCCAAGATTAAGTGTGTTATTGTTGAATATAAAATAGGTTAATCATTACTTGAAGAGTTACACATAGTTGTCTAACGAAATCTTATTGTGAAAAACATACAATATATGAAAATCATTTCATTACATAACTGAAAACCACTTACAGTCAGGTTGTACATCGACTCGCAATAGCAAATCATCACCGATTTCAGCACTGTTTACTTCACGGCCATTAGCATTGGAAATTGTCATGATGCAGGTCGGAGGAGGTCCAGTATTTGCTATTGTTCCTGATGTTGTTATCATGCTGAAATACGTACGTATATTTGTCAGAAAGATATTTAAATGGTCATGTAGTTTAAAACATATTCTCAAAACAAAACGTGGTTATTTTATAAATAAGTAATTGATAATTTTATGATCGATATAATCTTTTTTTTTAACTGTAGCAAAAAATATTATTTTTGGAGATTTTTTTTTACAAAATTAGAACTAAATAAAAAAAATGTTGCAAATGGTGTATAAAAGAAAAAAAATTGTATTTGAAAATAGCTTATGCTAATTTATAATATGCTTCAATCATGCTTACCACCACATAATAATTGCACCCAGAAACAAAACGTTTAAAAATAATTATATTAATGCTATAACAAGCATGAATTCTTAAAAATCACACTTAAAGTTTCATATTACAATAAAAAAAAGTACAAAATATCATACATTTGATACATACCTTACATTAAAACCTAGAGTAATAGTCTTTTCTCCTGTATTGTATACACATTTGATGTGATATGCCTTAGCTCTGTAAGTCATCAACTTAGGATGTTTTTGAATAACTAAAATAAATGATGCATCACCCTAGGAAAAAAACAAAACAAAAATATCTTAAAATTTAACCATCCTTAACATAAATATGTTCTTGAACATTTAAATATCATAAATCAAAAATGATTCAATCTACTATGACTATTAATCAAACAATTTTCATAAAGTGAAACAACACAGTGATGTTGATTTGAATAACTTATTGTGTTAGCAGTTTTTCAGCTGATTTTTATTTATATATAAAGGGATGAATGCATACACTTTTTTAGACAAATCTGGTAAATAGCTAAAATAAATTATAATAAAATAAGTGAAGACTATGAAATAGGTATCAAATAGCCTATCCAATAAGTTTAGGTGTCAGATATCTAACTTTTTTTTATCCGTTTTATTACAAAGGCAGTTAGAGTGACTAAAACAATTTTTTCTTCATTATTAGAAGGTAAAAAATGGTAAATACATTTATATATCTTTAAACTAAACTAAAATCTTCTAAAAAATATCTTAAAGACCATTTAAGAAATATATGTAAATGTAAACGGGAAAATAATTATTTTAAGCATTTAAATAACACTATTTCAAATTTAAGAGTTTATTACACGTCATATTCCCTACATTCATATGTATTAGAAAACATGCATTAAACAAAATTTTAAAATCTGCAAATACAAACATTTTATAATTAAAACTACAATTATTATATCAATAAAACCAACTTAAAAAGTTATAATAAAATTGGAGGGGAAAATATATGCTTTAATATTTTAAGGGTTGAGAAAAGTACTTACATTTGTATGAATTAGACCACAAGTATTAAACAAAACTTTAAAATCTACAATGTCTCTTTCTCTGTTCCTCACAACTCTCCTGCACTCATGATCCTGGCTGTGACCTTTCACATACAGAACTCCATCAAATGGCTCCAAATCAACAGATACTTGGATTCCATCAGCCAAACAAACAACTGAAATTCAAACAAAACAATTTTATGAGGTTTAAATTTTGAAAGAAATTCAGTCATTTAGAGGTCTTCAAATTTTTCAATTGAAATTATTTTATTTACAGATCTCCTATTTTCACAATTAAAATACAGTTACTATATAGAGGTCTTAGTTTTTGAAATAAAATTTAGTTATTATTTGGTGATTTAATTTTTCAATATTGACCTAAATCACAAAAATATTTCAGATATATTTAGTTATAGTCAGACGAAATGAAATACTTATAAATATTATCAATAACACATAACTATTTTCATCTTAAAAGTTAACAGAGTGATCTAATTAATGTGACAAAAAATGTAAACATTAATAATTCTAAAAATATTTTTTGTAATTTTAAATTTTATAATGGTGCGAATCTAAAACTCATAGATTTCTATTCATAGTTCATGATGATTGAATAATACTTAAAAATTATTATTAATTTTTTTAAACAAAGAACACAAAAATATAATTTCGTTTTTTTTTGGTCAAAGAAATCGGAAAGAAATTTCAGAAAACTCAACTCTTTTCAATTGCAAAAACATTTTATGAGGAGCTGTATTTAAATTACTCTTTTTTCTTCTTTTAAAGAGATTTAGAATTTTAATTTTGTTTGTGTAAGCAGCAAACATAGGTAAAACATAATTTTTAATTATTTTGTTGCTCTCAATTTTTTTGAAAAAATTTCAAATTCAGAATGTTGCAATCGAATTTAAGCTATATAACACTGAAATGAAGAAAACCCTTACAAATATAGCGGTAGAAGAATATTGATCTTTAAACATATTACAAAAGAAAACATATAAATTAACTATAAAAACATACCAGACAGTTCAGTGAGTGGTGGCACTGTTCTTGTTTCTTCCTCCCCTATAACACGAAAATTAAAATAATGTAATTTCAGCTTGACTAAACAGTTAAATGTTACAAGAACTCAACGTTTTGCTTTAATAAAATTGATAGGTAAACGTGCCACATAGGCAAACAAAATATTGGACAGTAAAATATGATTAAAATGTAAACTATTGAATTTTAAAACCATATGCTCAAACCCCTGAGTATAAATACTTTTTTGCTAACTATAATTTATACGAACTACTTTTTTTGTATGCAGTTTAAATCTAAAATTACTTAATTAAGCAACATCTTTATTATACAATACCGATAATGATCAAAGAACAGACATAGTCTAGCCCGAATGAAAAAAAAATCAATATTTTAGATTGTGTTGTGTATTTTTATGACACTTGGACAAGCCAAGCACACCAGCCATTGGCCTTAGCGAATTGGGAAGGTGCGTCTTTCATTAGTCAAGAGAGCACTGATAGGGTGAAAGTACATCTTAGCTCAAAACTTCCCAGACAGATGGCAGCACCACTCATTTGAGAGGCCACTTCTACAATTTCGACATAGATATGAAGGGGAAGGAAATTTTCTCCAGATAGATATACCCATGGTACTGTTCAGCAACCAAACACAGGACTTTCGATTCAACAGGTTTTAAAACCATGTATACAAAGTCTACGATCAAACCCTCTGAGCCGGAGTTAGATTCTCTAACCTCTGGGTTACCACGGCATATACTTTATGTTTACATTTGACAATGACGTGTTTTAAATCTGAAATTTCGAGCAGTTTCAGGATATCACGAAGTACATTCGTATATTATTCTCTTTATTTCATATGTAAAATTGAGCTTAAAGCTGGTATAGATAAATCACTTCTTTGAAAATGAAAATTGAAATACCTATTTCATAGCAACCTCGACTGTGGTCATAAGGATCACCAACGTACAAAGGTGGACAACTGCATATGGCCTCGTGATCTCTTGCTGTACACACTGCTTTTTCTCCGCAGATATAACATGGACCTAAAATAGTGGAACATTATTCTTAATATTGTTCTTAAAACTCATACATAAGAAGATTAATTTGAATAATTTTACTTACTGACACACTGGCCTGTATTCAAATCACATTCTTTGTCTGACGGACAGTCTCTGTTTGATTTACAGTCATTGGTAATTGTATCACCTAGAGAAAGAACATAATACAATGAGATAGAATAATAATAATAAAACTTTTTAACACCGAAGAATTTTTACACAATTAATGAGATGTTATAAAACTCAATTAACTACAGTAATAAATAAAATGAAATAACACTCTCAATTTGGGTTAGGTTTGTAATAGTTTAATAATAATTTTAGTTTGTAATAGTTTTTATTTTTAAACGTATAAAATTTTGCTTATCCTAAAATAGATGTAGAACAAAATGTAACATTTTGACAAAGGATACTTTAGATTCATTGTACTTACAGCCTCTGATAACTGGATCTCCAATTGTGTCAGGTTTGCAATCACATCTGTAACCACCAAGGAAATTTGTGCAAATAGCATTTCTGGCACATGGATTTTCCTTACACTCATCAATATCTGTGAGAAAAAAAATTATATCAATTTTTAAACATAAAAAACTGCATTTTTCATTGTTTGCTAATATGTTATGTTACAAAACTACATCAATTTTAGATTATTTTATAAGAGATTTTACAAAGAAAACATCTATTTGTTGTATATGGTAGAACAAACATCTTGCACTAAAATGGCAGGTGAAGAAAGAACTTGTTTAAACAATCAAAAGTCATGCAGTTTTTTCTTTGAATGGTAAATTTGCATAGCTTGAATTAGCAAATTCATAAATTAGATGCTTGGATTTAAATGATATATAATTTTAAAACATAATCGGACATGATAACTCTTAGGTTGAAAGTTTTGGCAGTTTTTTTTTAAACATTTGACAGTTTTAGACATGTAAAGTTGTACTTTGAGAAACAGTCTTTCCTATGTAGAAAACCATTTTTTTTCCCATGATAATGAACAAATAGGGAAAAAGGGTGTATGGTAGAAAAATTTTCTCTCAAATTTTTTTCCATTCATAAAATAAAGTTAACATAACATAGTTATTTCATAATTACAAAAGTGAGAAAAGTTAAAAAATCCTTCATAGTTTTAATACTTAGGGTTGTTACTTCCTCAAGTTGAAGTATAGGTGAAGTATAATGTAAATTAGTTAGTATAGGTGAAATTAGCGTAGGTGAATTTTTTCCACTCACAAAATAGAGTTAACATAACATAGTTTTTATAATTACAAAAGTGAGAAAAGTGTAAAAATCTTTCATAGTTTTAATACTTATGGTCGTTACTTCCTCAAGTTGAAGTATAGGTAAAATTAGCATTCATATTTTGAATAAAATATAAGTAGCTTTTAAAATTACTTAATCAAAAAGTCACCTTGTCTCGTCTTTTTTTATTCAATCTAACCCTTTTTTAGACAAAAGTAATAAACACACCATTTCAATAAATATTTTTTTATTAAAACTGCTACGCATATTTGTTTTGCCATTGTTTTTTGCTATTATTTTAATTTAAGAATTTTTTAATGAAAAAATTACATTTCATAAAATTTCTAAGCGCTCGGCTTAAAATAGGTTAAGTAAAAAATTAGAATCTTTAATATCGAAATCGTGCAGTTATAAAATCCTTTTCTCAAAAATGTTTTTTCCCCCGACAGTTAAGCATATTTTTTTCGTAAAAATGACCTATAAAGATTCATTGTTTGTAGCACAAAAAGTTTTTAAGTTTTGCTAAACTCAGTCAAAATTTCCATACTGTTCAAACATTGTACAGCAACCTCATGCTAAATTATTCTTGTTATGATGTGATCGAGAACATGAAATAAAGCGGAAAACACTATTTATCAGGCTCTACTAGTTATACATAAAATTTATTTGAGAAAAGTTTTAATATTTAGTATAGTTTTTAATAGAAAACCAGGAAAATTAGTTGGTAAGTAGCATAATTTACATACCTCTGCAGAAACCATTTGACATCAGTTCAAAGCCTCTTGGGCATACGCAAAAACCTTCCTGGATGCCAGTATACAAGCACTCTTCATTGGTCGGGCATGGATTTGTTGTGGTACAGTTTCTGCTGGTTCCTGCAATATATTATATGAAGGATTTAGGAAAGTGTGGAATAATTCCTTCTCTAAGAATAATGAAATAATAAACGAAACATACTTAAGCAATAATCTCCTGTTCTGTCGTAGTTAGGCGGACAGCCACATTCTTTGCTATTTAAGCAAATAAGATTGCCAGGACAGGTGTAGTCTACACCGCATTCTTGAACTAAAGAGTAATAAAATATTTAAAAATTATAAATAAACCATGTTAATAATTACAAAGAAGAAAATGATGAATAGAAAGCACTTCAAAATTAATAAAAAAAGTAAAATATGTAAAGGAATATAAATATTTATGTTAATTCAGGTACTTACCATAAAAGCAGTTGACTTTTGGATTTCCTCTGTACCGTGGAGGACAAGTGCAAGTTGGTTTGTGGTTTTCTCCTCTGCAAATAGCATTGATTCCACAGGGTTGACCACGAGTACATACATCTGAGAATTGAAAAATATAATTTAAATATAAATAATATTTAAAGTTTCAGGCAAATATTATATTTTTTAAATATGCAGTTTAATATAATAAACAAACTTAGGCGAAGAATCATAGTAAAAACATTTTTATTATAAACTGTTTTATCGTAAACATAAATTTTAAATAGAAATGAGTAATTTAACTGCTAATTATTTTGTCTTGCAGTTACTAAAGTATATTACAGTTTACAAATTTTCTGCTACAAATACTGCTACTTATACAAATTTATATATTTATAACAAATCTAAATTTTTTTTTATTTAAGACATTTGTTGTCACAATATTCAACTATGATAATGAATATCCTGCAGAAGAATGTTTTAAAATATATTAGGCTATATATATGCAAAAATTCTTTAAAACAAAAAAAGAATAAGAGCTGTAAATTAAAAAAAAACATTAAATGTTTACTGGTGTTCTAATGGTGTTAATCACTTAACATTTACAATATATAGAAAATAAATACTTTATAAAAAAATAATTTTGAAATTTTGACGAGTGTTTAGCAATAATATATTAAAATATTTACCATAACATTGGCCAGAAAATGTTTCACAGGCTTCGTTGTACAGGCAATCTCTATCACTCTTGCAACCAGGCGGTTCTTCCCTTTCGCATTTTCCACCATATGGTTCACCCCTGAAGTCAGGTGGGCATTGGCACTCATATGAACCAGGCGTATTTACACAATGTGCAGAGTCACCACATAATGGATGTGGATGTTCTTGGCATTCGTTAATATCTTTAAGAATAAAAAAGAAATAGGTTAAAAAATATAAAAAAATAGACTGAAAATGTTGATAGCAATGTTAAAAGATTGTTATGTACTTACCAATGCAAACACCATTTGTAAGTAGTTTAAAACCTCTTGGACATATACAGTAGCCATTTTCACGTCCTGTGTATACACAACGCTGATTATCTGGACAAGGATTAGTTGTGGTGCAGTTAATGCTTGTCACTAAAAATAGATCATAGCATAAAATAATTAGATACATATTAGATAAGGGTATATTTTAAACAACACTGACATGTTTAGTAACACAGTTTATAAGTATCTGATAATATTATTTGATATTTTGCTTCTTAAATAAATATTGAGTGCAATTTGAAGTTGAATATGAGAAAAAAAATATTTTACACAATTGCATAAAATTTTTAAGTAAAAATGGAACAATGTGAAATAAATAATAATAGGATCAGGAAAAATGCATATAATACATAAATAGTTAAACAGGAATCAAAAATCCTCTATTAATTTTATAACTTTCAGTAATATTTACTCACATTTATATAAAAACAAAGTCACCTGTGAATGGTATGAGAGGAATTTTGAAATGATAAGCTTTAAATTAAAGATTAAATTTAAACGAAAAGAAAGATACTTACTAATGCAGAAATCTGATAAACGTTTGAAATCGCCTGGGCAACCACATGTTCCATCATTCAAGCAGAATAAGTTTCCAGGACAACTTAAATCATTCTGACATCCAGGACCAACTGTAAAAAAAACGTTTACCTTTTAATAATAGAAATATGAAGGAAAAATTATTATCCTTTACTAAAGATGGGTAAACTGAATTTAAAACTGTACTAATTTAGAATGTTTTATGAAAATCATTAGCTAGTAACATTAAAATTTAGTCAAGTTTCATATTACAGTAAAGATCTTTTAAAATAAACTTAATTTCAAAACTGCTCACCAAAATAGATTCACAAATTATTTTAATATTCTTGATACAAAAGGCATAATATTTAGCAACAGATCTTAAATATATATCCCAAAGTCTGGTACTGATTTAGGTCTTTCTGAAACAAAACTTATTTATGACCATCGTTGAACTGTCAACTCAATTTTTGGGTTTACGACTACTAATGTTCAATTCCGTAGCCTTGTAATTTTGAATACTCTATCCTGAAGGCAAGGGAATTCCTGGATCAAGTATTGGGAGAAATTTGTCTTCGTAGAGGTCTTTTTGGTGGAACTAATCCGCATATGTGTTACATCGAGAGGAAAACCATGAAAACCTTCAATTAACAAAAACCTCCATCGACCAGCTATCCCGGCTATCATAGAATCCAGTTCACCTCAATGGAAGGTGAACGCTCTATCCCCTCAGCCACCGCGGTTCTAAATAAAATTTATTGTAAAATTTCAAATCACTTTAGTGAATTTTTTACTCCAGATATAAGACTTATTCCAACAATTTTAACAAAATTTTATACTCAAGTCTATAATTTTATTCTCGGGTGGAATATAAAAAAAATCGGTTTCTTACTTGGATAACAGTATTCTAGAGGATTTCCTCTGAATCCAGGTATACATTCACACTGAGGACTATGATCAATGACACTGCATTTGGTGTTCCGACCACAAGGATTGCTTACAATGCATGGATCTATGGATGAAATAAATCAGTAAGTTGAGGAATGCAAAAAACACAAATGGATGGAAATGTAAATAATGGTTACGTACCATAACATTGTTCAGCTGCAACATCACAAGCCAAATGTGTTGGACACTCTAAATCAGATTGACAATATCCTTCTCTACGTTGACCTGTAAATATAATGTAAAAATTTAAAACTCATTTTTGGCTACTTTTCTTTACATTGTTTTCACTTCTCTAAAACAATTTATTGCTGCAGTTTAAGGAAACAAAGTGAAAATAAATGAATAAACGAAAAAAATAACACTTTAAAAAAAAATTAGAATTTTTGTATAGGTTATTTATATTTTTAGCAAAAATTCATTTTTTTGCTATATTTGTGGTTCAATAGCTTCATCATTAATATACATTTTTGCACATTATTAAAGTTTATATAAATTTTAATCAAATTTAGCAAAAATCAGTTATATTATAGTCATTGATCAAACAGTTACTATTAATAGAAATATTTCAACTATAAAATTGTGCGGTTAATTAAAAATTTCAATACCTTTTCCGAACTTTAGATTATTTTATAGATATCATTTCTCTGAATATAAATCAGTTCAATGATTTGAAATGGATCTACATTAAAAATTATAAAGCAATTATTTTATTGTACAATAATCATAATTTGTACGCAAATAAAAAAAAATTGAGATTGGACCTCATAATTATTCAACAATGATAGTTAGTTAGTTATCAAATAAAAGATAGAGAAAAATATTTTTGTTTTAAAACAATGATTATAATTATATTAAATTAAATAATAGGTATTTAACACTATAGAATATTTATTTTTGTGTTAAAATAAAATCTCACTCACAGCCAGAGCGGAATGGTTCTCCATAAGTGCCAGGTGGACAACGGCACTGATAGCTGCCAATAGTATTGAAGCATTGAGCTCCGGTACCGCAAGGGAAAGGACTCTGTTCACATTCATTTATGTCTAAAATAATTGTAAAAAATAGTCACACGAGGGTAGAAATAACACAAATATTACTTCATAACTTAACTTACTGCTTCATATAAGTTAACAGAGAGTTTTAACATATTTTTAAATAAAATATAAGATTATAAATAATACTTTCATAATTTAAATGTGCAGTTACTTCAATATTGTAAAATAACCAAGCTATCAAGAAACTAAAATTAATGTAAAAGAAATGGTGGTACAAAAAGTTATAGCAGATAAATAATTTTTTAAATATTGTGAAGTTCAGTTTTCTATGATATAACAAGTACTACTGTGAAATTTTTTAAAAGAAAACTATGCCAATTAAAATATATACAGATGTAAAAGTATACATTATTAATTATGAAAAAAGACCATTAATCATTAAGTTAAGAATACTAAAAGCATTTTTGGAGGCAAAAAAGTTCATATAACGAGCGTTTACAGAAATTCATCAAAATAAAACTCAATAAATAAGAAAATAAAGTAAAAAATGATCTGTAAAATAATTATTTATTTTTGAAGGTGCTGAAAATCAATTGAAAAATATACTAGACTAGAGAAACTGATGTTGCAAATAATAATAATATAATTAGTTATTTATTAATAATTACCACTACACCTATATTATCGATAATATCTTTTTATTTAAGTTTAATACGTATAAAATCATTTACTGATTGATCAATAAATATTATATTGAAACAAACCTCTGCATATTCCATTTGACATCAAAACATATCCTTTTGGACACACACATATACCAGCTGGATATTCTGCAGAGACGCACTCCTCGTTGGTCGGGCATGGATTTGATGTGCTACAGTTACGGCTAGTTTCTGAAACTAAACAGGCAGATAATGTTTTATTCTTCTCAATAATATACAGAATTTATGAAACAACTTAAAAATTATTTGGCATATACGAAAAACTAAAATTAATCTGTGAGTAAAATCAATAAACATTTTAACACCTTGAGCAGTTAAATAAAAAATCTTTGTCATTACCCTTCTCTACTTTTTTTCTTCTTCTTTTTACCTTAGAAATTCTATTAAACCTTACAAAAAGACTGAACACTCAGAAGGATACGTTTTACAATTACTAGGGGACTTTTTAAGATTAAAATAATTCTTATTTAATTGAGAAATTATGCATTATTTAATTTAAAAAAAATGTATCAAAAAAACTGCATGAATATTAAGATTTGAATAAAATTAACAAATTTCTAAAGAAAATAATTTAAATATAAAATGAAATCAGATTTTCAAAGTTAAAAATTCCAAGTGGGTGAAAATGCAATAAAATAAACATGGCAGCTAAATCTTAAAAAGGAATTCCGAAATAAAACTTACTGATGCAGAAAAATCCTCTTTGTTCGTAAGGTGAAGGACAACCACAACGAGTTCCATCCAAACATACAAGGTTGCCAGAACATGGGTTATGAGGGCCACAAGTCTCCACTGAAAATTGAAAGATATTAATTTTGAAAATAAAACTCTTTTAAAATATTTCATTAAGTAGAGAAATATATAGAAATGCTTACATATGCTACATTCAACGTATGGGTTTCCTGTTAGACCAGGAGGACAATAACATTCATGATGATGGTTGGCAGCACTGCATAAAGCTCCTCTTCCACATATACCAGGACGATTACAAACCTCTGTAGTATAAACATTTCGAAGTTAGTTTAAAAACTATAACACAGCATAGCTTTTATTAAGGTAGGTTATAACCTCAGGTAGTAGGTAACAAAAAAAATCACAAAGATTTTTTAAAAAAAAAAAAAAATTTTTTTTTTTTTTATTATTCCAGAATAGTGCTTATACAAAAAATTTAACTACCCACAGTTTTGCTGTTTGTTCATCAATAATAAATTTTTTTTAAGAAAAAAAAATTGGGGTTTATGGTTAAAAAAAAGAAGGAACTGTATATAATATGTAGACATACATTTTTAAGTATTCAATCAGGGTTCCCACTCAATTATTCAATGAAACCATATTTTATCTATATTTTTCAGCAGAAAACTCTGATTTTCTTATTTATAATGTCAAATATTCCAGTTTAAAAAAATATCATTTAAATGAAGATGGAAGGGTAGAAAAGCTTCACTGTACAATTTTTACAATAAATATTTGTAATGGACGCTAGAATCATTTAACTCGAATCTCAGTAATTGATTATTGTTGCTGACAATTCTAAGACTTAATATTTTCCAAGTATTGGAGTTTTCCAGGTTTTTGCAAAAAAATACTGCTTTCCTTGACGATTCCCTGATTTTTAGAATCAAAATTAAATTCCCTGACTATTCTAAGTTTACCATGAATCGTGGGAGCTCTGGCAGTACACATAAAAATAATTAATAAATAAACTAAAAAAAATAAAACTAATAACAACAAAAATGAAAAGAAAGTAAATTGAGAATTTAATATTAGTAATGAATTATAAATTTTTCCCCTTACCATAACATTCCCCAGTAAGTCTATTACAAGCTTCAATTGATTTGCAATCTTCATCTCGTCTACACATCTTTGGCATTTGACGACCTATAAGTTAAAATTAATTTGAATATTTTTTTTATAATAAAACAGTTTTTCTTACAATGTCTGTCAACACACCTACATTCACAATATATTAATAAAACAGCATATCTTGAAATAGACACAGAATGATATAGAATGAAATAGATACAGCACTTACATCCTTGTCCATATGGATCTCCATCTAGTCCTACAGGACAACTGCACTTGTAGCCACCAGGCAAATTGGAACAAATAGCACCCAATGCACAAGGACCACGACCTTGCAAGCACTCATTAATATCTAAGTAGAAAAATTGCACGTTACAATTTGCAATGCTATGAGAATGCAATGGAAATGATAAGCTTAGTTAAACAAAAAAAGATGTATAAAGTGAATTTCGAATGAACAATAATAAAATATATTACCTTTGCACTCATTGTTGACACATACATAGTTTCTTCCACAATGACTGTCAGCTTCACATTCATATTGAACTGTAAAAATTAAGAAGTAATTTGAGTTTGTATATAATAAAATATTAAAGTGAGTTATAAATAAAAAAAGCTATACAATCTTCTTTACTCATAATTAAAAAAACATAATAATATTTTAAAACCACAAATGTATTAAAGCAAAACTTAATCCAAGTACTCGAGTAAAAATTATTTGATTCTTATATTCATAAATCTCTACTTACTTCTAGTACACTGCCTCAAAGCATCTCCAGTGTATGTAGGAATGCAAGAACAAACAGCTTTATGATCGGAAGCATGACACTGAGTATTCACTCCACATATGCCACCAATTGTGCAAGGATCTTGGCAAATTCTGTTGACACAGGCCTCATCAAATGGACAATTGCTATGGGAACGGCATCCAGCTGAAAGATCGAACATGAATTATTTCACTGCAGCACTTCAATATCTAATATTATTAAAGTTATGGAGTTGTTACTTACGAACACATTCAGATTTGACACAGATCTGACTGACTGCACAGTCAGTATCCCTGCGGCAACCAGGTTCTGGTATGGGTTGACACGACACAAGAGGATCTCCGGTTAAATCAGCTGGGCAGCTGCAATGCGGTTGATGTCCCACTGGTGTACAATGAGAATTTTGTCCACATGCACCACTTAGATCGCATACACGCTGGCAACGACCGTGTAAGCAAGTTTCATCATAGGGGCAGTTTACATTAGAGCGACATCCTACTACACATCGGTGATTCTGACATATTTGGCCAAGAGAACAGTTTCTGTCAACGGTGCATTCTGGTAAAACAGGTATTCTACTGCATAATATATGAGGATTACCACTGTAGCCTGGTGTGCATGTACAATATCTATCATGATTGATAGCCTTGCAAATAGCATTCTGGCCACAAGCTCCATATATAGAACATGGATTCTGGCAAACATGGTTAATGCATGTCTCTTCAAATCTGCAATTTGCATCAGTCCTGCAGCCCTTGACGCATTTAGTATTTTCACATATTTTATCTACGGAACATTCTAAATCATGCTCACACTCAACATCTATCACAGCAACTCTGCATTCAATGTAAGCATCTCCTCTGAAATTGCTGGGGCATGTGCAGATTGGACGGTGGTTATCAGCATGACATTCTGCATTGACTCCACAACTGTTAGGTAACAAACACGGGTCTTGGCACTGGCGATTGACACAAGCCAAGTCACGTGGACAATTATTGTCATGGCGACAACCAGCAATGCAACGTGTGTTCTCACAGATGTAACCAACACTACATTCTCTATCCACTTCACATTCAGGTGGTATCCTCTCTTGTTCACACACGACGTTTGGATTTCCTCTAAATCCAGTTGGACAGGAACATTCTGGTTTATGATTGAGTGGTTTACAAATTGCATTCCTGCCGCATGCACCAAAGACACTGCATGGATTTTGACAAATTCTGTTGATGCAAGCTTCTTCAGATCCACAGTTTTCATCTGTGCGACAGCCAATGATGCACCTTTCATACACACAAATGTGGCGGAATGTGCATTGATCGTCTGTTCTGCATTCTGGTTCGTCAACGATTCGACATTCCACTCTGGCATCTCCCACATATCCTGGATTGCATGTACAAACAGGCCTGTGGTTATCTGCAAAACATTGAGCATTCACGCCACACACACCTGGTTGGTTGCAAACATTTTCACACCTTCGTCTGACACAGGCTGCGTCTGCTGGACACTGGTAGTCACTTCGACATCCTTCATAGCATTCTCCAGCCTCACAAATGTAGCCATCTCCACATTCTGCATCATTAATGCATCCTGTAGCTGGTTGACTTTCTACAAAATAGCAGGATTACATATTAACAAATGATTATATTTTATTATAAGAATGTTTGATAAAAAATTAGGGACTGAAAACTTACCACGGATGCAGCTTTTTTTAGCATCTCCAGTGTAACCTGGTTCACAAGTACATATCGCAACATGGTTGTTTGTATGGCATACAGCATTAGTTCCACAAGCACCAAAGAAACTGCAAGGGTCCTGGCATCTTTTGTTAATGCAATCTTTATCATAAGGACACGAATGATAAGTGCGGCAAGCATCAATACACCTGTTGTTTTCGCAAATATGGCCAGCTCCACAACTATCGTCAGTGTAACAATGATCAGGAGGCACTGGAAAGAGAATGCAAATTATGAAATATATTTCATAAGCTTAAAATTTTGAATAAAATACTCAATTATCTACAGTGAAAGGGAAAAACGATAAGAACTACAGTTTGTTAAACTTCCTTCTCCCAAAAATTCTTTAAATTAAATTATCTAAAGGACAACACAAACCTGGGAAACACTGAATATTTGGATCTCCAGTAAGTGATGATGGGCAAGTACAAATAGGATGATGATTATTTACTATGCATCTAGCACCAACACCACAGACATCTGGATAAGCACAAGGATTATTGCACTGTCGATTGATGCAAGCTTCATTGTACTGACAATCCTCATTTCTTCTACAGCCGTCTGTAATAAAGATTTCAAAAATTTTCAACTATAAAGAGTTTGAAGAATTACTATAGAACAAAAGAAGGCTGTCATGAAATCATTTCATTCATAGCAAGAAATTAAAAAAGAATCCACGTTTTATTTGTCAATACTATTGCAATTAGTTAATAACCATTTCTCACCTAAGCAATTTCTTGATTCACATATTTGAGATGAGCGACAATCAGAATCTCTGCTACATCCAGAAGTCAGGTTTCCTGGTACTATTTAAAAATGATTATAATTAGATACATAATATTCAGAAAGTAAAAATAAATAAAATTATTGACAATGTTTCGTTAATATAAATTAAGCAAGAAAGACATACTTTATTTTTTAATCATCAAACTTAAAACAATATAGTTTCGATATTCTGATTTCTTTTTCTGATAAAAAGTAAAAAGAGGTTCCCTACAGATATATAAATCATAATATTTTAAGGCTCTCAACTTGTATTTTTGCCATTAATAAATATGTATATAGGATTATTTTTAAATGCATTGAATTATTTCACTTTTGTGGCAACATTTTTTGACAAACAAATAAATAAATATTTGAAGCATGCCATGCTATTTTTTAAAGCAATTCAAAGTGTTTCTGAAAGATGCATTATTTTCCAATTAGTATTTCCAATATATTTAATTGTTACTGCAAAAATGAAAGATACCTAAAAATGAAACATTCTGAAATTTGTATTAAAACTTAGAATTATTTATTATTGCACTTACTTTGGTTGCATTGATCATTTGGATTGCCCTGGAAACCAGGTTTGCATGTACAATATGGCCGATGGACGATGGGTCGACAATCTGCATTTCGGCCGCAGGGATCTTGCACAGTACATGGATTCAGACATCTGCTGTTTACACATGCTTTGTCAAATGTACAATCTGAATCTGTCCTACATCCAACTGGATAATAAAAAAAGATAAGTCCATAAGATACATAATGTGGAGAAACAAGAACTTCATACCAATGACGATAATCGCAAATTTCAACTTACGTATGCATTTTGTGCTTTCACAGATTTCACCAGTGTGGCAGAAGGAGTCAGAGCGGCATCCAGTGACAACTAAATTAAATAGAAATGCAATGAATATCAGAATAAAATGTAGTAAATGATCAAATAATAGTAAAATATCTGAATTTTTATTGGAAAAAATTCAACTAAGTTTAAAACTACTCTGAAAAGCAATAGCTGCTTTTAACTTGAAATATTAAGAATTTATGATTGCATAAAAAAATAAAATGATTTTTACACTAGAAATAAATTATATTTAAAAAATATTCATGCAATAATAAAATTTTTTTATGATGTATAACATGAGAAAAAAATTAAAACAAAGGTGAAAAAAACCCCAATATAATTAAAACTACGTTATATTTAGCCTCAGCAACAATAATGCATTTCAATAAACCTTGAAAATTAAGCTTTTTTTTCAAAAAAAAAAGAAAAAAAAAAGGAAAAGCATAAGAGCATTATGAGGTTAGAAAATTGTCCAAAAGTAAAGACTAGTTCTCAATAATCTACTGAAGTATTTTCTCATTGTAGCTATCACTTATGTCACAAGAATTTATAATTGATTTTGAATAAAAAAAAACTACTTTATAATATATTATGATTTCTAACTCATCCTAAAAAAAGAACTTGGAACAATTTTTTCCTTAATTAACAAAATTAAATAAAGATGATTTCAACCTTCCATTTAACATATTTAGAGATATTAAAAAAAAGAAAAAGAAAAAAGAAAGAAATGATAACAAGATGGCGTCATTTAAGGCTGAAATATTGAAGTGCTTGTTTGATAATTTACATGAAGAGTGTTAACTGTGATATTTAAGTGAGTATACGCACCTATGCACTGTGAGTTTTCGCATATTTCACTGGGAGCACATTCGGAATTGTATTGGCACTTTTGTTCCCGATCTTCTGGCAGGCAATGAACTTTGGCATTTCCTTTATGCTCCTGTGGGCAAGTACATTCAGCTTGGTGGTTATGAGCTCTGCACAATGCTTTTAAGCCACAAGCACCTGGTCGACAAGGTGTGTCACATCGTCCCTGGATGCATGCCTTATCGTCTGGGCAATGCTCATTGTAACGACAGCCCTCTGAAAAATAAGATTCCATATCAATAAATTGAATAATTAGTGTTTCAAATTACAAAATTTTTTCCTTTGAGAAAAAAATGCATTTATTTGTTAGAAACAAAACAAAACGTAAAATCGAGTATAAAAAGCAAAACTTTTTCAAAATTATGCAGAAAAAAAAATGAAGATTTAGTATTAGAAAAATATAAGAATACGTATTAACTCTTCAATTTTTATGAAAATTCAAAAGATATGTATAGGATCGGCAAGGATAAATATTTAATTTTAAATCACTCCAATTAGATGTATGAAAATTAATGAGAAAATCAAAGCAAAAATTTTGATACAACATACAAGGCTATTTTTAGATGATAGTACCTAAAAAAATAATAATTCCTAATTTCATAAAAAAAAATAATTTTTTTTTTGGTATGTAAAAATAATGTTACATATTGATTGTCTACTTGCAATAAAACTACAATGGAAATATATCAGATGAATATTAAGTTGAAAATGGTTTCTGTCATAGATACTGAGGTTTATTACAGGAAATGTAATTCCAATAAGAAATAGATTTGTAATGCATCAATAATGCTTAGAAAAAGAAAGAATAGCATACTCATTAACTACAAATTAGAAATAGCATCTAAATAGTATTAAAATATGTATTTTCATGAATAAGGCCAATTAAATACACCTTATAGTTATGTATGAAAACAGAAAAATTAATTACCTAAACACCTAGTACTGATACAGATCTTTCCTAGTACGCAGTCTGTGTCAACATGACACTCTACCTGATCTGTAAAATAAATGCATAAACACTATTAGTCAAATTACTATTGAGTTAAATATATATTTATCATGAAAATATTCAAATTGATCTTATTAGTAAATCAGATCTTATTTTTGAATAAATTCTATTTTAACCCTTTAGTTCAAAAAGTTGAACTCACTTGGTCGGCACAAAACTTTAGCATCCCCACCGTGATCTGGCGGGCAACGACAAAGAGCGGCATGATTGATAGCTCTGCATTCTGCATTGATACCACATTTACCTGGTTTGCATGGATTTTGACATTGATTTTCAAAGCATTCTTGCGTGAATCCACAATCACTGTGACTGCGGCATCCATCTACAAATAAAATTTGAATTCAAATAAACATAATAATTCAATGTGTATCAAAATTACACAAATGGTTATGCTTCATCATGCATAAATGCATGCACACTTATTTCTATAGTTTGATAAGAAATACTCACATAAGCATTTAGTATTCTCACAAATCTGTCCAGGATTGCAATCATTGTCAGAAGTGCAACCGGGCACAACTGCAAGAAAAATAAAAGTTACATTTTAGTACTAAAAAGCACATTATTAGTAATAAATGCATGTGAATTATGCAGATTAAAATTAGTTAGTGTGTTAAAAATCTTTGCGTATGTGCAATATTTTCCATTTAACTCAATGAAGTATTGTCAGCCTGGATCATCAGGTTCAGTAAACTTTTGGATCCCGGATTTCTAATGAGTATACAAGCTAGCCAAGAGCTTTCCCAAGAACACTTAGTATGCAATTTATTGACCACAGAAGGATGAGTGGACCACAGGAAAATCACTTATGTTGGCCGTTTTGTTGTCAAATAGCTGACCAATGCACAACTTAACACTCATTAGGGTAATAAGTGCATATTTAAAACCAGTTATGCAATGCAGTATAAATTGTATATAATAAAAGTATAAAAGGAATTTAAAAAAATATGGACATTACCTGAACATTTTCCACCAAGGCAAATTTGTCCAGGATTACAATCAGTATCTCTGCGGCATTCTGGTCCAACTGTAAGAAATAAAGATTATTTTAATCATGAGTTGGATGTATAAAAAAAATATGTAGTTAGATTTTTCTAGATTCAAGAACTTACTTGCTCTACATTCAATTTGTGGATTTCCTGTATATCCTGGTAAACAAGAGCATAGAGCTCGATGGCTGAGGGGCTCACATCTAGCATTTGGCCCACAAGCTCTTGGTAATGCGCAGACCCGCTGACATTGAGAGTTGTAACATCCCTCGTCAAGGGCACAATTTTCATCACTGCGACAGCCAACTATAAATTGTTTACAAAACACATTAATTTGCTTCACAGTTATATTGTAACAGTTCTGAGTTATAGTTAAAGGGATCCTAGTTATTATTCATTAGTACTTTTTTTAAAACACTTAAAGTAATTTTCTTTTAGAAACACCAATATTGTTAAAAGAAATTGAATTCTAAAGGAATATTTACATCTCCATCTAAATCGTAATTTTTTTTTTAAATTACATATAATGATCAATTTTAAGCAGTTGAACTTTCTGTACTTTACGTTAAACTTTCATTAATTCAGAGTAATTTGTTAGTGAAAATGATAGGAAAAAATTTAAAGCTTTAACATTTAAACAAATTTTTAAAACGAATTCATCTTTTTCCTAATATATATTTTTTAAACAAACAGGCCAATTTATGAAGAAAAAAACTATGCAATAATATTAGTGAAAAGCTAATTCCGCAGCACTCTACAATTTAACAGTTTAAAGAAAAGAGTTATCACTGACCAAAACACTTATTTCTCTGGCATATATGTCCCAATAAGCATTCATTGTCTTGACGGCATTCAATATCATCTACAAAAGGAATGAAGAGGCAATTAGTATACTTAAAAAAATTAAAGCTCTTACAAAACGAAACTAAATTTTTCTCTGAAAAAAGTCACTAACACAAATTTAACTATTTAATAGAGAAATTCATGCTACAGCATCATTTTAATACATAATAATTAATTATTTAATACACAATCACAATCTATATGCAATGAACTTCAATGCATAAGAATGCAACTGAATTTAAATCAAAATAGATTTTACTGACCTTCACAACGCTTGTTGATGCATACTTTTCCAGGTAAACAATCAGCATTGCTTTCACACAATCCTTCAACTATGAATAGAATCATGTTTAGTTTTAATAACAGTGAATAATGAGCAAATAGTAATGAGTATTTCATAATCATTTAAGTACTAAATGATGCCATTCAAAGCTTACTTTTTCTGCATTCAATGATGGAGTTCCCTGTATATCCTGGAGGACAAGAACACTCAGCTCGGTGAGCGGTTGCGGCACAGATAGCTTTCAAACCACATGTATTACTGAACATACACAATTTCTGGCACTGTCTACTGATACAGACCTCATCACTCAAGCAACCACCATCAGATCTGCATCCCACTATAAATATAATAATAAACTTTTAACATGAACTGCTAAACTTCAAAAATAGCATAACATCAGATTATTGTAACTACTTAAAAAATTTATAAGGAAAAGTGTCAGAATAATTGTTGTTGTTGTAGATCATTAAGGCACTGAGGGTGTGATTGTTCTTGTTCTCCAGTGGCGCCATCTATGGCAAAGAATTCGACTTCTGCCACACCCATATTTCACACCCGTTTATAGGGCAGACCCATTCATGACTCCATAGATTGTAATTTTGATCTAAACCAGAGAACGATCAATCTCCAATACAGTACCACCAGAAGTAAAATTTGTTATGGGAGCATGGAGAGCTTTGTGACCAGGCAGATTTAAAGTGCACCAGTCACCATTTACTACAAGGAGTGTCTTCGGCGGGCTGGATTTGAACTCCTGTTCCATGAACATAAAATCAGAATAATTTTGAAAGGCAAGTAAAAAAAAAACAGATAGTCAAAAAAGACAGTTAGGCACAAAAAACAATCAAAAAAGTATCTTTAGTTACAATCAGTCGAAAGTTAATATTATTTGCAATTTTTATGAATGATAATTTTAAGAAAAATCACACATATTTACCCAAGCATCGATAATTCTGGCAAATCTTTCCATTTCCACAATCTGAATCAATAATACATTCCACTCTCGAGCATTCTACCCTTGGATCACCAGTGTGTTCAGGTAGACACGAGCACAAAGGTCTATGGTTGACAGGCTGGCATTGAGCCTTTGTACCACAAGCTGTAGGACTAGCGCAAGGATTCAAGCACTGGTTGTTAATACAGGCTTCAGTAAGTGGACATTCAGCATCCCTTCTGCATCCAGAAACACACTGTCCATACTCACAGATGAAACCAGTGGGGCAACTCTTGTCATTGGTGCAGAAAACACTGCAGCGCCTCTCCACACACTTCTCGTTGTCAAGGCACTCGTTGTCACTGCTGCAGGTGACGCGGCAAATGGTGTCCTCACAGTACCGCCCAAGACCACATCTGTCATCAGCTTCACATCTTTGAATTTCTCGATCACATTTGGTAAACGCATCCCCGCTAAGCCCTGATGGGCAAGTACAGTGTATAGAATGGTTGATGACATCGCAGTTTGCATTAGTACCACAGGCAGTTGGACTGTCACAAGGATCTGGAAAATTGCAGTTATTTTAGATCACGTAGATTAGCATATAATTATTATCAGTCGTTTTTAAGCCATAGTATTGTCTATTTACCTATGCATTGGTTGTTTATACAGGCTTCGTGGAATGCACAATCAGTGTCAGCACGGCAACCCACTAAAATCAAACAATATTTTGATGAACAACACAGATTATATTGAAAATAGCTTAATTATGTAAGCATTTAACAAAAATTAAGTATTCAGATATCTAAATAATCATTCAAATCTAAATTTACTCTTTATAAGTATTTAATTGAAATTTTTTAAAATTGTAAATATCTCAGGCAAATTCATGAATTTAAATTTAAAAAACTGTTTTTGTGGGTAATCTTTGTATACATATAAATATATAATAGTTAAAGTGAATATTATTAATCAAAGGTATTAGAATGGTCACATAAATATGCTTGCTTTAAAACTAGATACAATTATCTGTAGTAGAACCACTTGCCAATAGTGAGGTATTTATCAGCGCAAGCACAAAATTTTAAGAACTTTTCCCAAAAAAGTATATATTTGTGTTAAATAGTGAAAATCATTATAAAGCAGAAAATGAATTTTGAGAAACTAGTTACCTCTGCAGAAGTTTTGTTCACATATCTCTCCTGAGTAACAATCCCTGTCTCTCAAACACTGCACATGGCAACGATTGTCAATACACTTTTCATTCACAGCACAGTCACGGACACTACTGCAAGGCACTGAAATTGATAGAGATTAATGTAAAAAAGTTATTTCACTGATATTAACGCTTAGCTTACAGCTTTAATCGTTTTGTGTAATTTCGATGATATTCTCTATAAATGATGCAGAATTTCAATGATATTCTTTACTTACTTCTGCACTGTCCATTATGGCAGGTAAGTCCAGGAGGACATGGTTCATTGATGCAGACAATTTGAGGCCTTATACACCCAACATTAGCATTCGGCCTTCCAACAAATCCTTCTCTGCAGCTGCACACAGAACGGTGGTCACTGACTCGACACTCAGCATTGGGACCGCATGTCGCGCTTCCCTCACATGGATCTGAAAGTTATTATTTTTTTTACATTTCACTTTTTAATTATAATGCATTAATTTAATACAGTAGAGTGCCAATTATCTGGATCAAAGCCGAACCAAGTAGGAAAAAATCTGGATAACAACACAATTTTTTTTAAAAACAACTATAAGAATGCTCTTTACACCTTTTCCAGGCTTATGACTGGCAATTGTAGTATAGTTATGTAGGCAATTGTGTCCATTACAGCACACTAAAAGATGGCATGTTTGAAGTATGAATTTTTTTTATTTTATTTTAAACAAAATGTGTTTCAAAACTGAGAGAGAGCATTTCAATTTCAACCACTTCTTTCTAATTTCTGGAAAAAGAAGAAATATGCTCCCTTACTAAAAACATCCCATCAGTTCCTACCCACATTTAAAACTAGAGAACAAATGAAAGATTATTTTCAAGATCACCAAGGAACAAAGGAAATCCCTTCAGATATTCTGAAAAAAAGAAGCATTTCAGAGAAAAAAATTTTGTTTGAAAAAGTCCTCGACCACGGTCCTCGACCTGGTAAATCGGCATTCTACTGAAGTTACAATCAAAACACAGTTCTATTCATTTCATATACACTCAAATTTGTTAAATCATTGTAAATTTTAATTAGGATTTTGTACATTAAAAAACATTGTTAAACATACCTCTGCACTGGTTGCTGACACATGCAAGATGGTCCGGACATTGATCATTAGATCTACATCCAACTGAAAAGGCATTTAAAACAATACATTAGAAAAAAAAATAAAGATGGAGGAATGATAGTAATAGAATTTTTTTAATATAATAAAAAATTCTTAACTAAATGAAAATATAGTAAATGTTAAACAAATAGTAGAAAGAATATTCTTTTTCTTACCTTGGCAATGATTTCTAATGCAAATTTCTCCATTTTGACAATCTGGATCTCTTCGGCAAAGTACTAATGTAATAAAATAAACAGAAAATTAATATTCGTGGTCCACTTGTTCACTTTGTTGGTTACTGATACTTGAGATTATAAATAAAATAAAAAGGAATTTATAATTTACCTAAGCAATGGTTGTTAACGCATTTTTCTCCAGTACTACAATCAGGATCCTTGGTGCACTCCACTGTGAATAAGGAAAATATTTAGAATGATTTCTGAAAAATAATCTATCAATAAGATTGTAATTTGTGATACATACCTCTGCATTTACCATCCAAACAATAATGATTAAGTGGGCAATCTGATTCTGATACACATGATGGTAATACTGAAATTTAAAAGTAGATGTAAGGTTCAGTGCATTACAAAATACTTATTTCAACAAAATAAGAAACACAATGTACAAAGTTTAATAGTTTTATTTCTTAGAAATCAGGACAGGAACATGAGAAAAAAATGAAGTGTCAAAAAATATTTACAGATCATAACGGAAATAAATGAAAAGATATCAAAAATTGACTGACATATATATTTTTCCCTGCAATGCTCACTTGCTAATTAGACATAGTCTTTCATTGTATTAAACTTTGAAATCCATACGTTAGTAAACAACTCTTAAAATAACGTATCAATACTTTTGTTTTTCATAAATCATTTATATAGGGTCTTAGTTTTTGTAGTGGCAAGAATTATTATTTATAAAAAATATTAAAAAGAAAGAATTTTCCTTATTTGATTACCTAAATAAGACAATAAAATTTTAGAATAAATGAAAATTATTATTATTCTAACAACCAATTAAAAAAATAACAAAAATATGTAAATTATTTAACACTAGACAGTTAAACGTTTTTAATTGAAAGTTTATGAATTGAATAACTCATTAAAGTGTAAAATTGATTTTAGTTTAATTATTTAAGGTCAAATTTGGAAAACAAAAATAATTGATAAGAATGAGAAAAAAACTTACTTCGTTGGCAAGCAATGTTTGGATTCCCGGTGAATCCAGGTGCACAAGAGCACTGTTGTCTATGTTGTTGTATTTTGCATAATGTATTTGTTCCACAAGCAGTTGAACTTTCGCATGGATCTAGAAAATTTTAAAAACAAAGTATTAGGATTTATAACTTTATAATTTAGTAATGTACATAAAAATAAATAGGGAATAATAATTACGATTTTTAACGTATTTTGAATTTAGATTGTAGTCCTGTAGCAGGAATGGTACTTTAGAAATACAAAATCAGAGAAGCTAAGTGATTATTTTATTTAATGCAAGGGGCCTGGCTCACAACAATGAGGTGTCTACATGATCATGGATAGTTTAAGAAGAAGAAGGATTTGGCATTAATGAGGGTTTTTATAACTTTCGGGACAATAAATTTAAATATTAATAATTCTTAGTGACGTGGAATTGATCACTTTTCCATGACACTGAAGACCACATCATCACATTTATTTAGATAATTACATCAATATTATTACTTTCTCTGTGGGAAAGATTTGATTTAATTCCGCATTAGAAATAAGCTCTATTTATTTATTAGATTTAAAATATCATTTAGCATTACACAGTTTTTTTTATTATTGTTAGATATAAATTTTTCTAACTTGAATTCAATAGCTAGTAATAAATTATAAAATATATAATTAGTTCAGTTATTACGATTAAAATCACATTAAAGAAATATTAATAAAAGTAAACAAAAAACCATGTCATATTAAATTTTAAATTTATACTTTTAGTTGATACAGTTTCACAATGCTAAGAAATTTAATAGCTTTTTAAACAAATATGAGAAATCTAGAGAATATAAAATATATTAATACTCACTAGTGCAAATATTCAATATGCAAGCTTCCAAGGAAGAACAGTCATTGTCAATTCTACAACCAACTGAAAAAAAACATATTTAAATATAAAAAATGCAGTAAGACTTTAAAATGAATGAAATTAAAAAAGCTTTTTTTGTGTGTGTGCTTTTGAATCTAATATCAAATAAGATATTCATATTTGGGAGATAAAAAGTAATGTTACACTAAGTTTCATACATTAAACTTTTTAAGGACATACTTTAGACATTATCAATTACTTACATAAATACGCAATAATGCAGATGTTTAATTTATTTGTATCTATTATTAGTAATAGTGAAAATTATTATTACCTATGCATTTATTAGCTGCACAGATTTCCCGAGATAGACACTCTGGATCTTCTCTGCAACCCAAAACGCATTGTCCTTGATGGCAAAGTTCACGAGAGGCACAATCATCATCAGATCGACAGCGTACTGAAAGAATTAGAATAAAATTTAATTATGGAATTAAAAATAAATAGGAAAATATTCGCTTACAGTACTGGAAAAAATATTATGATTTTTTACAGAATTCAAAAAATAGGAAGCAGTCTAACAGTTTCTAACAATTGGTTACATAAAAAAAAGAAAATAGTTGGTGAAACTTTTCTATGATTATTTTAATTTTAGAAACATTTAATATTTTATTATTACTGTTAAATTCGTATGATGACGTTAATTTTAATATTTGTGGCCACTTTTACTTCAATTTCAATTAAGTAAAAAGAGAAAATAAAATGGTAGGGAAAAATACTTAAAATAATTGCAGAGAACATGGCTAGCAGCATATAGATTTTTTTCTTACTATTACTTATTTTAAACAATAGTAAGAAACTTTCAAAAACTCAAAAAATATCATCGTTAATGAATAAAAAGCAAACAGTTGGTATAAATATCTGTAATACACTGTAAAAAATATTAAGACAATGAGTCGTTAGCAACAATGGTCTTAAATTTTAGAAATTATGCCACTTGTCTAAAAGTTTGTAATTTTTATAGACCAATATGACAATATATTTTCTGATATGTTTGCAATATGTCATAAAAAAGAAGAAAAAAAAAGAGACTTACGTTTGCATCTTTTGTTGACGCACATGTAACCAGATGTACATTCAAAATCAGTTGAACAATCAACAGTAACTGAAATATAATGTTTCCAGATTATTGAAATTACACTGAAAGCATTGTACTATAATTTAATGTTCACTCAACTAATTTTCATAATGTTACATAAAACTATTAAAAAAACAAACAATTGAACTAAAGACTATGAAAATTGAGAAAAGCAGTTAAAATTATTATACATTAATAATACTTTAATACTCAATGAACAGTTATGCATTTATACAAATATTTCTTATAAGAATTTATTAGTAAATAAGAGCACATATTATAAACATTATGCATATTTTTAAGTTAAACACAATAATTATGAGAGTATAATAAAAATACCTCTTGTGCATCCTCGAAGAGAATCTTTAGGATTTCCAGAAAATCCAGGCAAACAATAGCATGCAGCTCTATGATTTTCAACACGGCATAAGGCATTCACTCCACACACGTTAGGTGCTTGACATGGATCTGCATAAACAAAAATTTTTAGTTTTCAGCAAAAGATAGCTCTTGAGATCACATTGAATGTTCTCTCCCCCTTACATTGAAAAAGAAGTTGTATTTAAAATACAGTCTTAGATATTATGTGATAGAGGTTTCTTCATAGTTACTTCATAAAACAGTTACTTCATAAAAGTTACTTCATAAAACAGTTACTTCCTACACAGTTACTTCATACACAGTTACTTCATACACAGTTACTTCATAAAACAGTTACTTCATAAAACAGATACTTCATAAAACAGTTACTTCATACACAGTTACCTCATAAAACAGTTACTTCATACACAGTTACTTCATAAAACAGCTACTGCATAAAACACTTTTACAAATGACTAAGACCAATTAGGTGTATGAAATGGGCATAAAGCAACAGAACAAAAGCTTAGTTTTCGGCAAAAGGTAGATAGACTACATTCAATGTTTTTTTCTTACATTGAAAAAGATATATTTACGATATTTTTTGAGACAGTTTTAGTTATAATGTGGTTTCTGGCTTGAAAACGGTTACTTTACGAAGCACTTGCACAAATGAGACTAACAATAAATTTACAAAAAGAGCCAAAGTTTCAAACTTATTTTATTTTCAAATGAATTCAAGAAATTGTCCGTATGCAGGCCACTGCATTTTACATAATTTTCACAAGCATTTACAAGAGTTTAGTTTTAGTTATATATCAGTTATTATTTTAAAAAATCATTTAAAACAAATAAGTATAGAATCCAGTATTACCAATGCGGTAAGAAAATAGGAAAAAACAAATTTATTATAAACGAAACTCAAATATAACACTCATTTCATTCAATGAGCAAGAGAGCGGTATATTTTGAACACATAAAACGTTATATTTTGAGTTGAAAATAATTTAGTATTTTTCAAGAATTTTTAATTATCATTATTTTATTTTTTAAAACATAATGCAATTTAGAGAAACAGAGAAAATAGACCAAATTGAACAAATTGTCTCTATGGTAATATACTTTAAAAACAGAAGATAGCATTAAAAATTTAAAATAAAATTTAAATGTGGTACTGTGGATAATTTTTTAGTAAGATCTTCATCTATACAAAGGGACAATAATTTAAATGTAGTATTATGTCTAATTATTTAGTAACAGATGTGATATTGACTTCAACCATAACAAAGGGACAGTAATTTAAATGTAGTACTATGGATAATTATTTAGTAACAGATGTGACAATGACTTCATCCATACTAAGGCACAATAATTTAAATATAGTACTAGGGATAATTGTTTAGTAACAATAAAAATACTTACTTTTGCACATTGGTGGTATAGTAGTGCGATCACAGTAGGCAGTAAATGGACAATCACTGTCTCCTTGTGGGCATTCATTTTCACCTCGGCCTATTACAAAGCAAACATTTCAGATATAAAATACAAGTTCAGGCATAAAATACTTATTTTAAGTTTTAAGGAAAAATTAAACTGTTGTATTTTGTATTCATAATAAAATAAAGAAATATTAGACGTCGATAATAAATGAGATAACTGATGACCAAAATTGAAAACAGGATTGAACCAATAAAGGGAACTCTAGAGTGCTTAGGGAAAAGATTTTCCTAGACAAGACCACCGCTTATTAATATTGTGAAAAATGTGGCATTAACACAAAAAAAAACAAAGGATTTATTAAACCTTTCTTAGTTGCCAAACAATAGAGAACGGGTTTGAAAATATTTCTAATAAACAGAGCAGTTCTTCCTTCTAAGTAAACTGCAGATAAATAAAGATTATTAGAACTAGCTCAGCCTAAATTTTCAGTTAATAGCTTTTATGTTAGTTGAAAGCATTCATCTACAGATTTTTGAAATAAAAATAAATAGGATTGAAACAGTTTATTATCAGTGGATGTAATGAATAAATTTAATAAGATAGCTCAGGACAACAAACATACAATTATAAAAAAATAATTAGAGTAAAAATATTTATTATTAATAAAGTAAAAAGAACTATCTCGCAAAATAATAGTTCCGTTTAACAGATTAGAATAGTTGTTCTCTACTTCATGTAATTTATTTATCACTAAACTTCCAATAATTATTATTTAAAGTAATTTGCATTTAATAAAATACTTTGAATATTATGAAAACAAACAAATTATTCTTACATCCAGGATCCAGATATGGATTTCCAATATTTCGTTCTGGTCCACAGAAGCATTCGTATCCGCCAAATTTATTTTTACAGAGTGCAGTATGGTGGCAAGGTCTGCTGGCACAGTAATCGGTCGGTCGGCAGCCAGCAAGCGGATCTCCGTCGTAGCCTTCATAACATCTGCAGATCGGAGCGTGATTTCTTGCCTCACAGAAGGCATTGGAGCCACATATATTTTGCAGTTTGCATGGATCTAAATAAAATAAAAGTTTCAAACAGTTGGGAAAAAAAGCGTTTAAAGAATATCTTTTTTAAAAAAAGTTTGTAACCAGCTCTTACCGACACATTCATATTTTTCACACACTTCTGAATTTGGGCAATCTTCGTTGCGCAAACATTCAACTAAAAATTAATTTCGTTTTTAACAAAAATGCATAATGAACAAGAAATAAATACAATGTTTGTGAATTTTTTGTTTTGTTTCACAAGTGAAATTTGCAAATTGTTACCTGGTTCACAGCCTCTATCAACTGGATCTCCGATATAGCCTTCCTCACATCGGCAAACGGCTGAGTGACCTCTTGAAACACAATATGCATGAGGAGCACAGAGCGCCAAATCACAAGGATCTGTAAGTTAAAAGGTATAAGACTCATGGTTATTTGTACACTCATATGAATTCATCAAAAAATTGAGAAACAATTATTTGCAAGTTAACAGATCCTGGATATTTTCAAGTTGCTAATTTCAAATCTGCAATTAATTTCTCTTTCCAATCTGCAGCTTTTTTTTCTTTTTTAAATTGACATTTTTAATATATTTTTGGGGGTTCTTCCCTATTATTAAATGTTTCCTCATGTGCTTCTGAACAAGTCACAATAGGGAAGCGCTTCTAGCTGCGTACGACGTTTCCGAGCATGAGTTCCATTTCAATTTTAATCCTGATGATGTGCCCTAATTTCCCTAAAAGTTTGTCGCAACATTTACACGACTACCTCTTTTATACAACGTTTTCAAACTTGGACATTTCGACAAAAAATAAACTATAAATGTCACCTTAAAATAAATCTGTAACTTTAGGAGCAAAACTAATTTCAAATTTGAAATCCCTGCACTCGAATTAGACAAAATCAAGAATTTGTACAAATGCAACAAAAAATTTGCTTCCTAGTGTTATAATTGAAATTACAAGTAGACTTCAGTTTAAATGAAATTGAAAAATATTATTTCAGGAAAAGTTCTTAACTTATAGAAAGAGAGAGTTTTTTTTCTTCATCATAAATTTTCAGCAAAAATATCGCAGTCTTTTTTAAGCTAACTTTTACTTTAACAGCGGAAAAAATAAAGAAATTTTTTCCTTAAACTGTTGCTAAGGTAATAAAAGTACTTTTTTTAAACCAAAACTAATCTAGTATTCTTAGCTAATTTTGTTTACATTTAAAGCTACTTAAAAAACTAATTTTCTGAAAAAAGCATGTCCATTAAAGATTTAAGTAATGAATAATGCTGTAAATCAAAATAGTGCATAACTTAACGAAAAGTTTCGACTTTGTTAATAGAGAATAAGTTAAACAAAACTTCATATCCAAATTTATAAAGCTTATTACTTACCAACACAATCATTGTAACCTTTGACACTTGCTCGACAAACATGATTGTCAGTGCATTCATTGTCACGGTTGCATCGATGATCTGCAAAAATAGATGTTTTTAGAACAAAAAGCATAATTTTTTTTTCAAATGCAGAGAAAAAATTAATAAATAAAACATATAATTCCAACACATTTTTCGTTTATTTACCTGTAATGCATTTTCCAGCATTGCACACTTGATGCTCAGGACAATCACTTTCTGATAAACATATAGCTGAAAAATGAAATTATATTTTAGATGAGTTATTTCAATAGTTCAGATTACTAAAAGAAAATATTACAGCATTTTCATATTTCATTAATAAAAAATATTAAATAACAAAACAGTTAATGAAATCAAGTACTTACAAATGCAACGACCCAATTCACAACGTTCTTTTGTTCCACAATCTCGATCTCTATTGCATGGAACTGTAAGGAAAACACATCAAAACAAATTAAAATTATAAAACATGATAACAGAATATGATAAGATACTAAGCCAATAGACTCTTATTTTACCCCTTAATGCATTTGCCCGAGTCTGAGACAGGCGAAAGTTACTGGCAAATTTGCACATGCGTGAGTCTCACGCTGGCAATCTTGTATCGCGTGTTATTTTATTTTTAATGCCTGTCTGAGATCTGTTCTAGTAAAAATGGATAGGCTAGATTATAATTAAATTTATTTACCATAGATGAAACTATTATGCAGCATTTTTCTTGCGTAAACCACGGGGTGTATTTTGATGATTAGTTACTTGATATATTAATTTAATTCATTGATTATTAATTAATACATTGATTTAATTTAATATTTTGAAATTCAAAATAAATCTGTAATCAAATTGCTTAAACTTTATTTGTACCACAATTTTGTTTAGAACTTTTATATTGACCCCCGTTCCCTAGACACTGCCTACAACTGAAATTGTAAAAAATATCTTATACTATACCAACATGTTCTTCTTTTACCAGTTTTTTCAAAAACAAAACTTGTGTTTTAAGAGGTTAAGCATACTACTATCATTTTTAGTTTTATCCAGTACTTTAAGGTAATTTTCACTTATTTTTAGGGAAAAGAAATAATTAATAACAATTATTAGAGAACAATTATTATATTAAAAATTTATATAATTTCTAGCAATTAACTTAGTTATTTACCAGTGAAAAAAATTTAAGAGCACAAATAAACACTATAACTAGAAACTTCATCAAACTATGCATAACACATTGAATCTTAATTATCAAAAATTATAAATGTTTAAAAAGTTGTAAAAAGCATAATCAAAAGCTATAAGTGATTTAAACAGGTATTTACAGAATAAAACAAAAATCTAATAAAGTTAATCACAAATGATCTTTTTTTAAAAATTTTTATACAGTTAAAACTTTTAAAACCCTTTTGATATTATTTTAAGTTTAACACTACTAATTCAATTTCTCTTTATATAAGTAGGTACTAAAACATCATAAATTCAAACTGAGAACACACTTACCATTGCAAACTCCTTTTTGACATAATTCTCCAGCAGGGCAGTTAATATCAGTGTCACAAGGAATGATTTCTGTAAAAGTTATTACAGCATTATAAAATTATTAATGTTATTATAAAATTAGCATTTTAAAATTATTATTTCAGTTAACATAAAATTAGTTATCGTAACTAACAATAAATGCCAGCTATTTAATACTCTTTGACATTAGTTATAGTTAAATAAGGAACCACAATTCAGAGAACGAAAGCAATTCAAATTGTTATAAATCACATACTTCTGCAACCAGCGATAGGATCTCCATAGAAACCATCTCTGCACCGACATATTGCACCATGGCTCTTGGCTTGACACACTGTGTTTTGACCACAGTTTGCTTGACTCGAACATGCATCTGGAAACAGTAACAAGACTTGTTGAGTAAATATAACTTAAATACAAGAGTGAGCTAAAACATTTCACTTAAGGGGAAACTTACCGATACATTTATTCTTTTCACATACTTGATTATCCTTACATTCCTCATTTATGGTACATTCAACTGAAAGAAGAACAGTCAGGTAAATAAACAGATATATTTGATTTCTTAATATTTAGTAAAAGCATGATAGTTAATTTTTTTCAAGAATGATTAATTAAAGAGTAGTAATGTCTCCAATAATATCGATTTTCTTCAAATTTAGTTAGGATTTCCTTAAAAAATAAAGAAAGTAGTGGTAAAAATTTCAGGACAGACTCCAAAAGGAGAGATGTCTGAAAAGACTTCTGAAGAAGGCCGGGGCCCACCCAGGGCTGTCATGCCACTGATGAAAAAGTTATATTATTACTAGATTTTAATCTGTTTCTAAGAGAAGCACATATTCAAACTCATAAGGGCTTATCACAATAGTTAAAAACATAAAATTTATTCAAAATGAATTTTTAAAATTAAAAGCTATAGTTGAAACAAGGAACTATCCACTTCATTTAATCACTTTATTTTTTAATTCATCATAATTTTTAAGATTTTCACTTTTTTTGGGGACACATCGATACTTAATAGGTTCTCTAACTATAGAAATTTGTAAATTTATGGAATATTACCAAATAGTTTAAATTCGAAAGAATATTTAATATTCCTAATTTAAACATATTTTAATTAATCACTATCGATATTTCAGGACAGGCTCCAAAAGGAGAGATGTCTGAAAAAACTTTTGAAGAAGGCTAGGGCCCACGTATAAAAGTAATTTTAAGGGTGCAATATGTTACTACCTTTTGCGCATCTGTATGATGGATCACCAGTATATCCAGGTGGACAAGAGCATTGAACTTGGTGGTTAATAGTCCTGCAATCAGCATTCACACCACAGGCTGTTGGAGATTCACATGGATCTAAAATTAAAAAAAATAAATAAATATTTACTTGCTCAAATTGAAAGAAAGATTTGCTTTAAACATTTTATATATAGCCAATTAGTTCAAAAATGAAAATTTTGCTATATTGGTAGACTAGATCAGATGTGTATAAAAAATTTAAAAAACAAACCTCTGCAGTAGGGGTCTCCTTTTACCCTGACACATGCTGCAGAATCTGCACAGTCTGAATCTCCATTGAAACACATGTTTGGATCATGACCTAATAGAAAAAAGTAATTTAATCATTTATTGAGCATTACGTCATTTAAAACTTTTTTTTTACATTCAAAATAATATTTAGTTTAGATAAAATGATTAGTTAAAAAAACTATTGAAAACCTAAGCCCAAAGTTGCCACTTAATATATAATTTAATAAATATATAGAATAATTTTGCAAAAAAGATCAATACATGTATCAAGTTACGTTGCTGCTTTGAATAAAATAGTTATATTGAAGTTTAGTTACTTAGGAACAATATTTCAGTAAATTTTATAAACTGTTAAATGATTTCAAAATGAGCATAGTTTACAAAAAGTAAATAAAAGTTTTTTTCACTTTTACACACAGTCAACTTTTAAATTTCAAATTGAAAAAAAAAATTTCATTTTGAATCTTTTTGCTATATAATATGCATATGCACTGAAGGAGACATTTTACAGAATATTAAGAAATTTAAAAAAATTAAAGGTTGAAAAAGAGAAATACCATTTTTTATATTTTCCTTAGAATATGCAAAATAATTTGGATGAAGTACATATTTTCCAAAATATAAAAACAAACCTATACACTTTAAAAATTCAAGACTTAAATTGGAATTGCATTTTGAATATTTTTGCTCAGATTATGCAAAACGATTCTGATGAACAATATATTTCCAGCGAATGTAAGTAAAAACAAGCCCCAAAACCTCCTAAATTCTAGTTTAAAAAGTAACTTACACAATTTTGTATAGTTATGGATAATAATAAATTTTAAAGCACATTTTCAAGAATGAAGAAGGTCTACTCACATCCTGGATGAATGAGTGGATTTCCAGTTAAGCCAGTTGGGCAGCGGCAAGAGAAACTTCCAGGAGAATTTTCACAAACAGCTGATGCATGGCAAGGATGCTGCTTGCATTCATCAACATCTAAAAAGTATCACACGAAATTTGCTTAGTAATTATTTCAAATGAAGTAATCCCAGTTATTACTACAAATTTAACTTTAAAAAAACCCATTTAAAAGTGAAACATTTCTTTTATACTGAGATTGATTTTTTTCTTTTACCCTGCTGCAATAAAAACTGGAACAATAGTTAAGTAAAACTTGTTACTTTAACTTTTAGTTCATATATGAAAATGCTAACCGACAATAGCCCAGTTTTTTTCAGCATTTCTTTCTCATGAGATACAATGTATAGTAACATAATTATTACTATAGATTATACATACTACTATACATACTTTAGTTGTGTACAAGTGTAAATAAGTTTAGATAAAAAATGCAAACAATAGCAATATAAAAATTAGTCATATAAGGCTTTAACTGTTTTTATTGGCAAAAATTTTTTAAAATAGAGAGGATAATTGACTATTTTTAAATAGGAATTTAATGAAAAATCATGATATGTGATCTAAAGAAGCAGCCGGTAAGTGGATCGAGCATTCGTCTCCTAATGAGCTAACACAAGTTCGAATCCTAGTAGTGGTAGATTGATACAAATTCTGCTACTGGCTCACATTGATCACAGTGCTAGTGTCAAATATCTTCAGTGGTAGATGGATTATGGGCTAGAATCCCCCTCCATCGAGCTAACCGAGGGTGGTATTCAAAGTTTTACTCTCCATGTAATGCAAATTCAAGTTAGTTCCATCAAAAATTTCTTCATGAAAGCTAGTTTGTGCCACTGCCTGATGCTGGAGTTCTCGTATCTTCTGGATTAGGTTCAAAATTAAAAGGCTATAGAGTTGAACATTTATAGTCGTAAAATCAGAATTGGGTTAGCTGTACAACGCCAGTTATAAAATAAAATAAAAAGACACCTGATTGAATAAAAATTCAAACCTGAACTCATCACGAAATCTTACATGGTATGCAGATGTGTAGATGAATTTGTGTCTTTTGAGCCTCGTTATTTATAAACAGAACATTTGTAAGAAATATGGTAAGAAATAGTAATCTTAGTTAAAAATCTAAAACCTATAAAGCAATTAAAGATAAATTTAATTCAAAAAGCAATTTAAAAAAAATCCAGCTTCTGGAGCTAGTGTAGATGATAGTTTATTATAAGAGCAGTGTTATCATAATTTTTTTTTATATAAATAAAACATAACAAAATACTAACCAACACAAGTCAAACGTCCATTGTTTTCATACCCTGGTTCACAGCGACAAGATGCTTGACGATTGCGAACAACACATGTACCATAAGGACCACAATTAACTTGGGCACATGGACCTTGAAAATACATGAAGAGATATATAAGTATACACTTAATATTTTACTCAAGACTTTAATTAAGAAAAAAATACAATAACGACACATACTTTCACATACAAAGTTGATGCACTGACGGTCGAAATTGCAATCATTGTCTTGCAAGCAGTCAACTGTAAAAACAAATAAATTGGATAAATACAATTTAAATACAAATACAGCATATTAGTGAATAATTTAAAAGACAATAATGACGTACCTTGCACACAGCCTCTTGATAGTTCATACGGATCACCAGTAAATAATCCAATTTTCGGACAATTACATTGAGGGACATGATTTGAAACACTGCAATCTGAATTTGGTCCACATGGCTTACTTTCACAAGGATCTATGGTAAAGATATATGTTTTAATTTAAGATTTAAATATAGCAAGAGTTTTCAATAAATGGAGTAAATGATTACACAAACTTACTTATACATTTGGGCACCCCTTGTTCATCAATACCACAAGCAGCAGTTGTGGGACAGTCTCTATCACCATTTGGACATTCACCTTGAGGTCGACCTACAAATAAAAAGGATATTTTCTAAATTGATACAAATAAATATGTAAATACTGACTACTATAAAAGAAGCAAGTAATTATTTTTTTTAAATTACGGTAATTTTTGTATCCATACTAGCACATTAAAGATCTCAGTTCATTATGTATGGATGTATTGGTAGGGTTAACACATTTAATAATGATTTACCAGCTAGGGTCTTAATTTTATAGGGTAAACTACTACAGAGTTACAGTCTATTTTATTGGAAAAGAACAAATATGAAAAAAAAAAACATTGTACCAAAGAACACATACAAGCACAAACACTTTAAAGTTTCCATGAGTATGAAACATTTACTAATTTATTTAACAATGACGTAAGAGATCTTTAAAATTTTGGCAAAAAATATAACAATGTTAAAGCATATGAAAATGTAAACACACGGTTATTGAAAAGCAACATCACAACAAGGGTGCTAACACGCACTAATGCATTAGCTACAAAGGTGTAATTTTGGCTATTGGTTGGGTTAGCGTATTTACTAATAATTAATATGTTTGCTTATAACAGAATAAAGATCTCGAAATTATAGGCTAAAAAGTAGAACAGAGTTGAATCCCATTCTACTATTAAAATATAGCGATAAAAAAAATATAATTCTTCATAGCTTTAGAGTATCATATATGCAAAGGAAACAAGCTTCTTGAAGCAGCAGGTTAAAACATCACAGAATTAAATTTAAAATAATAGAATTTTAAACCAGAAACAATGACTTATTCACCTTCAAATGCCTTTAAACTCCTGTTTTTTTATTGTAAACTTATAATAAAGTTTATGCGACTGTAAATAAATATAAAATAATAATAACTCACATCCTGTATATCCATCACCAATATCTCCTTCTCTGCACTGACAGTAATAGCTTCCAGCTGAATTTATACACAGAGCAGTTGGGTGACATGGATTAGATAAGCACTCATTATTATCTTCACAACCAGATGGCGTTGGGTTGAAACCAGGTCTACAAGTACAGCGATTCGCACCACATACTTCATTTAGCCTGCAATCACCATCAGCTCGGCATCCAACTATAAAAATTAAAAGCAACAATAAGGAACTGCTCAAATAGAATGAAATAACAATCTATTTTCAAAAGTTAGTTTAGGAAATTCCTTTTAATTTAATTAATTATTTCCAGTGTTTTCAATTTAGTTTAAGAATACTTGGAAACGTGAATTTATGTAATGCAGTTAAATAATTAAAAAAAATATGCGTACTTTAAAGTAACCAATCAAAATAAAAAACTCTGTAAAACGGAGTGAAATTAAAAATAACTTGATAATATTGAAACTTTTAAATGTTTCATCAGGTACTTTTAAAAGCAAAAAAATTTGATAAATCAAAATTGAAACATTTTGACAAGATGATCAGTTTAAAGCAATGTATTAAATACTCATAAATAGGGTTAAAACATCAATTAAGCTACATACCTTGGCAATACTGATTGATACAAATTTCACTAACGGGACAGTTGTTATCAGTTGAACATATAACTGCAAAAGAAAAAAAAAACATAATTAGGGAAAAATTCAAATCTAGTGCTTAGCGTATGCATACATAGTACATAATGTATATACATAAAAAATAAGTAATGCAATTTGTTGACACTTTGCAATTGATTATTTTTTTAGAAATTTAGTTAACTACGAAAATAAAAATGATCGTTTATTTTTTTAAAATTTTATGTCAGTTATTTTTAAATAAAATTTTTAAAGAGGCTCGCTTTAGAAAGAAAGATTGGGTTACATTTCTGCACCCAAAAAAGAAAATGGTAATTATAGCAAAAGGCAAAAACGGTATTTAGTGATTCTTGACAAACCAAACAAAAAATAGGGTTTTAATAATTAATATAGATTGAATCAGCATTTCTGCACTAAAAGCTAATGCACTTTCAGTACATTTATTAAAATTGCTTTTTAAAGAATTTAGCATTAAATGTTAGAATAAAATTTTTTATAACTTCTGATGCAAGTAATTAATACCTACATATGAATTTCCTACTATTATTTCCTACATATGATATTCCTACTACTTCTCGTATATGACTAATAAATATATTTCAAAAGTATTTGTTTAATTACAATTGACTATAAACATGCAAATATTAGGAAAAAATATAAATAAAAATGAAATTTATTATTACTTACTCATGCAAACTCCATTGACACACACTTCACCATCGACACAATTACTGCAAGGTGCACGGCATCGCTCCCCTATGCAGTTCAAACCTAGTGGACAGAAAACACTCGGAGAGCATTTTTGGTAAACTCTTTTGCATCCCAACACTGGAGATGGTGATCCCTCAAATCCTGATGGACACTCACACAAGGCTTTATGGTCAACAACAGTACATACAGCGTTTGGTCCACAAACTCCTTTAATTTCGCATGGATTTTGGCAACGATTCTGAATGCAGGCTTCTTTGTAAGGGCAATCATTGTTGTCACGGCAGCCCACTTGGCAATAGCCATTAGAAACACAAGCTTCTTTAGCTGGACATCCAGAATGAGCGAAGCATGGTAACACACATCGCTTGTTGATACACTTTTCACCAACTGCACACTCATTGTCATAGCTACAGAAAAGTCTACATTGTCCATCGACACAGGCCTGGTTATCCCTGCAATCTTTGGCATCATGACAGAAAACTGATACTCGCAAGCAAGCGCTGTCAGGATCGGGATCTCCTCGGAAACCAGACGGACAAGTGCATCTTGCACGATGATTAACAACCTCGCAGTGAGCGTTAGAACCACAATTGAATGTGTCACATGGGTTCTTGCACATATTTTCTCCACTTACGTCTGGCAAGCAAGCAGCATCTGGTCGGCAGTCCTGATCTCCGAATGGACACGAGTTAGGATGTCGGCAGCCTTCACGAATTGGATCACCAATGTAATCGAGTGGACATTGGCATTTGTAACTTCCTTTTGTGTCAACGCATTTCGCAGTTGGGTGACATGGATGACTTTCACAGAATCGAATTGATTTGCAACCTCTTCCATATGCATCTCCTGTCATGCCAGCTGGGCACTGGCATGTACGATGGTGATTTTCAGCTACACAGATGGCATTTTTACCACATCCACTGAGGCATGGATCTGAAAGTAAATATTGTAAAAATCAGTATAAAAATATGCCTAATTTACATCAAGTTAAATTTTTAGAAAACTAATAACAAATGAAAACTTAAATTTAACATTTTTTACTTCAACTTTAAAAATAACCAATATAATGCTAACCTTTCATAGTTTTGTATTCTATACTCTTAGAATTAAGGTTTCATTAAATGTAAGAAAAAAACTATAGACAAGCAAACTTATTATTATGTAAATAACAAACAAACTAAATTAATTATGTAAATAAGCAAAAAAAAGCATTCCTGCAATGGTAAATTGTGAGCTAGGGGAATAATGGAGGTTAAGGCGCCACAATCTTAAATAAATTTTGACTTTTTGGACAAACCCATTGATTAGAAGCTGGTTGAGCTTCAAGGCACCGCTGGGGATTAAACCTCAGTTTTTCACTATGACAGTTTAGTGCCTTAACTACTGAGGCATAGAGGCTAAATTATAAAATGTAGTAAATAAAATTTTAAATCCTAAAATATTTTATACTTACTCAAACAATAATTTTCTGGTGCGCAGCTTTTATCAGGAGTACAGTCTTCATCAGTAATACATTCAACTGAAAGAAACAAAGGTTAAGTTAATTATTATATAAATATGACCAGTAATAAAGTTAATATGGTTACATTGAAATACATTATGTTTAAATTTGAAATATAAAATAAAATTAACTATAATAAAATTTCTGGTTAATTTTTAGTGGTTGGTACCCAACAATAAATAATTGGTGGCAGAGTAGTTAATAAATCAATATGTTTGAAATAAACAATGAACTTAATTCTCAGAAGAAAAATGTAGTCGTACGAAAAAAGCTAATAAATACCTTGTTTGCAACCTCTAGTCAAATCATATGGATCACCAACATATAAGCCTTGTGGACATTGACACTGGGCAATGTGATTGACAGCAACACAGACAGCATTTGGACCACAGTGAACATGTGAGCACACATCTAAATAAATATTAAGAATCTAAGTTTAAATTGCAACATAGACATATTAACATAGATAAAATTTTAAAATTTTGGATTTTATTAAGAATTAGTTACTTATGTTAAACTTAAAAATTTTATTCCTCATTAGATTTGAGGACAGATCACATGTTATAGAAAGCAAAGAAGTTACAAAGAAAATATGAAAAAAAATTTTTGTTTAATTATTTTTAGAAATAAAAGAATTTTTGTCAAATGATTTTGGGTATGAATAAATAAAAGTAAACAGAAAAGAATATGCTGTATAAAAAAGAACATTCAAAAATAAAAAGTTAAGGTTGTGTTTTATCAAAAACTTAAAAAATATTGATTAAAATTAACAGGGTGATTTTTAAATATATACTAATACTAATAATATACTAATACTAATACTGAAAACTACATTAAAAAAAAGAGCTTCATCTTATGTCTTAATATTTATTTAATGTAAAAAATAACTTTACTTTTGTGTACTTATAAATTTAAATTTTATAAACCTCTAAATTTAGTAAATTTTTGAAAAAGGATAACTTTAATGAAGAAATAAAGAAAAGCAAAAAACAAATTTTATGTTAATAAATAATATAGTATAATACTCTTTATTATACTGCAATAAACAAATGGAAACATATAATAAATAAACATGTAAGAAATAAACATAAAATAAATAAACTAATACTTTTAGCTTATTAAATCTGATGTGATAAAATATTTAAAAAAAAAAAGCATATTTGACATTCAAAAATATATATAAAAAAGCTTCAAATAAGATTTGCCATATTATATTTTTCGAACATAATATTCTACTTCCTAATAATATTCTCTTTATATTGGTTTAAAATAATTTTGTTAGTATGAGTATTTTAATTTTATTTAATAGATTGAATTACTATTGGATACAATGTATATGCCTGCATTGTTTCATTGAATAGCAACAAAATGAAAAGGTATTACATTCTATATTATAACTATTCATGATCTTTGAATGATGAACAACTCAATCAAAATTTTACTTACCAATACATTTTAAACTTCCATCATAATCATCCCGGCGACACTCAGATGCTGAAGAGCAATGTTCACTGATTTTACATTCATCTCGATCGATAGCTAAATAGAACAAAAATTATTACTTAGATATTCCAAATACTAATATTAATAATCATTTTTTGAAAACATTGAATAATTTTTTCTAAAAAAGGATTTTGACTGACTGATAGAAAAAAAATTATTACTTAGATATTACGATACTAATACTAATATTACTAATCAATTTTTGAAAACATTGGATCATTTTTTCTAAAAAAGAAAAAGAAGGACTTACGAATACATCCGCCTCTTTTATTTGGATCGCCTGTAAATCCTTCCTCACAACTACATTGTCCCTTGTGGTTGATGGCAACACAGTCAGCATTAGGAGAGCAAGTGAAATCCAAACAAATTTCTGTGAAAAAAAAATTCTCATTAGGAATCACCATATTTGGAATTATTATCAAAAGAGGAGCAAGAGGAATGCTTATAACATTGCAGCCCCTGATATGATCAAGCGTGTAACATGCAATACACCAAAAAGAGATTTTTAACAAACTTGACAAAGATTACAATTGACAATCAAACTTAATAAGTATGTATATGCATTTTACTTGACGAATATGTATTATTTCTATAAAATAAGAAAAAATGGATGAAACATCGTTATGAAAGCAAATCAGTCATTAACCAATATAATTTAAAATTACTGTAAACAGCATAATATATACAATATTTTTGATTAGGAATTAATCAATACAGTTATTATAAAAATATTTCATTAAAATTTAACTATAAATGTCAGATTATTTTGCTTTTTTACTGTTCTTTTAAAAAAAATCAGTCTAACTTATCTCAGAAGCCATATAGTAATGATTTAAATTAAGCTATGTTTTTGAATTATTTGATCACACTATTTATAAGCTGGGAATATCTATTTCACATAATAAAAAGATCAAGATAAATTAAATTTTATTAAAAAAATTAAAAGCAAGTTTAAGTGTGAAGTTCAAACTAATAAAGTATCATACAAGAGATATACATCATGAAGACCATCTTTCTTTAAAACAACTACTTAGTTTTTCTTAGAACGTAATCAACCAGCCATATATTTAAGGAAAAATCATACATGTTAAGTAATATACGTTTCTATAAAAAAAATTGTATACTTGAATAATAGTTAACTTACCAGCACATTTCAAAATTCCCAAGTCATTAGGTCGGCAAGTTCCAAAAGAAGGACATTGAATGTCTTCTTTACATTCATCAGGTTCGCGAGCTAAAAAATATTCAATAAAGATTAAATATGGGTTGGTAAAATAATTAAATAAAACAAATAAAAAGTTAGCATTTATGATGATATATTAATAAATTATTCTTCACTTAGAAAGTACACTGAGGGATACTTACGCATGCATGATGAATCACTGCTTGGATCTCGAACAAAACCCTCTCGACACTGACATTCATATTGATGGTTTTTGGCATAACATTCAGAGTTCAAACCACAAGGATTGAAAGTACAAGGATCTGAAACAATTAAGATTCTAATCATGTTTCTGAAGATAATTAAAACTGCGCTATATAAATCACATTTTCAAATATTCAATTTTTTGATGAGGATATTTTTCAGTGAATGGAGTATGTAACCTCCCTGTGTAACAGTTATTTTAAAGAATCGACTCACATCGTTTTAGTAATTTGAAAGCAAATATTAAATGATTGTAGTTAAAAATTATAAAATTAATTTTGTTTTAGTAAACAATCAGACATTTTGTAAAGCAGTCTAGCTAAGTAGAAATATAGTCAGTTACCAATGAAAGATGAGATTTGTAAATCGATTTTTGTTTGATAGATTTTCTTAACTGGATAAAAAGCTATTGTAACTATAACACATATTATATGGTGTTAATAAAAAAAGTTAATTGTAATATATATAGCATTATTGCAACATCCTTAATCCAGTTATGAATCAAAACTCCAATATTGCAACAAAAAAGGCACAGTATTATTTTTGTTAAAAAAATGCACACAATTTATGAACTATAGCAATAAAAGTACTGATTTTATTCATGCAAATAAAAAAACTTAGTTATTTGCTCAAAATATTAAATAAACATTCTCAGCATATATAAAAAGAAGTTGAAAAGAAACACAAATTTTGGTGTAAGAAATAGCATCAGCGGCAAACTGTAATAATCATTGATAAATAGCACCAATGGATAAAGTCAATGATGATGCAAGAATCAATAAAAAGTATTTAATCCTCACCAACACAATGCTTTACTCCAAAATTATCAGGTTTGCAGACATCGGTGTTTCTGCGGCAATCCCAATCTTGCTGGCATTCATCACGCACAGGTGCTATGATATTAGAGTTATAATAAGATTCAATTCATAAAATAAAAAATAAAAAGATATGGAAGGAATCAGAATTTAGGAACTTCAAAAAAATCTTACGTTTGCATCCGTTCAAAAGATTGTAAGGATCTCCAATGTGGTCAGGTAAGCATTCACATCTAGTTTGGTGATTCCTTGCACTACAAATAGCATTAGGACCACACTGCACATATTCACAGGCATCTAAAATAGACACCAATGCCATGCAACAACTACTTATAAGCAAATAAAGTGAATAAAAACTAATAAAGCAACATAAATAATCAGTTTCAAAACTGTTTTTTTTATTAAGCTCAGCCTATATAGAAACTTTTGCGAAGAATAATCACTAACTTCAAGTTGAAAAGCTAAATCATTTATTTTGAAATATAATTTATTTTAAAGGTTCATTATTTTATTGTAGTAATGACGTAATTTGACATCATGTAAAATTCTAAAAAACTAAACTCAGTGGCGCGACAGCCCATAGAGGGCCAAGGCCTACTGTGCCCATCTCTGTTTTCTTGACCTTGAGCTCTGGGGTGCAGGAGCAGATGTTCCTGTCAGGTGGTCAGTCGAAAGAGGAAACCCCCAGTGTTTAGTTCCCAAGCAGGCTTGGTACTTAATTTATCGACCCACTGAAGGGATGAAAGGCTGAGTCAACCTTGTCTGGCCCAAGGATCGAACCCAGGACCTGTGGCATAGGAGCGTGAAGTAAAGCATCTCATGTAAATTTCTAAGTTTAACTAATACAATAGGTTATGATGATGAATATTATCTTTTCTATTCATATTCTATGGATGTTTCATGTGACTTAGCTATATTTATATCTTATTCTAACACTGATTTATTTAATTAAATTAAATTAATTTCTTTTTTAAAGAAAAAGCAAGAACATGAAGAAAAAAAAAGTAATAATGAAGTAAATTTTAAAAAAAAAAAACATTGTACACGGTAATCTAACGCAAGATATTTTTTATGTATATAATAACTAAAAATTTAAAAATATCCATTATAAAATCATACTTTTGCAATCTAAGTATCCCTCATTTACTGCTTGACATATTTGCTGTGAGCCGCAATCACGATCTTCTTCGCACAGATTTGGACTGCGAGCTACAATAAAATTAAAATGAGTGAATTCATGAAAATAAAGAATATGTATCAATGGGATATTTTAAATAAAAGAAAATTAACTTACGAATGCAGCCTACAGTTGGATCAATTGGATTTCCTTCATAACCCGATGGGCATCTGCAAACAGCCAAATGATTCTCCCCAAAACATTCCGCATTTGGACCACATCGATCGAATAGGCACACATCTACAAAAACAGAATACATTTTTAATTATGAACTAAATAAAATCTTTTGATCTATAACACTAGAAAAATTTCTTTTCAAAACTTTAAAAGTTAAATGTTTAAAATGCATTTCAATGGGATGTCTTGTTGCTTTATTGTTTAAATATCGAAATAAAGTAGTAAAATAAAAGTAATTAAATAAAAAAAAGTTGTTTCTGTAGAGCATATATAAATTAGAAAGCATCTAATAATTGGTGTAAGCATTCTGTAATTAATGTTAGTTTTTTTAAAATTTTAAATAAGAATATTTAAAATGTAGTACATTAATTTACACTTATTTGTTAAAATATTTTTAGAATACAGATATTAAAAAATAGATATCCTGAATTAGTACATAAAACTCTCTAATCCCATGAGAAAGAAATCATAATCAACAACAAAAAAAATTCTTGTGTTGGTTAAGTTTAGTTATATTTAATGACTTTAGCAACTAATACTTGTTTACAAAAAAAAAAGAAATAATTATCTAAATACACTTACGGACGCATTTTCGAACTGAATCTGTGTGTTTTCGGCATACTTCATCAGTTTTACAGTCTCGATCAGTGTTGCAATCATGTGGTACTAAAAAAACAAATATTATCAGAATATTAAAATGCACAATACATACCAAAAAATAGCAACATAAAAATAAGATACATAGATTTTTTTTAAAATTTACCATGAAATAAAGTTAACTTTTAATAACTTACATTGGCAACCTTTAACTTCGTCATATGGATTGCCTTCATAATTAGCTAGACATTCACACTGAGCAACGTGACTCTTCGTTGTGCACCTGGCATGAGGTCCGCATCTTATATCTTCACATGCATCTGAAATAGGTAAACATTATTGATTTAGTTTCCTTCACAAAATGTTTCAATGCCAGATTTTCACTTTATGAACAATATTAAACTTAAATTAAAAACATGCAAAAAAAAAAAAAAAAAGAGAGAGAGAAAGAAATTACCAAAGCAGTTTCTTAAACCACTGATATCTGGTCTACATACAGCATTGGCTGGACACTGAGAGTCACTGTTACAGAGATCCGGAGCTGTTGGAAAATAAATTAGATATTAAGACCTTTGGTATTCAAGCAGTTTACTCAAAAACAAGGAGTCGAACCTCGATTTAACGAATTTTCCGATTTAACGAATATTTTTTTCTGTCCCGACAAAAAGGGTACAAAAATGTTCCCATTTAAGGAATTTTTAGTTTTGATTTAATGAACATCAATCGCTGGAAAAAATATCCAGGGTGCGTAGCCGAATTTTTCAACAAAAAAAGCACCTTTTAAGCACTTTTCAAGCACTCAAAAATATTTTTAAGCACTTATAAAAATACATAATTAAGCAGGGTTGGCAATTTTTTGACATTTGACGGTTTTATCCGGATTTAACCGTCATGTCAAAAAAAATTTTTTTTTGGCTTAGTTTTTGATTATTGTCAAAAATCATGAAATTTTGAATCATAAAACGGATTGGGGTTGAATTAATTTCAAAAACGTCGAATAGAACAATATGAACAGTATCTTTTTGCATAATACGTGGCGAAAATCAACAGGATAAAGGAAAAATTAAGCACTTTATAAAAACACCCACTGAAAAAAGCACCTTTAAGGTCTTTTAAAATACGAAAATCGAAAATAAGCCCCTTTAAGCACTTTTTAAAAACGCCACGCACCCTGAATATCACTTATAAAAATAAAACTTTGAATTTTTCGCACTTAAAATTTCGAATATTTCACACCTTAATCCAAGAGTGTAATTATATGTATGTACTATGTATTAAGTTTTAAAAGCAAGTCGCATTAAATAATTAATATCATTTTAAAGTTGATTTCCTAACGTAGTAAACAGTAATCACTTTTTTTCATATCTGTATGTCTGAAGGTATTTTGCATTGATATTTTTATACCATACTCATTACAAATATTAATATTCGCTTAAACGAATTGCTTCGATTTAACGAACGGATTTGTCAGCTCCAATTAATTCGTTAAATCGAGGTTCAACCGCATTGTTGTTTTTAAAACTCATAAAATAAACAAAGTTACTGATATCAATTATAACTAAGAAATACATTAAGAATAAAATATACCTGATTTCTTTCCAAAGATAACAGGAATAAGATAAAAGATATAAATAAGTTAATTATACAATTAGAGTGAATGTAAATTCTGACAGCAAAGATAGAGTACTTACGTCTTGGTTCACATCCCACATTTCCATCGTATGGATCTCCAATAAAATCTACTGGGCAGTTGCAAACAACAATGTGAGAAGAGACTGAACAAAGGGCATTTCGTCCACATCTAGCGTCTGAACAGCCATCTGATAGAAATAAACAATATTATAAGTTTTATGATACAGTTGGTGTACATGAAGAAAATAAAATTAACAAAGATAAATAAAAAATAATAATTTTAGCAGCATTTACTAACATAGATAAGTTTTTTTAAAATCAAAATAAGTTAAAAATAAAAGGTATTACACTAAACATGGTTAAACATAAATATTTTACATTAAAAAAATATAAGTCTTAAAAAAAAAGAACTCATGACAGTATTGAAGAAAAAAAGGAAGCTTTCTTAATTTTTTCTACTTTATCTGATTTGATAGAGGACACAAAATAAACAGATAAATAAAGATGTAAAATAAGAATTTAAATTATAAATTTAGTTAGAAATTAAAAATTAATTTTCAATGTCCTAATTTACAAATTTTAGGCCCATTTATTTACACAATAAAATTTAAAAAAAGAAAGGTAAAAAAAAGCTCAAAGATAAGTAACTATACTTATCGAATTTTAACAAAAGAATATAAATTGGAAAAAATAATCTACAGCTATGGAAAATTGTTTTTAAAAATAATTCTTTCTAGTTTTAGGGAAGTAAATAACTTACCGATACAGTCTTTCACCCCTTCTGCATTCAATCCACAAATTTCACGATCACTGCAATCACTGTCAGTGTTGCATTTGTTTCGAGCTGTAATATAAAATTAAGCATATAGAATGGAGAAAAAAAATATTTTAAACACTAATTAAATGTGAAAGTGACAATTTAATATAAAAATGGACTTACGTCGGCAGCCTCTTTGCATATCATCACCATTTCCAACAAATCCGTCTCTGCATTCACAAAAGGCAGAATGTCCTGTAGCAATGCATTGAGCATTAGGTCCACATCTGCGTCCTTCACAAGGATCTAAACATAACAATTTTACAGAGTTAAAAATTATTCATAGAATAATAATTTTTCAAATATTGAGAAAATATACAATTCAGGTTAAGAAAATTTCTTAATATTTTCGAATTTCATAACTAAAATGAACACAAAAATTGAGATGAAAATTAAATTAAAAATTTTATAATTTAAGCAAAAAAATATTAACTAATTAAAGTATACATAATGGATTTTATATTTATTTATTAATTTTGAAGAGCTACAAAATTTCAAATGTGTTTCTGCTTTCTGAGTAGCTATTCAGTGAGTTTCAAAAACTTATAAAATATCTAAATAATTGGATGTAAAAAAGCCCCCCTCCCTTAAAAAAGTGTGGTAAGTAAGTATCTTTGCCTAAACCTTTCATTTAATTGAAGCAATTAATTTCATGGCATAGAAAAATACAATTTGCACAACTATAAATATCAGAAACCACACAATTCATAATAGTATGACAGTCTTTAAAATAGAATAACTTAACTTTAAAGAGGATAACTTACTTAAGCAGTCCCTTATTCCATCTCTTGTAAGTTCACATAGCCTGCTATCAGGGCAATCTCTGTTAAGTGTACAATGATCAGCTGGAGAAAAAAAAATTAAATGGTAAAAAAAAGAGTTTTCTAATAATACACAAAACATTAACAGTGCAAAAAGTTAGCTAAGCAATAAGAGTAGACATCAAGCAGAAAATAACTTAGAAAATTAAAGTAAATTTGAAATAAGTACTTACTTAGGATATTAAAAAAATCAAATAGGAAATTACTTAGGATATTAGAAAAAATCAAATAGAAAATTACTTAGGATATTAGAAAAAATCAAATATGAAATTACTCGGGAAATTACAAAAATTGAAATAGAAAAGTTCTAAGGAAATAGTACAAAAAATCCAAAATGAAGTTAAATGTACCTTGGCACTGTCTGTTAGGATCGCCAGAGAAACCATTTGGACATGCGCACTGTGCTCTATGATTCTGAGCTGTACATATAGCATTGATGCCACATTTCTTAGTTTGACACACATCTATAAAATCATAAATTTGTTTTAAACAGAACCAAAATTTAATTTGTATAAATAAGAACTTATATATGGAGTAAAACTTCAGATAAAATGGTAACATAGTATGAACATACCTATACAGTCTCTGATTCCTGATGGTGTTGGACGACACACTCTGTCTGGTGGGCAATTACTATTGCTTTTGCATTTGTCTTTTGGAACAGCTATAAAGAAGAAAAAAATGCCATCATGACATAGAATAATGTAATAGAATAATAAATAGAATAGAATAATAAAATTTCGTACAATTTTAAAAAATGCATTTTGAGTATAAAAAACCTTTAAAAAAAACTGAACTTTAAATTTCCTTAGATAATAAAAGCTTTACAAATCAGATTGGATAACAGTGTTTTTAATATTTTTCTGCACAGTTGCTCTGTTAGTCTTAACCTAATTATAGTTGTTCATTTCAAAAGTGTTTGCATTCAATTTGCAAGAAAGTTTGTGATTAACCAATATTAGATAATGCACAAATGATATAATGTTGGATTGAATACTATATTTAATGGCACAAAAGTCTAATTCAACTGCACTGAAAATCTTATTACATCGCATACTTAATGCTACACGTTTAAGTGGCACTCGTAACTATGCCAGACGCAAAAACAAAATAGATAAAAAACAGGGAAACTAATAAGAAAAGTTCCTAAGGAAAATAGGAATGTGTGGAACCTGAATATATCTATAAAAGATAAACAGATATTTTATACTATGGTAGATATGCTCAACATACAATACAAAACATAAGATTAGCACTATTTAATTTTAGACATAATATGATAAAGCATTTTCAAGTATCTTATTAAATCCAAGAATGCTACAAGTTTATTAATTATAAATACCACAAAGAGCTGGAAAACAGAAGTCCAAGTCTATGATGTCTAAGTTCTAATGCAAAATATTTTTCGTACACGAATGTACAATTTAATTAATGCCTCAATATTAGGAGTGAGAAAGTTGAAAAAGCTTTAGAGCATACAATTTTGACAGTAAATACCTTTCATAATAAATCTCACGAATAAAGCACAAACAACTTTTTTTGTACATACTTTAAAAAGTGGTAACATATTGCAACTTATCAAATAAACTTACGTTGGCAACCAACACCAAAATCAATTGGATTTCCGGAAAATCCTGGTCTGCATTCACATGTAGCTTGATGATCTCTTCCTCTGCATAATGCATTCAATCCACACTGTGTTGTCTCACAAACATCTATTAAAAATATTAAAACGCTTCAACTATTTGACAAAAATAGCATTTAAACTCTACATAAGTGATAAGTAGAATTTAATAAATAAACTAAATTTACTTATAATATCTAACTTACCAAAACATTCCCTGTAGCCATTGTCACCAGTTCTACAAATTTGGTTGTCTGCACATGATGAACTGTCAGAGCATAAGTCCAATGGAGGAGCTGTTCAAAAAACAAATTTGATTATTTATACCTTTTTTGGTACTGCAAAAACATTGAAAGGGGAAAGTTCGTTAAAAATACTTACGTTGGCAACCTCTTTGGATGTCATAAGCATCTCCAGTAAAACCTTGACGACATTCACAAACAGCTATATGACGTCGTCCTTCACACAGTGCATTAGGTCCACATTGCACGCCTTCACATACAACTAAGAGAAGAAAAAACATTACAATGTACGTGGCAATAAAATTGATAAATGAGGTTGATTGTTTTTCATAAATAAATAAAAAATGTATTATACACAATCACAACTGTAAAATAAATATTTTCCAATACATTTATCTGAAATTTTTTTATTTTGGAAATAGAAATTAATGTAGCGTAAAATTTAGGAATTAAACTATAATAGAATAATAAAGAATTTACTAGCTGCAGGTATGGAAAAGAATAATTTAAAATTTGAATATGTAAGACAAAATTATAAATTCGAAAAATAAGACAAAATTATAAATAAATAAACTGCTCTTATCCAATGAAACTCAGCTGAAGCTGAACGGTATGAATAGAATTTTTTTTAAATCTTTCCATTTTTTTCCTTTTTTTCCAATTTTATACTAATTTTTCTTCAATGTCATTTGTTTAATTCCTCTTGGTTTCTTTGCTGCTAAGCGCATTTTTCCATTTGGATGTTTTAACCTTTTAAATCTTTTTTAACATTTATTTTTGCATTAATATTTTGATTTCTTTCCATAATTACCGAGGAAAACTAACTTCATGTAGGATAAATAAACGGGAAAAATTGTATATCAAATTAAAGGTGATATTAAATAATTTATGAATATATTTGCATACTCACCAACACAATCTCTAATTCCTGTTGTAAGCAGCTTACATATTTCATCTCCCCGGCACTCATCGTCATATGCACATCTATCATTTGTATGAGCTATGAAACAAAATTTCATATTATGGCATACCAATAGTAGTAGAAAAAGAATTTATTAATAGATACATTGATAGATTAAAAAAATAAAAATTAAATACATTTTTAATACAAGAAATATCAATGATAGTTCTTATCAAAGTAACATTAAGGATATACTTAAAAGAAATGAAATTTTAATGCGTCTAGAATAAAAACAGTTAATTTTTTTTACAAATACGTTAAAGATAAAAGTTTCCTATAAGTATATACATGTCATTGCATGAATAATTTTAAGAAAAATGGATTTTGTTTATTTAAATAAGAAACTTACGGTGACAGCTAGCCATTGGATCCCCACTAAAGCCTTGTGGACATTCGCAAATGGGTCGATGACCTCTTCCTTGACATGCAGCATTTTCACCACAGGTCTGCTCTTGACAAACATCTAAAAATATACACAAATAATCAAAATTCAAATTCTGTTGTTTGAACGCAAAATATTTATAAGGATTATTAATTGAAAGTAAATCTCATTTTTAAAAACTATTCATAGTTATAATTTATATAAAAATTTTTTTTCTTATATTGAAAATAAAAACAAATGAAATAATTTGCAAAAATGATGAAAAGGTAGAAGCTTTAAAATCTGAAATACTAATGAAGAAGCAAAAGCAATACATTCATTTATTTTCTGCCACCTTGATAGATTATACAACTTTTTATTTTGCAGGTTTAAGTTAAAATCTTTTTCAATGATTTAAAATAATCAATATAATGGCAATACATTATAGATGTTATTTGATTTGATAATAAAACAATACATGTATAAATAGAAGCTTCTTTGACACTTTCATATGTACTGAAATTATAAAATTTAATCTCACTTGAAAATGCATACTCAGAAAATAAAATTTTTGTCAGTTTGTATTTACACAACTTTAACTAAAACAAGAATTTGTAATAAAGAACTTACTTTCACAAATCCTAACACCACCACTTCCCATCTTGCAAATATGGGAATCAGGACAATTAGCACTCACTTCACATTCATGGGGACTGAGATCTGTAGAAAGAACAAAATAAAGAATACTTATAAAAGAGTTAATTCAAAAATGACTTTTAATTGAACAGAGAAAAAGGAAAAATTATTAAGAGATATTTTTCAAACTAACATCTAACATTGCACTTTTCAGTATGAAATTAAAGTTCGATGTTTTCCAAAGTAGTTCTTTAAATGCAAATTTCAGTTTTAGTTTTTTAAATAAATAAATAATTTATTTTTAAAAAAGTTAAAATTGAAATTGGGATTTATTTATTCTAATATGTCTAAGAAGGTTCAATTACTTGACTGTTATATATGATAAAATCGTCATATATATTGACTGCTATATAAAATAAAATTAAGTTCCAACCACTAAAATAATTAGGCAAAAAGTTATTAAAGAAGGCAATAAATTGAGAAAAAAAGTAAACATTGAAACTTACGTTGACACCCTTGAATAAGATCATTTGGATCCCCCACCATACCATCTGGACATTCACACACTGCCTGGTGATTTCGGCTGATACAAATAGCATTTCTTCCACAAACAACAAATTGTGGATCACAAACATCTAATAAAAAATTTTGAAATTATTTTTTATTCATAAACATAACATAAATGATTTATTAATTAGGAAAGTCATATACTTAAAAAATTAAAAGTATGAATAATCAAAGCTTTCATACATGACTCAAAAAATTATAACTTATATGAGATTATAATTATAATATTTATTTTTCTTTACTTTTAAGAAGTATAAAGTGAAAGAAGAATAACATTTAAGCACTAGCACATTAATTTTTCTGTAAAATAAGTTTATGTATAGTTCAAAGTTTACAATAAATAAACTAGCTTTTTTAAACATTTAAATTAGCGTTTGTTACTTAATTTTAAGTATTTTTCAATACTTGAATAACATTTTGGTTTTGAATATCGGGAATTATTTTTACACTAAGAATAAATCATGTCGTTAGAAATTGTTTCGTTGCTTAGCATAAATTAATGTTGTAAATAAGAAACTATGTACCATAAACTATAAATTAATGAATTAAAGTTGTACAACTATTTACCATGACTATAAAACCTTTAATGCTCCAAAATAAGATAAAGGTAAAGCTAAAAGGTAAAGGATAAAGATAATGCTAAAATATAAAAGAGGAATAAGAGACTGTTTCTTACCTTGACATTGTCGTACTCCATCTGAATTTGCTTGGCAAGAAGCTCCACCATCACACCCATAGTTATCCTCACATTCATTCGGGTTTCTAACTGGTGCTTCAGTAGATACTGCGATTTATATAGAAAAAGAAATTAAGTAAAAAAATAACAGAAATGAAATAAAGAAATTTAGGAATAAGTTTAGATAAAAAATATTTTTTTCTCATACCAATTCTTTTTTGTAATTAATTTTTGAAAAATAACTCTAAAAGCAAACTAGTTTAATTAAGTAAAGTGAAAAGAAAGAAAATCATAATTTGTTTATCATTCTTTAAAGAGAAATGGCTCAATTATTAAATGCATAATTTGCATTGTTTAAAAAGAGATAATACAGATTTTTTTCAGTAAGGTATTTAAAATTATTTTCCATGCATAAAATGACAGCTAAAGGCAAAAATTGTCAGAGTGTTTTTTTACAATAAAAATTAATAATATCCCATATAATGAATAACTATAGCAAAATTTAACTGAAGATGTATATTGAAAGAAACAGTTGAAAATTTCTAATCTCTTTTTCATATGCTACATGCAAAACATAATTTCTTTTAACATTAAAATTAGATAAAAATTCATAAACTAAAAGGCTTTAAGACAAAAATTTCATGCAATAAATAGTGAAAGGAAGTACAATAGTGGTTTCATGTTAATGAAAAAAAAAAGTAATATAGAGGTAAAAGACATTTAATCATTTGCTTACCACTGCATCCAACTCCCACATTGTTTGGTTGTCCGTTCATTCCTTGAGGGCACAGACATGCACCTCTGTTACAATAAGCATTTGGTCCACACACCACATCTTGACATGGATCTGGTGAAGAAGAAAAAAATTGAATATATCACACATTTAAAATAACAAACCGTAAGTAATTCATTATAAATATGTTTATTAAAATGGCAATTTAATGTTTAGAATACCTTGACAAGAGCCTCCTGCTCCACAAATTTCTCCACCTCCACATCCAGAATCAGATGAACAAGCACAACCCTGGCCTGGTTCACAAGGAGTATTGGCTGGTGCTGTAATAGAACATTGAATATTTTAGATGAATGACAGAAAACAAATGCTACATAGGTTCAGAAAAACAGTAGATAAAGTTCAGTTATTTTTATTTTAAGGGATTATAAATGCAGAAAGAGCAACTGACTATTATAGTAATTATGCTAAGTAAGTTTGAATGTAATTCTGTTTTGCAGGTAGTAATGCTAAAAGTGCAGCTATATTTAACATTGAACAAACTATACAATCTACAAAATTGAACTAAGTCGTAAACAGAATTTAAATTATTCTTCAAAATACAAATAAATTTATTTAGCTTGCTTATTTATGTATTCAGGATAAGTTAATATTTTAAATATAGCAAAAAATAATCACAGCAATCACTAGGAATTTTTCCCAAAAAAACTAAATCAAATCTACTATAGAAAATGAGATAACACACGTAAACAGTACAACTTACGGTAATATTAATTCTGTCGCATAAGTTACAATAAAGTGATCCTGTTTTAGTAGTAATAGTGACAGTTTATGTATATNCCTTGACAAGAGCCTCCTGCTCCACAAATTTCTCCACCTCCACATCCAGAATCAGATGAACAAGCACAACCCTGGCCTGGTTCACAAGGAGTATTGGCTGGTGCTGTAATAGAACATTGAATATTTTAGATGAATGACAGAAAACAAATACTACATAAGTTCAGAAAAACAGTGGATCAGATTCAGTTTTTTCCCCAATTGATTATAAAAGTAGAAAGCGCAGCTGACTATAACAGTTATTATGTTAATAAGAGTGAATGTAATTCTGTTTTGCAAGTAGTAATGCTAAAAATGCAGCTATATCTAACAATGAAAAAAAAATATGATCAACCAAATTGAACTAGTAGCAAACAGAATTTAAATTATTATTTAAAATACAGATAAATTTATTTGGTATACTATGCTTATTTATGTATGATATTCAGGATAAGTTAACATTTTAAACATAGCAAAAAATAATCACAGCAATCACTAGGAATTTTTCCCAAAAAAACTAAATCAAATCTACTATAGAAAATGAGATAACACACGTAAACAGTACAACTTACGGTAATATTAATTCTGTCGCATAAGTTACAATAAAGTGATCCTGTTTTAGTAGTAATAGTGACAGTTTATGTATATATAACAATGATCTACACATACAATTACTTGTAGTGACTTATGAAGTTAATACAATTTTAATTATTATTTGCAATAGAGGGAGATAAATGGATATAGCATTTTTTTGGGCATTTATCTATAATATTCAAAATAAATTAATATTTTTGATATCACAAAAAACTATTAATTAACAACTTACTGCATGAAAATAATGGATTTCCAGTTGAGCCTGATGGGCAGGCACACAGGAAACTACCAACACTGTTGATACAGCTAGCGCCACTTCCACATGGGTTACTTCCCAAACACTCATTAACATCTAAAAGAAATTGATGACAAATGTTAGATAGAAAAGTCTCTTAAGAGAAAAAAAAAAGCTGCAAATTTCATTTTATTGTATTTTCAAAACAAATAATTACCTTGGCAACCAATGAATGGATTTCCTTGCAAACCAGCTGGACATACACAATCCACTCTATTAGGGCCTTCAATGCAGTTTGCATTTGTACCACAACGAGTTTCTCCACACCTCTGGCTTGTTCCTATTAAAATTAATTTGAATACATTTCATTCAAAGTTGGTAGAGCTCATAGAGAATGATAAATAAATAATGATAAATAAATAATGATAAATAAATAATGATAAATAAATAATGATAACAAGTGATCAATAAATTCATAATGCTTACCACAAGCAGAATATGGGTTTCCAGTAAAACCTGGATTGCATCCACATTGATTTGGAACACCATATGTACAATGAGCATTAACTCCACAGCCAGGTACACAAAGAGGTGGTAATATAGCTATAAGAGAAAAATAATAATTAATATTCATTAGCATTAAAATTATTTACTTAAACTAAAATAAAAACTTATACAGCGCTACGTAAAAAAGCATTACAGCATCAGCCCTGTTGTGGGTTAGGGGAGTCAAGCAGGTTAAAGCTCTACAATTTTGTCAGCAACAATATGACTTTGGAAATTTGTTCAGCATTGCCCACAAGCAACCATTATTTCCTATACAAACAAGTGCCCATCAATTTGACACTGAGTGAGCTTTAAGCCTCAACTGGAGAATGAGCCCCAATTCATCACAATGATAGCTCAATGCTCAAACCACTAGGTCATTATAGCATAAAATGCTATATAACATTGTCTTTTAATACAAAATATGTAATGTGAAAATACGCAAAATACTGGTTTTTAAAACCAGTTTTGTTTTTCAAATTTAAAGGTAAAAAGTATGCAAAAACGTCTTATGTTATATAGTTAGATATTTTTAATTTCTCCAATAATAAAATTTTATTAAATACATTTCAAAAAAAGATTACATATCTTTGAGAAAATCTATAAAAAATAAACCACATATCTTTGAGAAAATAACAATCATAAAAAATAAACCACATATCTTTAAGAAAATAACAATCATAAAAAATAAACCACTCAAATTTCTTACAAAACTACAGATTTTAAATGTCTTTAATGATAATTGAATAAAAAAAAATGGTTGAAAAAAATTGTCACAAATTTTTTGATAAAAATAACAATTAATATAAAATACACTTACGTGGAACACATAGAAAAGATGGATTTCCGATGAAGTATGGCAAACAAACACAATTTCCTGTATTTTCATCACATCTAGATCCAACACCACAATTAACACCTTGACAACGTTCTAGCAGAAGTAAAAAAAAATGGTGTAAATTTACGTATGGTAAAATTTGTTCTCTTGATAGTTCATAACAGAAGAGCTACTTAAACTTACCAACACAAGCACCATTACTACACATTTGAGAAGATCCACAAGGTCTTGAGGCTGAGCAGCCTCGTGATTCTAATAAAAAAGAATTGGTTTCTATGAGAACAGTGCATAATAATCATTAATTTACAATTAGCTGCAGTCTTTCTTAAATAAAGACCTATCACAACAAATATGACAAATACATTCTAAAATATGAAAATGAAAGTTATAAATTGAAATACAGAAATTTTGTTAACTTGATAATTTTAGTAATAGAGAGCTTGCAAAAAAACATTATATTGTATAATAAAAAAGATTACACAAAAATGAACTTTTACAATTAGAAATTCATTATCTCTTTATAAAACTAATGTGGCAGAGCTAAAATAGGATCAAATATTGTCACTTCATTGAACTCCAAAATGTTGAATGCATGATTTTCGGCAATATGCATAACAATATTTAAACTCACAGAACTAAGAAAATATGTTCTAAGTTAAGGAAAAAAGTCTAAAGAATCAAGTACTTACTAAACTTTTAAAAACTTGTCCATTGCAACGATAAAAAACTTATTAAGTACATGAATATATTTTAATAACGGCTAGTTAAATATCGTTGATTTTAGCCTAAGATAACAGATTATTTTAAAACAATTTAACTGATCTCATTAATTCTAAAATAAAAGATAAGTATATGAATAAAAATTCCTTATTTAGGTTTCAAAAGTTTAGCTTAAGTTACTTTTTTTAATACCTATGAAGTGCTTTGCTAATACAATGATGAGCTATAATTTCAAATTGTTTTGGAAAACATTTTTGGAAAAAAAACCTCTCCATTTCAATTCAGGCAAGATGTATTGTGCTGATATTTAAAGAAAATTCTAGAAATTTTTTTACGACACATATAAAAAGATGCGGAGGAGCAGCTTGAAGTAAAAATTTCACATTTAGAGAAAACATGACATTTAGTGTTGATTGCCGCTCATAATCTATATATTTATGAAACGGTATATTATTTATATTTTAACTGTATAAGCACACATTGCTGATACTTAGGCAGTTTAGGAGTTTAAACCTGATTGTACTGAAACCTGATTTGTTAAAAAAATAGATGAAAAAAAGGAAGGATTTTAAAGAACAACTTTCAGTAACTTTTGGTGAACTGAGAAACAAACCAAAAGACATTTAGTAAATTAAATAATCAAAATAATCGTACAGGAATATTTTTAAAAATGTTACCTGCTTGACATCCCCCTCCAGCCCAGGGATTTCCTGAAAATCCCTGCAGGCAGTGGCAAACTCCTTGGTTGTTCGAATTTACTATGCAATGTGCGTTCATGCCACACCAAACTCCAGCGCATGCTATAATAAATAAAGCAATGTTATTATTCAAAATAATCAATTACAGAGTTTTTGTGAGAAAAAAAATTTATAATCTTGTTTGTTAAAAATTAATATTAAATTCATAAATTTAATTTTAATTTATTATAACCCATGCTATAATAAACTATGCAATGTTATAGTTCAAACTAATAAATTACAGAGTTTTTGTCAGAAATAGTTTTACGATCTTGTTTGTTAAAAACTAATATTAAATTTATAAATGATAAATCATTCTAAAACTGCCAATATTTCAATTATAACTATATATTAGACCAATTTAAAAACCTTACTGTAATTTAGAAGAAATTATATGAAATAAAAATAGATATGTATCTCAAACTGAAAATAAATAAATATTTCTTACGAGATAGACATCCTTTTTCCAGATCGTTTGGATTTCCTGAATACCCAGGTCTGCACCTGCATACAGCCTTGTGTTCATCTCCGTAGCAATCTGCATTTGGACCACACCATGCAGTAGCACAAGGATCTAATCACAAAAACAAAAATATGTAGAAACAACACAATTTTTTTTCTAGAATATGAATTACATTTAAAAAATTCATCATAAATTCAGTTAAAAGTATTAAAAAATTTAAAAACTGAAATTGAAAAATAAAATTTGAAATTTGACCAATGTAATTATTTACTAAAGAGTATATTTATATAGCAGAAAAAAATGCAAATTCAATTATTATTAAAACACACATGACCTTTTAACAAAAGAAAAAAACTGAGATAACATACCGACACATGCTCCACCTCTTGCATCACAAACAGCATTTCGAGGACACTGTCTATCAGATGAACATCCAGTTGCCCCACGACCTAAAATAATTTTCATATTTAATTTTAAAGTTAACCTGAAAAACTACATTAAACAGTAAGTAATTATTGAATTTAATTTTAAAGTGAAACTTCAATTTCCTTAGACCAGCAATAGTTATTATATTTAATCTTAAAATAAAGCTCGAACTAAATCTATTGTTAAAGAAAGAGAGCAAAAGCATATTTTCTGTGTGTTGAAATCAAATGAATGAGACAGTTAATATTAGCTACTATTATGCCAAGATAGGACCATGTCCAATATCGATAATTAAATATTTTAACATATTGACCATACATTTAATCACAAATGAATTTTTAATGGATTAAGATTTAAAAAAATAAAATAAGAACAAGTAAAATACTAAAAATGACATATTGAAAGAATTTTAAAGAAACTTTAACTGAAAATAATGAAGTTAAAAAGACATTTCAGAATACAGAAATAATAAAAGCAATGTAAGAAATAAAAATAAAGAGTTACTTACATCCTCCTTTATAAGCATCTCCTGAAGTTCCAGGAGGACATTCACATTGGTAACCTCCAATGATGTTAATACAAGTTGCACCTACTGAACAAGGGCCATTTGGATCCATAGGTAAATCTGCAGTGCATTCATTAATATCTAATAAAAGGAAAATTAAATTAATTATTTTTCATAGATTCTTGTTTGGTAAATTTACCTCCAATCAAATATAAAATGTATTTTTTATAAAAAAAAAATTTACCTTGACAAGCATTGTTTGGATCTCCAGTACAACCCGGTATGCAAGCACATTTTGGTCCTTTTGGTGAAAGTTCACATGTTGCATATTGTCCACATGAATACCACTCGCATGGATCTGAAAGGTTATTTTGAATTGAAAGAGTTTTAATAAATGGTTTAACTTACAAAGATCAAATATCTAAAAAAAAATTAGAAAATAGGTACATAATATAAAAAAGAAATATTTGCTATTACTTTCTGCATAATTATATCTGACTAATTTCAAATTTTTAATACAACAGAGGTAACTTAAAGGCAAATGAGACAAAATAAAAAGTTATTTAAGTTTTTTTTTTGTTATGGTACAAATTTTGAATCAATTTATGTTATAAAAGTAAAATTGTAATGTTAAAATGAAAATAAAACATACTTTGCGCTACATAAACTACAAATAACAATTTACAAAAATGGACATACTATGGGCACGGTTCCATAAATAAGAACTTTAAAGACAGAGGAACACAAAATAAACAAGACGCAACAAGAAAAAAAAGTAGTTAAACCAATAGGTTTCTCTTTTTCTATTGGTTTAACAACTTTGTCCCTTATAGGTACTTGTTGGTATCCAGTTCTCTTTTGTCATTCTGCGTTTTGACACCTAGGGAGGTTATAGAACCAAAACTATAGTAGGTCTCTGTTCACCCTGCTTAGCTTTATTGTAATGCTTAAGGTGAAACTAAACTTTAAAATAATATTGATTAAACTTTAAAATAATATTGATTTGATAAACTCTATTATTTGTTTAGTACCAAGTATGAAATAAAAAACATAGTAAGACACTTAGATCTGATATTAGTCGCTAAAGTAAATGTAGATAAACCATTAAATATTTTATCATTTTAAGAAATAAATAATATTGAATTCAATAATTTTAACACTGCTTAGAGTAAGCACCACTTTATATTTTAAAAAATTCAAAGACGACTTGTTGTAAATAAATTTTTAAAAAAACATTAATTTTTCAAAGGGATTATTACTTATCTTAAAAGAAAATTAACAAAGAATAAAGTGAAAGCGAATAAAACTTTAAAAATAAATTCAATATTTACGTTTGCATTGTTGTCCTTCAAGTATGTATGGTGCTAAGCATTGGCATTGTCCTTTTACACACTCCATATTTTGTGGGCAGCTATTAGCACCTCTACATTCAATAGCTATAATAAAAATAAATCTATGAATAAAAAAATTCTTCAATGTTTTGACTTAAAAAAGAAAATGGAAAAATTGTGTTATAGAATGCATTAGTTTGTCAACTTTTTTCGAATGATAAATAGTAAAATGGCAAAATAAAATAAAGAGTCAGTAAAACAGTTTTATTCAAAAATGAATTTATGAAAAGCACAGAAACTTCTTACCGATTCTACTACAGGCCTGCCTTGGGTTTCCTGTATAACCTGATAAGCAGAGGCATTGATAAGCTCCAGGCAAATTCACACACTCCGCGTAGGCACCACATAAAGACCAATCTTTAATCTCAGTGCATTCATCAATATCTGTAAAAATGATAATAAATTTAATTCCCCGCAAAAATTAATAATTATTTTAAAAAATTGCATTTAAAAAAGCGTGGCTTCTAGGCTTAGTAATATTTATTTTTAATAATGTGATAGATAAAAATACATCAGTTTGAAAATTCTAAATTTTATAATGAAATCAGTAATAACTGTGCAGTTAGGTAATATAATCTAAATAAAGAGCAGCAGAAATAAAAACGACATTACACACCTCTGCAAAAACCAGTAGCATCCATTGTGTATCCTCTAGGACAAATACAGAATCCATATCCATTTCCTGTGTACACGCATTCTTGATTCTCCGGACATGGACTAGTAGTGGAACAGTTTCGGCTAACCACTAAATGGAAAATATCAGCCTTTACAACATGATTGAATACAATTTGAAGATAAAATAACATGTATTATTCTGATATATATATATAAAAATTTCTCAATTTTGTGTACTATTTGTTAGCAAAAACATTAATTATCAAAAAGAATAAAAAACAGATACATATTTTTTGAATAGTTATGGACAATTTCAGCCTATTTTATTTATGTTTTACTTATTACTGACTGTGATATGTTTCTTTCAATTTATATTATTGAATTTACTTTTAAATTATAAAGCAAACTTTATATTATGCTGAAGAAGATTTTATTGAATATTTTGCAATTGTAAGTTTATTTACTTCTTTTCTAATTAATTCAGCACAATTTCGTACAACCCGAGATTTGAAAAAAAATTAATTTCTTTTATTCATTGAGAAATTGAGTGTGAATGTTATTTGATATTAAATACGTTAAGCAGGAAAAAAAATGAGATAGCGGTAGGAAACTGGATGTATATATATTTTTCTAAAATTTTTTATGCATTGTCACAAAATAATAAATAGTACAAAAAGATTCTATTAATCCTTATTTATTATCTTAAAAAAATGCAGAATATTAAAAAAAAAATTAAACTCCTATTTGCTTTAACTCCCTTAGTTTTCACTAATTTGATACAATAAAAAAATCCTTTATAAGAATCAAAGCAATATTTATAGTATATAACAATAGACAATTATAAATACACTGATTTATCAACTTTATAAAAACAAACATGGAAAAAAACTTACTTATACAATATTCTCCATCTTGCACAAATGGAGCTTTACATCCACAATGGCTTCCCTGGCTTCCATCATCCAAACAAATAGTGTTGCCAGGACATTCATTGTCTCGTTTACATACTAACACTAAAATAAATGGCAAAAAATTAAAATAATAATAATAAAAAAAAGAACAGACCAATTTTGCAACCAATACGTTTGAAAAGATTGTTCAGATTTTAATAAATATATTTTCACAAAACTGATTTTTGAAACTTAAGATTGCAGCTTAGTAACACATACATTCTGGATAACAGGCACTGTATGGATTCCCAATATGACCTGGAGGACAACGACATATGTAGCTGCCTTCCATGTTCAAACAGAAAGCTTGCTGACCACATGGAGATTTATCCCGTACTTCAGCACATTCATTAATATCTGAAATAAATGAATCAAAAAATTGAGATTAAAAACAAAATTTTTATGCATGTTTATTAGACAAACATTTCAATGTAACAATTATTGCACAAAGAATTGTAAAAAAATATTGTTAAATAAGTGAATTTAAAAAAATTATAAGTATAATAGCAGTCACAGATTTTTTTATTGAATTGTAAAATTATATTCATTAATATTTCAAAAAATTTAAAGTTATACATTTAATAACTGATGAATATGCAATTTAGAAAATTTAAACATAGGGCGTGTGGTTACTAAAAAAATTTGTTAATTAATCAATTAATGCTTCCGATTATATCTATCTTACAGATTTAATGAATATTATGTCAGTTTATCTGTTGAACTTAATACACTTTCAACGGGAAAAACCTGATACAACTGAGTTGTTTAGAAATGCTTGAAATTTTCCCCTCATCATTATTATGTAGGTGATATAAGTAAGAAAATATGTTACAATATCATATTATTTACTTTAAATATAAAAAGAGATGGCACAAAATGATTTATTTAGCACTATTTGAAATTAACCAATATTAAAAATATGAAATATACCTCGGCATTTAGCTGTACTTGGATCTCTTGTATAACCTCGTCTACAGACACATTGAGGATTTTTACTACCAACACATTCCTCTTTTGGTGCACATGGTCTTGTTTCAGAGCAGGCAAGATTTGTTTTGCCTAAAAATGTACGTTTATTAGAGAAGGAAAAATTTTTTAATGTGATTTAAATTTGTTATCCAATTGTCTATTAAGGTGTTTTTTTTTTTTAATAAATATTTAAATAGACATATGATGAATAACCATGCATGCACGTAAATTGTTACAATAAATATTTATTGCTGTTATTTTGCAAGAACATTAGAGTAAAAATATACCCACTGTAAGAGTATCTTGCGTTTAAGAAAATATTGTTATTTGCTTAGGCTCAGAAAGTTCCAGCACTAAATAGTTTAAATAATTAAATTCGTGCTAGAGATACAGAAAAATATTGAGTTTTTTTCCTAAATAAAAGAATATTATTACAATAATTTTTTTTAAATAGAAGACAGAGATGGCAAAAGGAAAATAAACTACGTATGTTATACTCAGATTAAAATAAATAAGTGATCAACAAATTTTTTTACATCTTTTTTTGAGAACTTATATAACAATTTTTCTGTCTTTAGAGCAGACATATATACAGGGGTTGATAAAAATAACGGAAACTCCCATAGACTAACTTAATGCAAAAAAATTTTCTCTTAGCAACAAATGTTTTGGAAGATTTTACATGACACAACACACTTTGTAAGGCCATGCTTTAAGTTTTTAGAAATGGTGTCATTTTTACCTATGCAAAGTTTGGATTGACAAAAATGAGCATTAAAAGTTAATAATTGTTTCTAAAAGTCACCATTTCAATTCAACTAAATTAAATTATTCCAAAAGTTTTCACATCCAACTTCCTGTTACTATAACACATTCAATTTTAAGGAAAGGTTTTACATTGTGTGAATTTTCGATTTGAATATAACTCAAAAAGTTGCAATCAGATATTGTTGAGAATTCATAGATTTAATAGTTTATTAGTATAGAGCTTAATTATAATTTTTATAACTCCATGTTTTTTATTGAATTTAAAAATTCAATTTTGTAGTTACGTAATTAGGAAACAAAAAATATCACATAATAATAGATCAAAATCAATCTCGATCTTTCTGAGATATTATAGATAATTTTGCAATAAACTTGCATGCTTCCTACAGAGTTAGCACTAGCAGATAAAAACCAGGGACAGAATGGCATGAAGAGCCCGTTATAAAACAAATGCAATCAATAATGGTATTAGAAAAAATTATGAACCACTTACCACCAATCTCAATACAGCCTCTGTAAGGATCTCCACTGAAACCATGAGGACACACACATTCATATGAGCCAGGGCTGTTTCTACAAACAGCATTTGATCCACAAACACGAGCTCCACTTCCGCACTCATCAATATCTATTCATGCAAAATAATTTATCAGCATTTAGTACACGTTTGAAAGGATTGAGTAATTAAAGTTTCATATTTAATTTTCCACAATTGTATTTTTAAGGATATTTAAGAAAATTTAACTTATAAAATAATATTTTTACCTATACATCCCGGTAAGCTGTTGCTGCGACCTGTGTACCCAGGTGAGCAAACACATACAGGTTCTTTATGCAAATCTAGTTGGCAGGTAGCATGGTCTCCACAGAAAATATCATCACATGGATCTAAAAATTGTTTTAAATTAATATATTTATGAATAAACTATTTGTTATTATGTGAAGATTTCAAAGATTTATAATAGAAATTCAAACAAAAGTGCATTTTTTTTCATGAAAATTTTTTTTAATCCCACAAAAAAAAAAAAAGAAAAACTTACATAATGACTTAATTTATCAAAATTTTTTATTAATTCAAGTAAAAAGAAATAGAAATTTTTAAAGAAACATTAATAAAGAGCTACATGTTGATAGCTGCTACAGTTGGTATATGTATTAACATTATTCATTAGGCAATTACCTTGATACATTACTCTCTCTCTCTCTTTTAACTGAAATAAATGCTTGAAAAACAATTTCCCGATATTTATATACTTTAAAGAGCTGATTTATTTTAAACTCACTAAATTTCACAAAACATGTTCTTTCATTAAAGTTTTCAAATGTTCTCAAATAACGAGTAATTTTAATATTCCTTGACAGTTAAAAAATTAAATTGTGAAAATATTGTCAGGAGTCACTTATATAGATGGCTATACAATCTTTTGTAATGGCTGATTTATGAATTAAAGAAGTTTATGTGTTCCAAATCAATTTTTATAAAATTACAATAACACAAAAACAAGAATTTAAAAAAAACCCTAAAACTTACGTCTACAATCTTCTCCAAAGTATGGGTCCGGGCAATGACATTGACTTCGACTGCAAACAGAATTTCCTCTACACGAGGCATCGTCTCTGCACTGCACAACAGCAGTACCTACAAATAAACAATCAACCCATTAACATAAATGATAATAAACATATTATTTGAGACTCTACAAAAAAGTGAAAAAATTAGAAAAAGCATGTCTAAAGACTCATGTTATATGTTAATTCACTTTTAAATTGTAATCAAGTTAATAAAAGTATTAAGAGGACTCATTACCACAGGGGAAACTTTTCAGTGCAAATTCTGTTTAATTTCTATTCACATGTTAAAATTTAAATTCTTAGAGAAAAATGAATTTAGAAATACTTAAGAGTAGGCCATGAAATTTCAAATGTTGTAAAAAAGCTTTTCAAAATATCACAATGTAAACAAACTATTGGAGAAATTTCCCACAATGTAATTCGAAGTTATCCTGTCACAATTTGCTTACATTTCGATAATTTGAAAAGTTTTTTTCAGAGGCATGTCGAAGTTCACTTTTTTCTAAAAAATGAGTTTTCAAATTACATATGAATGAAAGAGAATTTACCGCGAAGGGTTTCTCCCATGGTATAGCGCCTTCTTCAGTTACTTTATTAAAAACGAAGTCCAAAATTAACATTTTTCTAAAACCTTCAATGATTGTTTTAAAATCAATAAAAATTTGTTAAAGGCAAAATTTGTAACTTAAATTATATTTAAAGTTATAAAAAGGTAAAGGAAAAATTTTCATACTTTCAAGAAATAAAAAAAAGGAGTTCTTGCAATAAAAATTAGCAATTAAAGGAGACACTTTATAAAATTTTATCAAAATATCAGTGCACTATAGAGTAAAATATTTCAGTTGGAGTATCTTACGAAATTAGAACATTTTACATACATCGCACAGATGGATCTCCTGATGTTCCTGGTGGACATCTACATTCAAAACTACCAGGCCTGTTGGTACAAATAGCTGATATTCCACATTTTCCATTTGGCCCAAATGCCTGAGAGCACTCATTGATGTCTGCAAATTTATATATTGAATCAATAACTTTTCAAAACAAATAAAGCTTTCAAAAGCAAAAGAAATAGTTTTTGATCAACATAATAAATATCAAATAATGAAGTAAAACATAATTAACAAAACTCAAATCATAACATAAAAATAAGTAAGCAAAGAAATAAATACTACGTTAGTAAAAAATTTTTAAAAAAAAGTTTAATTAATCAACTTTTAAAAATAAATATGAACCAGAATACTAATAAAAATATTAATAAATGGGATTAAAATAAAAACTGTTCTCTTATATAAATGAAAAGTCATAAATAAATCTTAACTTTCGAAGAGAGAGAAAAGATTTATTCACCTTGGCATTTAACTCTTCCATTGCCTGAAAATCCAGCTGGGCAAGTGCAAGTGAAGCTGCCCAAAGTGTTTGCACAAGTTGCTCCCTCTCCACATTGACCACTCGGTCCAAAACGCCGGTCACATTCATTAATGTCTGAAAAAAATTGATTTTTTTTTTTTACGTTATGAACAAAGAAGTAAAAGTAAAATAGAATGCAAAAAAAAAAATCACTTAATTCTAAGCCGTTAAAATATATTTACCTTCACAGTATCTAAATGGATCTCCTGTAAAACCAGGAGGACAATAACAATGATAACTGCCTGGTACATTTCCACAAATAGCTCCTTGTCCGCATAAACCAGATGGCCCATGAGCATTATCACATTCATTAATATCTAATAAAAATAGAATATTTATAAAAAATTTTAATAAAGAATTTGATTTGATAATAATATAATACGTAGCAAGTGATACCATATATATTATGTTTTAAAATAAAGTTTAAAAATGAACAATTTGAAACATAAATGACACATATGTAATGAAAAAATCAAAGCTATATTTAATGATTATAAGACTTAATTATTTATTAAAGAGCATTCTTAAGTATAACAATCAGATGTTATGTAAACTCCTTAGGTTTGTAAATTTTCAGTCATACTAACATATCCTCTAAAAATTTATTAACTTTTATTTAATGATGAATTAAAATATTACTTATATCTCATACTACATACATACTAACAATACAGAAATTAATAATGGCTTTATATTATTATGTTTATCATACTAAATAAAAGCTTTTTCTTTAATTCTTCAGAAATACTTTTATTTTCTATTAAATTAAGCTCATAAATGCGTAAAAACTCCTGCAAGATTCTCATTAAAAAAGAATAAACTAACAAATAAGTAAAAACATTTTAGCCTTATTGCCAATTTTTTTTAAAATTATTAAACACTATATTCTTATGTTAATCTTTAAAAAAATGCATTATCAATAAAAAAATATATACATATATATATATAATGCTCCCTCCTAAGGTAAGGAAAGTTGAATTATTCAATAATTAGGCTTACATATGTTTTTCAATTAATGCATTATGACTTTACATTTTTTTAATGCTTATTATGTAAGAGATAACAATACTTAATTAATTTTATGTTTAAGAATCTTATAATCTATTACATACCTTGACAACCAGAAGCAATATTCTGAGGATCAAAAGTGTATCCTAAGTTACAAATACAGGCAGCTTCTTTTCCGCTCACTTGGCATGTAGCATGCTCACCGCAATCAACATCAGAACAAGGTGCTAAAAACAAACCAGAATATTAATATATAAATTTAAAAACAAACAAACAATGAAAACTTTTTCCATTTATTAAAATTGTATGAACATCAATAAGTATAAAGAAGAAAATATAGAGTTTTATTACTTTCCAAAAAATAACAGTTAACTGTTATTAATTCAAACTTGAATGCATAGAACTAACAGAAATTCATAGTGTTAAAAAATAACTATTAACAATGTAAATTTGAAATAAATGAAATCAAAATGTTTAGCACAAATTTGAATTTATCATAAAATCTATATTTAATTGAAAAAATTTGTCCTTGTTAATTGACTTACATCTAGTTTGTTTATTTTTGGCCAAAAAGTTTCTAATTGTTTATGGTTTTTGTTTTTAATGTAAATTGAAAGAGTGTAATAAACAGTATTGCATATTCTATAGCCAATTCTTGGGTGTCTCAGGCATTTCATAGGCTTTTAACTTATTGTTTTACTTTATTCCATTTTTAATGTTTTTTCTTTAATGATTTTATGTTACTCATTAATTGTCATTCATCTTTTCTACTGGGGCTTGATTCTATGCTTTCAAGGGGTTTTTTTATCACTATCAACTTTTTAATATTTCTTTTTATCGGTTTTACTTGCATTTTTCCATTACGATGTAATCTCAGTAATTTTAACTCTTTTTGTGTTCGATTTTAATACATTGTGTTTTTATTGTGTTTGATTTTACTACTATGGTCTTTGGTTAAAAAATGTGATTTTACTACTATGGTTAAAAAATGTCTTTTGACTGTCTGTTTGCCCCTTTGGGTGTTTATGTAACTTTTTTTTCTAATTATTGTACAATTTCTGTTTGACGTAAACCCTACACAAATAGGGTGGGTCGTGTCAATATTCAATAGCCAAGTCATCTTACATTTTTATGTTTTCGTCTATTCACCTGAGAATATTCATATTTTTTTTCAGGTTAAGGTTATTTTTTTCTAATTTATGTTTCATGTACATGTTCAATATTCAATACTGTAACTATGCAGTTTTAAATATTCATCTCAGGAACAATAAGCTTATGATTATTTAGAGGTATGTACTTCTCCATTAAAAAAATGGAAGTGTTTTTCAACTTTGGAGGAAGGTGACACGTTGCATCATAATTGCAACTAAATTGTTATGTCCACCATGCAAAACAGTACACTAGACATTGGAAAAATTTTCTAAATTCCATTACACATCAAAATTTGAATAAATAATTGGGATTCATGAAAAATTTCAGGGAAATTTTTGTTCATTCGAATTGGCCAAGTCAAAGTATTCCTAAGAAAAGAGTTTATGGCATTGACATTTCAGTTGGTAATTCAATATATAAAAACTTGCTTGAAACTTACATCTACAAGCTACCTTTGCATCCCCTATTAAATTATCTGGACACACGCACTGATAACTTCCATCACTGTTAATACATTTAGCATTGGTACCACAAGGGAATCGTCCAAACAGACATTCATTTATATCTGAAAAAACATACAAATAAGTAGCAGTTAAAAATCAAAGCTTACTAATTTTTGTTTCAAATAAGTCATTCCTATAAAAATAAATGATTCCTAAAGATGAACATACCTCTACAGTGACTTTCTGAGGCAGATGATATTTTTTCATATCCTTGCCTACATTCACATTTATAGTTGCCAATGATATTCTTACAAACAGCATTACGGCCACAAATATTTGGTGTTCGGCATTCATCAATATCTGAAAGCAAAAATTAAAGCATTTAAAATTTTTTCCATACCTGAGATTTTTTATAGACTGCTTACAAAATAGATAAAATTTTATGAATTAAAATGCTGTCCTTAAGTTAAAAAAAGTAAAATTAATGTTTAAGAATTCAATGTGTTTTTATTAAAGGTGATTACTAATATTACATAAATATTAATGTTTCAATCAACTTTAAAAACATTTTTAAAATTATATTTTATGAATTTTTAAGGGAGGACTGCTGAACCAAATTAATCAAGTGGCAGAAAATATTATAATTAATGTATTACATAACAATGGCATTTTGCTTGCTAAAAAAAGTATGGTAACACTATAGTTAAAGTATAGTGGGCAATAAAATTAATTTAAAAAAATTTGAAGAGAGGGAGAGTATGATATGTCAAAAAATGCAAATAATAGTAATCATAAAAAAAAAATATTTATCTTATAATAGAAAGATTGGATTCAAAACATAAAGCTCATCATTTATAACAAAAAAAGATTTAAGCATGTTCACTTTGTATAGTATTTAATATATATATATTCAATAAATAAAAAATACCCACCAACACATTCACTTCCTGAGACTTGAAAGCCAGATTTACATTGGCATCTATTACGAAGACATTGGGCATTATCTGTGCAGTCATAATTTCCTTGACAATGGACATCAACTTTAACTGTAATGAAAAAATGTGATTAAAAATAATGACATTACATAATACTACATTACATACATTTACATAATAAATCATCACTGGTACCAGAGCACCAGTCCAGGAGGTGCACTCAACATTCGGTGCAACCGCAAGGACCAGACTGCACTTACCAGGCTTATCAGCGGCCACCTTAAGTCCCTTTCTTTTGAGGGTAGTATTAAAATCTACCCTAACTGCCCCAGGTGCCACAACATGCAGGCTTCCCCCCAACATATACTGGACTGTCTAGGTCTGGACAAAAGGGACATTCTTAATAACACACTTATGGTGGCCGACTTCCACCGGGTGATGAATTTCATGGACATAGTTTAGCCCTGCTAATTTTGGGGATAAGGAAGAGAAGAGAAAGAGAGACATAATAAATAAATCTTACTTAATTTCCTTTATGTTTAATGTGGTTACAAAAACTAAATTTTTTTCATTAAAAAAATAAAAAGTTCACTTGTAAATTTTATAGCTGTAATTGCTACAATTTGACCACAAACTGGCAGACATAGAGAAAGATGAATTTTTAATTTCACTATAGAGATGAGTAAGTTTAAATTATTTGATTAGTATTATTTTATTAATTTCAATTTCAATCTATCATCTGAAACTGATGTTTTTCTATATTTAAAAGAGTTATAGTACCTCTTGAGCATCCTTCTCTTGCATTTCCATCATAGCCTTCAAAACATTTACATTCAAAGTTGCCTGGAAGATTTCTACATATGGCATTGTCTGCACATGGGTTTTGTAAGCATTCATCAATATCTATAAAAAATTATATCATTTGTAGAAAAAATAATGAACACATTTGAAAAAATATAACTGAAAAAACAAAGATATGTATGAAGAAAGTAAAGATATGTAGTAGTAAGAAGCAGAATAAAACCTGTTTATTTTCCCTTATTTTGAGATAAAAAATAATAATATGAAATCATTTATAACCAAATTTGATAATTTCTAGAATTTACTTAATCTAAAGCTTTACTTTTAAATGAAAATGGTAGTTGTATTCTAAACATACTAACAAGATGAAAAATGTAACTCAAAACAACACTTTCATTCTTTATCACATTTAATTTTTACATATCTTCCTAGAAAACTCTTTTTTTAAAAAAAATGATGAGTTCTCTTTAAGATCTGTAAATATTAAGGAATAAGATTTGAAATATTAAAACATTAGGCACATATATAAATGCAATAAATAATTTATAGTGTTTTAATATTGATTACATTAGTGTATTTGCCTAAAATATTAAAAAAAAATATCATAAAATTTCAGCACATTAAATGCCAAAATATGATAAATTATAATTAAAATTCTATTAAAAAATTAAAAATTGTAAAAGTAATTTAGAAATTTAATAATAAGTTGTATTTCTTACAGAGCTTCAGTTGAATACCTTAATAGTACAAATTTCTTGAAATGTAAACACTTAAAATTGTAACTTTCATAATTTTAATTTAGAGATATTAAGTGATTTTTAATGATTTAAAATGTTCTTTTAAGATACCTGAACATCCTTGAATTGGATTTCCAGTATATCCTTCAAGGCAGCTACATGTATAAGAACCAATATTATTGAAACATTGAGCATTTCTGCCGCAAGCACCTGGTCGCAGACATTCATCTTCATCTATATAAAAAAAAATATCATATTTACTCATTTTTTGCTTAAAATTAACAATAAAACATTGAAGAATTCAAATATTTTTAATATAATGAATACAAACCATGGCATCCAGCTGATAGATACGGATCCCCAGTATGACCCACTTTACATCGGCATGTATAACTTCCGGGCGTGTTGGTACATTCTGCATTGACACTGCATGCATGAGGGCATTCATTAATATCTGAGAAAAAAACAAATTATTAGAATATTTCATACATATTAAAATAAAACATTCATATCATACATTCAAGCAAATTTACTATTCATATACTTCAAACAGTTTATAAAACATTGTTCAATATAAAAACGAAAGCAATCTAAAGTACTGTAACATTATAAATAAATTGATTTAGAATGGAATAACTTAAATTGCAGACATAGAACTGCGAAAACAAAAGCTTAAAGAGATGCATGAATTAGATTTATTTATTTTTAAAATGAGTAACACATTTTTGAAGAGCTTACCTTTATTTCATAAAAGAATACTTAATAGAAAAAAGCTTCAAAAATATTTTGACTAATATGAAGTTAAAATTTCATCGTTAATTTAACAATCAATAGGAAACAAATTTGTATTGAAATTTGAATTTCCCTGTTTATTTAGATTATTGGCTATGCAATTAATTCTAAAGTTTTATGCTAAAGTAAAGTTTGCTTATAGCTTACTAAACAAAATTAAATTCACGATATTGGTACATTTCTACTAGCACAATGAAAGAGTGATCTGCATCTGCGTACATGGGAAGTTGTTTATTATTAATAAAATTGAGCATTCTCACTGCATGTGATTCGAATGTGCAATCGTGCCTTAATATAATATACGCATGCGCCAGCAGTTCATCGTACATGTAGTTTCTAAACGTTCACAAGCGCGTCAGGCGCAAGGGTTTGCAGCGTGAACGGTCCTTAAGCAGTTTTCATCCAGTCAAATTTTAATAATTTTGATTTTATTGCGGTATGATAAAGTGGCTCCTTCCACAATCCAAAGCAAATATTGAATGTATTTAAAAGTTTAGTTTCATGACCATTTGTAGTTTTACTTTAAAAATCTCTCAGTTAGGTATTGAAATTAAGATTAAGTTAAGTATTAAATTCCAAGTTCGATAATCCCCTCCGCAGAGGATCAAAATTGTGATGGCATGTCTTCGGATCATCCTCTGGGATGTTTCCCAGACCGTCGCCAATAGCCCATTGTGCAGCTCTAGTGCGACGTAAATTAACAACAACCAACCAACCAACCAAGTTCGATAAATAACAGGAATTTGCTTGAAATAAATTTACATAAGCAGAACACAAAAATATCCCACGGTCAGTTTACAACACATTTTTCTTTTAAATAATGAAGTATTTTTCCAGATTTGTAGTGATTCAGAGACTAGCATAAGAAACAAAGCAATCGATTTATATTCTCCTATTAATAATTAACAAATAATTTAATATATTTTTAGATTATTTCACTGATAAAAGGAGCAGTTTAAAGATATTACTTACCAACACAACCTGCTGTTGGGTTGCCTGTATAACCTTCAGGACATTGGCAATAATATCCTCCAACGGTATTGACACACTGCGCACCTTTCCCACATGGTGGTTTAGGACCCCAGCATTCATCCACGTCAACACATCCAGCTTCAGGTGTAGGATTACCTTGATATCCTCTAGGGCAACTGCAAGTAAATCCCCCTTTTGTGTTTGTGCACTGAGCTCCAGATCCACAAGGGTTTCGTCGACATTCATCCAAATCTGTGAAGAAATTACAAGACTTTTAATTTTCTGAGGAATTAAAACGCATAATTTTGTTTTTGAAACTACAATTTAATAAATTTTATAAATAAACTAATTAGTTTTGTTGTTGTTGTTGTTCTTATTGAGCATTTAGTTTTTCTCGTAAGAGACCCTTACTATTGCTGAAACAAAATCATATACGACTATATTGCACGGTTAGGATAGTAAAATTGTTTAAAAAATCTAGCAATTGCAACGTGGCCACTAAACCACAATTAAATGTACCACAATTAAATAAACCACAATTAAATGTGACACTAAACCACAATTAAATGTTTTTTTTTCAATGAAGAAGATACTTTTTTCATCCCTTTAAAAGAAATTCCAGTAATATTTTGCTTTTAGCATTTAAAACAATTACATTATAGATCATATTTAATAAGTAATTCAGTTTCTAAAATACAAGTGTCATTGTTGTACTTACCGTAACATTCTCTAAAAGGATCACCGTCATATCCTAGCGGGCAATAACATTTATAACTTCCAGGTATGTTTTCGCAGTGAGCTCCTTGACCACAAGCATGGGGATCCAAACATTCATCGATATCTTTGAAGAATAACATTAATTATTGTTATTGATCATTAAGGAATCGTAATTCTACATGAAATAAAATTTTATATACAGTTGTAATTCTATATATAAGTGTACAGTATAATTCTAAAATAAAAATTCGACCTCTTATGTATTTAATTTGTTTCTGAATGCAATTTATAAATCTGGGATAATGAAAGTATTTAATAATTCCTCAAAAAATTCCTTGTTGTATGCTAAAGTTTAAAATTACTAACCACTGGTAAATGTAATGGGAAAAAGTGAAGTTTTTTTTATTTGTTTTGAAATAAAATTTCTATAAGTATGAAATATTATTCGAATGTTAAAATAATTTATTTGCCGATTTCTTGTAATCGTATCTGTCGTAAATTTTGAAACTAATAGCCACTTTAATTTTTGACGTTTAATTAATTTTAAGTACAGATTTCAAGAAGTCATGCATTGCATTCACATAAATTAAATATTTTTAATAATAAGTAAAGGAATTAAAATTTTTTTTTTTTACTTATGTATATCAACTGTGTTTAATTTCGCTCCAGTGAATAAAACTAGTGACTAACCTTTAAATTCTTGAACATTAATCATCTTCCCGCAGTTCAAGCTTCTAGTAAAAAACTTTTTTTTTTTATATAATCATAATATTTCTCTGTTCTTCACGTCATTGTTTACTCTTAACTTCTAATTTATTCGTGGAAGAACAACTATATTCGTAGAGTTCGTTTTATATAAGAAATATTTACCTGTGCATGAGACTGTAGCGTTTCCTGTATATCCAGGTCCACACTTGCACACATAATGTCCGGGTAAATTGCAACACTCGGCATTTTCAACACAAATTGCAGCCAATGATGGAATTTCACATTCGTTGATATCTGTGGAACGAAATATTATTAAAATATTGTAAATGCACTGAAATATTTACTTCATACTACGACAAACTTGCTTTACTATCTTGCATTTTATTTTTTGATGGCTATAAATAAATAAAACCCAACTCTCTTCATATATACAAAAAACAAATATTTCTTTCCATTATAATTAGCAATAATTTTATTTATAATAACTTAGCTATAACTTTTAATAACTGCAGCATATTTAACTGCATTATTTATTTAAATGTCCAAAAAAATAATGTCTTGTTACAAGTGAATGTAGCCTTTTTTTCAGGTTTGCATGCTTGTAATAAAAATGGTGTTTGTGGAAAAAAAGGCTGCTCTGTAAGCATTGATTTTGCCACATATTTTCAGAAATCTTGTTGAAAAGAAGTTATTATTGTCTATTGTTAATATTGTCTAATAACTCTTTTTTATACGGTAAAATATTTGGTGGACTGGTAGAACGTTTATAACTTCGTTTTTATAAGGAAAGTTTGGATACTAAAAATTATGCTAATGATGGTCACTAGAAAGTAATGTACTGTGCTAATGAGGGGCCATTCAAATATTACGTAAGCATGTTTTTGATATTTTTTGATTTTTCTCCCCACCTTCCTTAGCAAAAATAAGCAGATAATAAAACCCCTCCCATGCTTACGCAAGAAAATCGTTGTACCTTTATGTTTTTTGCTTTAAATTTGATTTTTACTGTGGTGATATAATTTAAAAAATTTTAAGAATAAATACATATAAACGATGTAACTTCGTATAAAACGAAATTTAAGTTTTAAAATTTATTTTATTAAATTTTGTAACTTCTTGAAGAATTTATTTTCCAATTCTTTCGATCCCCAAATTTATTTTAAGTTTTTTTAAATTTGAAATTTTTAGTAGCATAATTTTTGTTTCAAATTTTTGTGTTATACTTTTGACATTAAAAAAAATTAAATAAAATAAATTTTGATGTCTTTCGTAAGCACTGTTCATACTTCCCTTCCCCCCGTCAGAAAGTAAGCAAATCACATTTCCCATTACTCTTTATGCTCTTACGTAATATTTGGACGGCCTCAAGTAAAGCTTCATTCTTTATCCTAATAATGTATATTAACGTTGATGAATAGAGAACACTGAGAATATAACAAATCTACGGTTTAATTAACCCTTAACAGCTATCTACAGGTCAAAATAACCTGGGTACACGATTAGGTGGAAAGTTATTAGGGATTACAACGAAATAAAAATTTTGCTTACAAATGCTAACTTTAAAATCGAGAAATAAGATTTAGCTAGAACGTAAAAAATAATTAACAAGTTATTCATGGTAATAAATCCGCATCATTATTTAGTTCAAGTTGGCAACAGACCCAATGCAGATCAAAATGAAGAGTCCCTCAGGTGAAACATTAAGAGAGGTTGTTAGAACTGATGTAAAAGCTGCAAGCAACGGAACATTAAATATTCTGCAGCAGGCACTTTCACCAATTTTCCTGAGGAAGATATGATATGGAAAACAGATTTAAACATCCCTTGGGGAGTAACAGCATGCCAAAAAAGGAATCTAAACTTCAAGTCGTGCTGTTTTTAACTGGTTCTTTGATAGCGAAACCGGATTATTTGACATTACGATCCTGGGTCCCTTTTTCTTTTGGTATGCATGCATCATCATCACGGTACCCTTTCTCTTGTTTATAAAGATCCACATTTTCGAACCATTAAAGAGAAGACGGGAATCTAAATGAACTGGTGTCTCTCGCGAAAGTAGTTTCAAAGCGACCTTCAAGCAAAACGTGTCAAGTGTTACATTTCTGATAACGAGAAATTTGGAAATAGCGCATCAGGTTGATTTTTTGAAGGGCGATATAAATATAACAAAAATCAAAATTTTCAATGTTTTAAAATGCTTAAATTTTTTTTGTCTGAAGCATATATGAAATTCTCAATAAGTAGTTAAAAATTATTTTTTCCCCTTTCATATTCAAAAATTTGTCAATAATTGGTTTTTCAAAAGTAAGTAAATTTCAATGTTATATAACCGCTTCTCTTATGTCTAAATAACTGAAATAAGTGCAAATGTGAGAAAACTATATTTTGGTAGATTTTACTTTTTACCCAAAAAAAGACACCGGTGTTTCATATTGCATTTTATAATTAAAATGTTAAGCATAATATTTTTTTCTTATTTTGACCTAAATCAATACAAAGTAATGAAAAGTATGAGTAATATATTTAATAAAAATTCTTCGTCAAAGGGTTAAAGAAGAACTTTCATTCAATTCATGATTTAGTAAAATATAAAAGATAGTTTTTTTTCCTTGGAAGAAATAAGTGTATATTATAATCCTTTTTATCCATTCTCCAAGTTTTTTAAGATTTGAAAAAGGCAAAGTACACGTAAAATTTTTTAAAATTTTTACGTATTAATTAATTACATAAATTAAATTTTTACGTGCTATTAAATTTTCCATGAATTTTTAAAGCTGATATTAGTCGAATCAGAAACACATTCAATAAACGTCTGAGTCACACTCAGAGTACGGACAAAATAAAATGCTAGAGTGATAGGTAATTATTTGTAAAATAAATGTAAAAACAAATTTTTGAAATATCTCAATGAATGCTGATATCAACCAAATCAGAAATACATTAACACATTCATTAAACAGTTGAATTCAAATCAGAATATGGACAGAATTAAGTAACAAGTTTTTTGTTAAACTAATATGCTAAATACCAACTGTCAAAATTATCTAAAATAAGAAAATAACAATTTAAAAAAAGAAATCCATTTATTCCATGATCCAAAAATCAGATTGGAATAAGAAATCGGTCAGTTTATTGAAGAAAAATATCACACATATTTTTTTCTTAAACTCTTAATTAAGAAGGTAGCAGCTACACCTTGAATAAGCAAAGGCGACAAGGGAGAAAAAAAAGAAAGAAGAGATATTATTTCTTTTCTAGTTAAAATAAACTCTTGAAGAAAAGTCATTGCAACAATCGCAATAATAATTCCCTCGAAGATACAAGAATACCTACACACTATTATTTCATTCCCCAACCAATTTACTTGCATGTAGACCAAGGTCCTGCATTTTCAAAGAGGTCATGCACACACAAACTCTTTTTCTACCTGTGCAAGGGTACTTGTTTACCTCAAAAGGTGTGAATGTGGCGAAGAGGCCAGAGCGGGCCAATTTGAAGCAACAAAAGATCTATTCACGTAAAAAGCGCATTTGTTTCGCTATTTGGAGAGATGTATATGAATGAGGAAGAGCATGGCAAGGAAGTTTGAGGCTATTTTAATTTTTATAGCTTGAAGTTCAGTGGTTCTTGACCAGTTTTCCGTTGAACCACGCTCTGGCGCTCCGTGGAATTAATAATTATTTCGAAATCATATCAGCAAAAAATAAATAAATAAATAAAATGAAAATATGGCTTACATAATCATCCTGTACAAATATTTTAAAGGAATATTTAGGGTTGTGGACAGAGAGCTTTTATTAATCTCTAGTACCCGACCTTCAACCTCGCTTGAACAAAGTATATATAATTAATGATTAGTTGTAAGTTAGCAAAGAAAGTACCACGCCACAAATGTTTTTTTTTCTTCTTCTTTCCACGAGACTCGTCTTCTTTTTTTTTCTGACTAAACATTTTTTTTTGTAAAGTCTTTCAAATGAAAATAATAAGAAAAAAAAATTTAAAAAAAAAAGACGAAGATTAAAAAATTGAGAATTAGAAGAGAAGGCATTTTCGTAACGTAAATGTTTTTAAATGCAAAAATATTGCATATTTGTTCTTTTTTTTTCTTTTTTTTTATCACTCTCACTCTTTACTTTAAAAAACTGAAAAATATTTTTATGATAATTTGTATAATCGATAAGTTAGTACATCTTAGAGAATTACATTTCGATTGACGTTGAAGAGCTTAGTACTCGAATTTGATTGAACTTTTTGGATTATTGATTTGGTTAGTTTTTATCCATTTTTTAGAATAAATCTAAGCACAGTTAGCAACCTTTCATAAATACAAAAGAGCACAGTTCATAGATGCAAAAGTATTGTATATTTGACTTTTTTTTCTTCGCTTTTATCACACTTTCTTTTCAATTCTTTTCTTAAAAAGGAAAAAAAAATGATTATTATGATAATTTTTATACTTGAAATAGTTAGTACATCTAAGAATTTTATTTTTATCGAGATTGAGTGAACTCAAATTTAAATGAACGTTTTTGGATCACTAAATTGGGTAGTTTTTATCCATTTTTTCAGAACTAAGTTAGGTACAGTTAGCAAACAATAATTTTTTAAAACGCAAACAGCATATTAAACTTACCATGGCATTCGAATCCATCTCCTTCATATCCAGGAAAACAAGAACAATAAAAGCTTCCCATCGTATTCGTACAGTGTGAAAACACATCGCAAGGTCGGTATTTACATTCGTTTTCATCTGAAACAAAATAATTATTTCATTTTATTACAATCCCGACAAAAGTAAATTGTAAAATATTTAAGCTTTAAACGAAATAATTTAATTTAGCGACAATCCTAATTTAGTAATTGTAAGTATGAAATTTTGTGTGAATAGAAAATAATATAATTTGATGGTGTATGAATACAAGGGTATAGTTTCACTTTTTTTTATTTAGTATTGGCGGTCAATTTTCTAAAAATGAATTATTAGTTCACAGGAATTGATTTTCGACATAAATTGGATTCAGTGCCTTAACTACTGAGTCAATTTGAATTTCTCAAATAATTAATGCAAAAATATTAGGGTTAATGGTAAATAAATGGAATAAGATTCATTAGTTAAAGGTATATTTGTTGATAATTCATAAAATGATATATTTTCAGATATATTTGTTATTTTTCTCCAAAATTGCAGATCCCTGTAATGTTCTGAAGCAACAAATAATTCCACATGAAAGGTTAAAAAAGTTTTAATGTCTATTGATCTTGTATCTTCAGAACATAGAAAGTTATTTTACTATTAATTTAGGGCATTGAGAAAATGGAAAAAAGGCAAAAATGAAACAATTTCAATTATTGTGCTAAATTTCAATTACTGTAAATACTGTACGCAATTACAATTAATATTTACAAACTAATTGTAACTGCGAACAGTTTTGATGCAATGGCATGCCTATAAAATTTTGCACTGGGAATTAATAATTACAAAAAAAAAAAAAAAAAAAAAAAAAAAAAAAAAAAAAAAAAAAAAAACAATTATAATTTACTGTTATGCATTTCAGACGAATTTTCCTCCTTTAATAATTTAATGATTAAGAAAAAGTTCAATTTTTTATTTCTTAATTACAAAAGAGTTTTAAGATTAAAAATATTAAAATGTTTAAAACAATTAATTTTAATTATTAATATGCATTTTAAATCTATATTATCATAGTGATTAGAATTAACTAATGAAATTAATTCGAAAGATTAACAATTTAAAAATATGCTTTTATTAGGCGTAAGAAAAATGGTAGAAGAAGTTAAACTTACCTGGCATTTCACAGCCTTTTCCTCCAAAGCCATCGTTACAGTAACAGAGATTGTCCAGACAAACTCCATTAATACAACGAGGCATTTTCGGATGACAAAAATCTGAAAGGAAATTTTAAAGGTAAAAATTTGTTTTGAATTATAAAGATCAAAAAATCTTGTTAAAAATTTGTATTCAAAGGTGAAACAGAAAATAGCATATTTTACATTTATTTCTTTAAATGTTAAAAATTCAAGTAGGAATATGATTGAATTGAGTACTTAGATATTCAAAATTTTTTGAAGACGAAAATTGCCACCGAAGCATTAGGCCTAGCTCTGCATATCACTTAATGGAATTGAAAATTATGAGTAAAATAAAAGGAATTTTATAGAATAATCTTTTAACGAACTCAAAACGATCTACGAAACGATCTAAGGAAACATAAGTGAAAAGGGAGCACACTTACCCCTGTACCATTCTATTTAATGGTACAAACGGGCTTAAAGCAGGTAAAAAAGATTGGATTGTACCGAAACGGTTTTGTCAAATATTTGAGATTTTCCGTTTTGTCAAATATTACGTGACTTTAGACACAAATAATTTTCAAAAATGGAATAAATTTCTGAAAGTGCATTAGCATGACAGTACCTTTTGAAGACATTGAGAGTTTATTTTTTTTATTAAATAAATTTAAAAATCTTTTTTCAAAATTTTATTTATTTATATCTTTTTACTCTAAAAAATGCAGAGCATTACTAAACTTAACGCGAAACGAGTTCTTTCAATAAAAAAAAAAAATTCTTTTGTATTTTATTTCATAAATAAAAAATAATTAGATATATTAAAATAAGCTTACACATATTTAATCACTGCATTTCTTTTAAAAAGAAATATTTTACTAAGCACAGCAATATTTTCAACCCCCAGAAAAACTTCCTCTCTATAACACTTAGGCTGTTTTTCAAAAATTTCACACGCTTCATCAAATTACGGCATAAAAGATTGATAGCCGACTCTACTGGCTGCGAAAAAAAAAAGAGTCATAATGTGCGAAAAGAAAATATATCTCTATTGTCCTTAAGATATCAAGCAATGAGAGAGTGAATTACAGGTTTAAGAAGGTAAGGCAAAGGAAGTATTGAAAAAAAAAAAATAGTTTTCCAGCTTCTGGGTTTACGCTCCGTTATCTTTAAATTCTTAAAAAAAAATTTTAACGAGGAAGAGATATACCAAAATGGCCACCCACATAGTAGTTTAAATAAGAAATGAAAAAAGACAGTAATTGCCTGTTCTTTTGTAACAAATGCACTTGATAAAAACGATGAGTAAAGGCATTACCGCTATGTATTGTCTATATGAAGACATCATTTTCCCTAGCCAGTCGTCGGATTTTTTTTTAAATTGTTATTTTTTTTTAGAATAATTTTACTCCTTAGAACATTTTTTTTACTGTTTGGGAAAGGATTAAGCGCCAATCTGGCGACGTACTTTTTCAAGAGCATTCCTTCCTCTACAATGATCATGCAACGGTGGGTTCTGAACCACATAATTAAATAACACCACGAAATCGGGGAAGAAAAAAATAACATCTGAAGAGGTATATTGTTTTTCTTAGTTTTCCCTTTCATCTACTGGCACTATTCTATTCCACTTACAACACGTTCTGGACCTTAATGACGAGTTGGTCGCGAAAGGGCGTAGTGATTATGATTTAAAAAAAAAGAATATCACGATTTCAAGTGGGGATACCCCATATGTAACTTCAACTCCATCAATAAATGTTGGACGAGGGAGTTGTTATCGCAGAGATCACTGTATTTCGAGCCTTTGTTGGGGGAAAACAATCATCATGTACAAACGCTTTTAATGAGCACTTAGCAGCATTGAAGGTGGTGGTCAGGCATCGCCACAAAAGCTTTTATTGATCTTTTACACCCGACCTTCAACTTTGTTCAAACCAAGTATACATTACTAATGAATAGTTTTAAGGTTTAACTTGAGTTACATTCAGCAAAGGAAGTATCAAGCCGCAAACGATATTTGTTCTTGCCATTCTTTTTTACGTGACTCGTCTCTTCGTTCTCTCTTGTCACTTTTTTTTTTAGAAATTCTTTCAACGAATAGTAAGAAGAAGAAAAAGAAGATGATGACGAAGATGTAGAAGAAGATGAAGAAAAAGAAGAAGAAGAAGTAGACGATGATGAAGAGGTAGAAGAAGAGGAAGAAGTGAAGGAGGAGAAGAAGTAGAAGCAATAGAAGAAATAGTGGAAGAAGCAGAAATAGAAGAAGGAGAAAAGTAATAATTGAATAGTAAAAATAATAAAAATAAGAGTAAGAAAATAAGAATGTAGGAAAATAAGAAGAGAACACATATCTAATTGTTTAAAGATATCAGAGATAAATGTATCTACAGTATCAGATGTATTACATATTTATTATATTTTTTCTCTCAACACGTTTTTTTATTAGTCTTCCAAGAAAGAATGAGAAAAATATGAAGTACAATAAGAAGAATAAAAAATGAAAATAAAATAAAAACAAGAAAAAATGAAATTTGTTATGGAAATTGTTTTTATACACCGGAGATTAGTTACATATGCAAATATATTTATTCCTTCTTCATTCTTTTACTACGATCAGTCACCTTTTTTTTTGTCTTGTCGCTTCTTTTAAAGACTATCAAAGAATAACAAAGAAAATAAGAATAATGACCAGAAATACCAGAGTAATAAGGCATACTAGAATAATATAAATGTTTTCGGATATGGAAGACACACTCAGAATTTTTCTGCAAATGGGTTTGTTTATTGAGAAAAGTTTTCAACGAAAAAAAGGTGAACATTAGGTCTGGAGATCCTTGTTTGTTGATTGAATTAGATTTAAAAACACAGAGATCTGGATACGGTTCTACTACTTTCGGAAATAAAAGTCAAAGGATCTACAAACCAAACTGAGAAAGTTGAAGGGACAAAAAAAAAATCAGAATACCGCCCACAAAATTTTAGATCACTTATTTATGTAAAGAAGGCAAATCCGTTTCGCTTCTCGGTTGCATGACTACATCCATGACCGTGCCAGGGACTCCCTTTTTGAGGGGGAGGGAATGAAATTACAGTCTCAATAGTTTATAAATTTCTCACTAAGGAAAATATTTTTTTAAATCTGCTTAATATCTGGAAAAAGGCTTTTTTTTGCCTTCAATATTTTGATGAATTTAAATAAACGAAGATTCATGAAAATTTTCTGTATCTGTCTGAAATATTGAGGAGGAATTTCAGAGATTTCTAATTATTGAGGGGGGCATGTGCTCCACGCCAACAACACTCATGGCGACATCAAGACTACAAACTATAAATACATTTAAAAATGTTAAAAAAAACTATTTTAATGCCAGATTTATTTCTTTATAAGATTTGCCTTTTTAATATTAACACTTAGTTTTTGTTTTATTACGCATTCACCGAAAGTATCCCGAAGCTTTACAATTACCATAGAAAACGGTCATTATACCGGTTCATGGTTTCAGCCTTATGTTTTCATTTTAAAATGTCCTTGAGAATGGTATTTCGAAAATAAAACAGACATCAAAGATCGATATCTTGTAACACCACCCATTAAAATGCTGTTGGAAGAAACAGGAAGTCTTATGCCTAAACGTGAAGGGTAAATTGAGCGCAATTAGCGAATGCTAATAATATCAATTCACATTATTCCGTTTCGCAAAACAATGCGTACGAATGACGGGCAATGATCTCTTTTAAGCGTACTGATTCAAAAAGAACTTCTGCTTTATCATCTCAAAGTGACAAAGAGGCGAGGCTCCTATCAGTTGATGCGATCGAACAACGGAACAGATGGCTGTAAACAATAAAGAACTTACTTCGATCTGTGCATTTGAGTTCGTTGGCTACCTCGTCTGAGCCGAGGAAGCACTGTGGGACTCCATCGCAGATCTTCGAGAGTTCGAACAATTGCAAAATGTCGACCGATTCGTTAACTTGGCAACCGAAGAATCCATCCTCCAAATTGAGGACGAAGATTTCTCTTTGTACGTAAGGACTAGGCCAGTTCGGTCTGTATTGAGCGTGTATCTGCAAAAGGAAAGAAAACGATTTCAGTGTTGGAGATTTGACAAGAACATTCAATATTTACAACAAACTTGTTACATAATTTTGGAATAATTGACATCGTACATAAGAAAATAGAAATGCATAATTAGAGATTAATATTTACTTAGTTAAAATGTGAATACTCTTCAAGGATTCGATAAAAAATTAAATTGAGTATAATTTGAAGTCGAACATTTAAACTATCGATTCCACAACTCTGATTTTTACTAAACTTTTAAATTATGTATAGGTTTCTCTGCTACTGTTCTGCATTTAATGCATTTATTTTTATCCGTTTTTAGTATCACTTGTTGGCATCAGAATGGGGATCCACTCAAATGAATGGGGATCCACGCATCGTCACCTCTCTAATGTTTCCTTCCACACTTTCTTTTTCATTCGGATTTTCCCGAAAGAAATTTAATGATAACGATTTAAAAAAAAGTACTTTGATACGCCAAAAATTGTGCACCAAATTTTTTTTATTACTTTTTGTTATTTTAGTTTTAATTGTTTTTATGTCTAATTTGATTTTATCGTATATATTTTTGTATGAGATGTTATAGTTTATTGTACTAAGAAATAAAAAAAAAGGCCTTTAAATGCTTCAAACGATTCAGGGGGAAAACGTAGACCAGTGATTTCCAATTTTTTTTTCTTCCCCGGCTGTGGAACTTTAAATAATAGACTTTCTTTTTGCTGAACCCCGAGACTTAATGAATAAATTTCATTTGTAATTGTGAGCATCTAAATTAACGTATGACTATTACTTTGAAAATATTTAATGATTTGAATTTTATTAATAATTCTGATAATATTTAGTATGTAAATGAAAAAAATTTTTTTTTCATCATATCGTTTTATCAATAGTCTTTAAATTGGGTTTTATATCCGATAGTTGAATTCACAGGCTTAGAGCGGTGTCTAGTCTTGTCCTCATTTTAATTTCAATTCATACATGAACTGAAAATAAAGAGTTAAAATATGGTTTCCATAAAAAAAAAGAAAAAAAAACTTTGAGAATGGCAATCAGAGACACATACTTCTTCATTGTTGAAAAATTCATTTGTTCATTTTGCTGTTGTTGTTGTTTTGTTGTTCAAAACAATGTTTATTTAAATAAACATTGTTTTGAAATTTCTTTCTTCACAAGCATTTCAATTAAATAATTACATAAAAAATAATGGAAATTTTAAATAACAAATGGATAATTAATTGAATATAAATTCAGTTGCAGATTTCGACAAATCATAATTGGTTAAGAAAATTTCCTAACTCTCAGAACCCCTGTGACCCTCTCACGGAACCCTAGGGTTTCGTGAAACACCATTTAAGAACCACTGACGTAGGCTATACCACTATCTCGTATCTCAATAGACGGCGCAGGTAACAAAAATATAAGAAAGTGGGAAAGATTGTTTTTAAAAACCAATAACATACCGTCCCTGAATCCACGTCAAGCTTACACCATTTTTTCTGGGAAAATTTTGAATCCTACTCTTAAGAACACTGTTCTGAGTTGTATTTATAATTTTCATGTCATAAGTTCTGGCTTCAGTAAATATTCACCCATATATTTCCTATTGATTGAAATTTTCTGATAACATGACAATACTGTTTTGAGTTGGATTGTTAACTTATAACTTAGTTTATTTATAAACTTTTACTTACGTTTAATAAAATTTCATCCTAAAACTATGCATTTTATATTTTAATCACCAAAGTTGCTCATGAATATTTTTCAAAATTTTTTAAACGGTTCCTTTATGTTTGTTTTATTTTATTGATTACATTTCCATTAAAATTTTTTCCACGTTCTTAAATTCATTGTTGTTTTCTATCCTAGGGTAATAAAGGCCTCCAAACTCTTGCCACGGAACTAGGGATAGAAATACAGCAGACATAGTCGCAGCAGTATAGTCTATGGCAATCAATATATGTTACTATACTTTTCCCTTTGAACTTGTTAATCATTAAAATTAATCATCTTAAATTGCAATAAATTGTAAATTGCATACAGATAAATCACTAAAAATGAAAAAAAGAAATTACTTTTATGTTTTTAGAAATAAATATTTTGAACAATACACTTATTTTAGACTTTTGTAACCGCTTTTCTAAGTAGCACAAACCAAACCTTGAGTTCTGACTGTTGGCTTAAGGTACCTATTATTTAGAGGTAACTTGAACACCATGGAATTATTTTAAACATATACCATATAGAAAACTTTTATACAAATAAACAGAAAAATACAACAGTGCACTAAAATTTTACAACAATTAAATAGTCTCGAAAATAAGGGTTCTTGAATTGGAAAATGTCTCAGAATAAAAAGGCGATTTTATGTAAATCGGAATGTCAGCAAATGAATTTTGTTTAAATAGTTATCTTAGTATAACTTAATATATGTGTTGATAAGGCGAGTTAAATATATATATATATATATATATATATGCTTATTTCAACTTTAAAAAAATTCTTAGAAAAATAAAAGATATTTTTTGCCGATTTTACAACCGAATCTTTTCAGTCGTTTCCTGTGGAAAAAGTAAAAGTTCCTTTTTTTTATTCTTTTATTCACGGAACGTTGACCATCCTTGACTTTTAAACGAAGGGGCGCTGACGTTTCGGAACGTTTGTCCGTAGCTACTAATCACTGTAGCGTGCCCATTCCCAATCGAATATTGCAATGATGCGATTCAACATCGATATCTGATTCACTCGAATTCTAATTATTGTCATGTCAGGGATTTTGGTCCGACGCCTTTATGTATTGCATTGTGATCAGTATTGATGGAAGACAGATGAGGCTTCAAGGTTACACTGTTTAAAACTTCTCCGGAAAAAACGGTTAAATAACTATTTATTTAATTGTTATTTCACCATATTCAAACAAAACAGTCAAATAACCATAAATAAGATGGTATTCAAACTGTTAACTGTGTGGAAAATCGTTTATTAGCTGATTTTACCTAATACGGTTAAACAATTAGAGTTTTATCGCGCTCAACTATCAGAGAGGGCTTATGGCCGAGAGGGCTAATCTGTTAATGTCATTATAGACAGAACAGGGGTTCGAGTCTCAACGTTCATATCACATCATTTTACATGTTCATAAAGTTGCAAAAACAAGACTCTTTTTCACAAATTCGCAAAAATTTAAGTAGATTTTTCATAATTTTACAAAAAGAGTGGTTTTCTACGAAAAAAAAAATCTGAAATAACTCTTGTAAAACAAAAAAGAGTATGAGTTAACGAGTACTCAGTCATTACAAGGATTCGAACCGGGGAACCATTTCCATGATGAATAACTGTTTCTCATAGATCTAAATAACTGCAAATAAGTGCAATTTGGAAAATTTTTTCTTTGGAAATGAGCCGTGTTTGAAAGATTTTACCTTTAATGCAGAAAAAGACGCTAGTGTTTCATGCAGCATTTCATAACCATAAATAATTGAAATGTTAATTAAAATAATTTTCACTTATTTTGACTTTAATACAAGAAAAAGAAAAATGTAAGAAAAAATTTGTTTAATAATTCTGTGATAAAGACAAAAGTTAAGGTTTTATTTCTGAAAGTGTGGTGTTAAAGTTGTTTATTATTATTTATTTTTTTAAATGAAGCAGTACAGCAATGAGCTGTTCTATCAAAAATTATTCCATCCTTTTATTGCTCGCTTTTTATTGGGAAAAGAGCTCCGCGTTCACTTCATCATTTATTTACAGTATTCTTCATTTTTTTTTTTTTTTACTTTTTGAAAAAAATGAGTATTTTACTAGTTTTATGCAAAACATAGATGATAGAGCCCTCGCCTCAAAATAAAGTGTTCCGGGTTGAAATCCCAGCGATAGCTGGTCGATGCGAATTTCTCATGTGGCTCCCATCAACCACAGTGCTACGCAAAACATCTTCAGTGGTAGACGGATCATGGGTTAGAGTCTCTTTGCCATCAGGCTAACCGTGGTGTGCTTTCATGGTTTTCCTCTCTATGTAACACAAAGCGGGTTAGCTTCATCAAAATATCCTCCACGAAGGCAAACATCTCCCAATACTTGATCCAGGAGTTCCCTCGTCTTTTGGATAGGGTTCAAAATTACATGGCTACAGAGTTGAACATTAGTAGTCGTAAACCCGAAAAATTGGATCGGCTATTCAACGATGGTTATAAAATAAAATAAAAACATAGATGAATACTATGTATCATTACAAGAAAAAATAATAAAAATTTATCGACATGTTACTTGTTTTAAGAAACTGAAATGTATTTGTAAGCAAACTAATGTACATTTTTGAAAAAAAAAAGATAAATTAGAAAATTATTGAATCTGTTTTTTAAAAAAAGAGATTTGAAAGCAACAGCGGAGGAATATCAGGAAAAGGACAATTTGTGTGCTTTGGAGGAAGTTGTTTCAACCAATAAGATGAGAATAGAAACACTTCAAATTAGTTTACATATCACACTGAATCAGGATGTGTAAGTGTTGAAGAGTAGGAGTAAATGGAATTGAATTTCTGCCTACAATCATGTCGCCTTGCCTTTAAATATTTAACCTCCAACCAGAAAAGAAAAACATTATTTTTGTTTCAAAATATGATGAACCTCAAATAACCTGAACTGAATATCCTGAATGATAAATAACTTTAAATAGTTGAATCTTGTCCATATTAGAATACATTTGCATATTTTTTGATACTTAGTCATACAAACTTGTTTTATGTGATGATGCATCAACGAAGAACAAGAAGTATTGTTTTTATTATGTGATTCATACAATAATCTCATTTTATTTATAGGTCGTATGCATTGCAGAATAAGGATTACACTTATTTTCGATTATTTACATAATAATTATGTGTTATTTGTATAATCTGTATGACATATGTTATGTGATTCAGATGATGTAATTATTTGAATTTTAAGATAACTCTTATATGATATATTTGATGCACCTGTTATAGTTTATGGCATGTGTATCGAAG